TATTTATACATTTTACAACAATATAGACAGCTAACAGCATTTGAAATAATTGATCGTAATAGTCAATAACAAAGTGCGTGAGAAATGATAATATACCATCTATGCGAGATTAACAGTCAATAACAAAATGTGTGGAAATGATGATATACCATATATGCGAGATTAACAGTCAATACCAAAATGTGTGATCCTATCACAACACCACATCATCCACAAACGAATGGCGAATTATTGAGGAGATGCATCGGAGACGTGAAAGGAAGTTAAAGAAACGCACTATGAAGTCCAGAAGTACCACAATACAAGGATCTGTGCAAACCGAGCGCTGAATACGAGGAGTATACATGCCGGCCATACAGAGATACCAAATCGCAAATAAATATTCCTTTCCCAAGTCTTTCGTCTTCTAATGTTATAGAACCATCGATATACACGTTGCTTTCCTTCTTAAACGAGACAAAGCTTATTTCCGTGTATTCTGGTAACTAGCCATTTTACCTTTCAATAAAAAAATTTATTTTCTTGAATTTGAAACCCTGAGACTATTAAAGAATCTACCTATTAAAATGTTAAAAAAAGTTTCACTTCCAGTCAAAATGATGGTAAGTAGCTTCCTACTACTTATTGGAAACTTGTTGAACGCGCTCTCTGGAGTAGCTATTTTGAGCTAATGTTCGGGGTTCTCTTATTCTTTTTCAATCTATATATGTACGTAAATATGTTCAGATTCTCGAAACCCACTAATTACTGTGTGATCTGAGAAGGGACGCATATAAATGTTGATAAAAGTTCCACAGTTACATCTGCATTATTAGGCAAGCAATGAATTAGCTTATTAACAGAAAGTTATTCCAAACTGACCTACAAAACTACTTGAGTCTTTGTGAGAAAATTGTCTGGACATTCTCTTGGCGAGACTTCTGTGTTTTCCAAATGAATGTTATGATAATATGAATGATTTCATTATGACATATCCCTCTTAAAAAGTATCCCACCTTCAGAAAAGATTTATTTCTTTTGCGTATGTGTAGAATATAACAACATACAAGACGATGTACATAAACAAAAGCTGAAGGAACTTATAGAATCTGAGGTTGCTGACGTTCACAGATTGTACGAAGTATACTAACACAAGATCCAATACCCACAACTTCTGTAGTGTTCGTCCCTCGAAGACCAAAGGCAAAACAAAACACCAGAATTGATCGTCCAAATTACGAAGTATATTTTGGGACCAAATTGAAGTGCGAGATGATTGCTTAACTAGCTAGGGATCGCGCACCAACGAACGTAACACGACGGCTTGCTAAATGGCGCGGATGCTTGACTGGAAGCCTTCAGCTAAACAAATCGACTAAACCAGTGAGGGTCAGCATCCAATATTTAGTGACGAATGCTGCAGCCAATAATTCTGGGGAGTTGCCTATCACTATAAACTAATACTTGGACGTACACCTAGTAGTACATTGTACAGATATCGGATTATCTAGAAGCCTACTACTCGCAGGTTGTTTCATGCCATATATGACAGTCGACAATGCATTGAAACCGATGATCTACGTTTTTCGTATTTACGAAAGACATGTCACAGATTTTATTATATGATAGCAAATATGGTCTCAATCATGTTCTGCAGACTCTCAAAGGCTGTAGTCTGTCTGCCAAAGTTACTTTTGAGGTAGAAAACAGACCAAAACGTTTTTCCTGATTCACCACTTACAAAGAGGACATTGATATGATGTTGACCAGGTTTTCACATTTGGGTCTCCATAAGTCGTAAAGCACTTAGTTTTGTATCTTACTAATTGGCATAGAAGAGTCTGCTGCTCAGAATTGTTGGACGTTGGGCTCCCTTTTCTGGAGAGATTCATGATTAACAACGAATATTCCTCATGCTTGATAGGTGAAAATTTAGGGCCAAGGCCTGACAGATATCTTCACCTGCCTTCAAAAAGAAGTACTGTGCATTCACTCAGACTTTGAAGGTGATTAATCAACTGACATTCTCAGAAAAAAGGTATTGATCTCCCTTAGAGCATTGTTCATTTAAATGTTGAGATTAGTATTGTCTTGTTGTCAAGGTTTATCTTACATCACGAAAAATAATCTTGCAATTTTTAACAGCTCTATGTTCATCCAGCGATTCACCCGCTATTTGTTTGTCTTTCACTAAAAGCTTTGTTAAGGAGAATTATGGAATATTATCCCGTGTGTATCTAAATTGGTATAGGTGGATAAATAATAAGTGGCGTTATTGAAGATATTTTCAACACTCGTCACTCAACCTGAAGAGACGATACATTCAAAGTTGGTGGTAGAATAGGTAGAAGTCTCTCAAAGATGGTAGGTATCGTCATTCTTTATATTCACGAAGCACCAGTCATACAAATGTCTCTTCGCCCGGTCTCTGAAAACGGAAATCCTGTTCTCATCAACAAGTTAGACACATACGGATTTTGAAGTTGCTTGTTCCTCACTTTACCAGGCACGATAATGCCTCTTCTTATATCTCAAGCTTTTACTGGCCAGTAAGAAATAGTTATTTTTTTAAAAATTATAAAAAGAATCGTCGTTGTCGTTTCATCCGGATGGAAGATTCTACATAACTTCTGCATACTTTCCAAACTTATTCAGATTCCCCACCAGAGAAATGAAGTCACACGTGAAGACGACTGCGTCTGTGCTTTGCTTCCAGCAGCAAACTAGATAACTTTCAGTAGAACTCTGTTCAAACCACATTTGTGGAAATGACTGAAAGTAAATAAAACAGTTTCCTAGATCAGTAATTTCCATTATGGATGAGTTTACCTACAACATAACATACAGTGACACACTTAACAACTAGTGATCACAATTCATCTCTCATAATAATATCACAGTATTCAAACAACTCCCTAACTTGCTTTATACGACCTTACTGTCTGCTATTTTTGTTGTTTTCTGCCGTATATCCGGGATAGTTGGTGTCACTAGGTTGCAGGCATTTGGTGATGATCCAATCAATTGGGGTTTGGTGACTAATCTGTGTCACCACGACATATATTGCTTTTCAGTACTTCTCTCCTATCGCATCCTATTGTGCGATTGCACTTATGTGCTTCGTGTAACAACAGTGAATCTCTTTCTATATTAATGAAGTTGACATGGCCAATCATTTAGCATCTAGCTAAATCTTCTCCCGATAACCTAACACACCCTAATCTACTGATATTGTAACAACAGAAGACATGGGCCAGGCAACAGATCGTTTTATTATGAAAATCAACACGTATTTATATATATTTCACATACATTATTATAGCTTATGCAAGTAGACAAGCGCAGTCATCTGATTGGTTGTTTATCAGAAGTTAGGCAGACAAACGCAGGCTTCTGATTGGTTGTTTCGGGATTCCTCGAAAAATAGAGTTCTCTATCTGCGAATCATATTTTGCCACGTTAAGTCTGCTGTGATTAGTTGTTGAATCAGCCTTGTACATATTTTCTCACGGCCTGCTCTCACCACAATATGACATGTGTAACTGACCTCAAAGTGTGTGTATGGTATTTGGTGAATGATATTATTTTGGCTGATGGGATCTATTGGATCTTTAGTCTGACAAAGTTTGTATCGGAGTGAGCTGTTTGTAATGAACGACAGCCTAATTCCAGCTTTATTACGAATTCGATGCAGGGCTCCTGGTGTTCTCCTTTTTATTACTGACTTCATTATTTTACATATATTTATATTGACATCCATATTTTCTTGTGGGTCTTAATAAATTTGGGAATAAATTCTAGATGGTAGTTATTCAGTAGTAATGACTCGCTCATTGAGCCTGCGGAACCATTAAACAAGTATTCAACTGAACCCACCTTTACTGATTTAGGTTGAGCTGAATGACAGCATAAACACTTGCCAGAATGTGACAGCCATTTAAAGAAGCTACTTATCAACCCGCCATCCTGTTTTCGATTTATTTTGCAGTCGAGCACAGCCATCTGGCCCTCTTTATTTTCTAACTCGAAAGAGAACTGGTTCCTACCTACTACTGAGTTCATACATGTGAAGAACCTACGGAAATATTTAGAAAAGGCCCGGCCATTCTTGCGCACAAACTTATATATATTGCTTAAGAAACGTAATATAATTTGTTATTGAGAGAGGTTAATTACTAAATCTCACGTCATTAAATCGGCATAATATACCACATACAATAGAAATGACACAACACATATCCGGGATATACAGGAAATGGAAACGAAAAACAGTAGACGGTAAAACCATAAAAGGAAAGTTGGTAAGTTGGTTGGACATAGTGATGTGATTGAGTATAAAACTGTGCTCGAAGTGTCCACCAGTTGTTAACTCTGTGTCATTGTGTGTTGTATCATATAAACTTTCCTACTAAGGAATTAATTACTACCAGAATGCGTAAATTTTACTGTGACACCAAAGACCGTTTATCTCTATCAAAGTAGAAAAGGAAATCACGCCGGTGTTGAGTTATCTAGATTAGATGGCCTATGGCTGTCAGTGAGCGTACTGATTACAATTTCACTGTGAAATCTCGTCAATAGCTTAGATCGTCAACATTTCAACATACGGTACCTCCAGTTCATCTTTATTCATCAAAAATGCCAAAAAATGACATAGTGTAAGCTCACAAAGTTATTCCAGTTTTCAACGCTCAAAAGACATTTCTGATAGGTTGTGCTAAGGGTGGATTCACTATTCCACTTCATACTTCTAGCGTATAACTTAATTCAACACTTACATAAATAAGCATTTTACGGAAATGAAATCATGGATGTTTGACTTTTTTCACTTATGTATTCAAAGCAAAACACTGTTGCGGACTCCGTCTTTGATATGAACTCATGAGAGGAAGACTGTGAATATACTTATGTTATATGCATATTCATATTCGGAAATCTGCTAGGTAGTATGCATAAGCAAATACGATTTTAGTTCAAATTTAATAATTACGTGTGCATAATAGTTAAGGCTTATGAACTATAAGTAATAGTTTATTTGAAAGTGTGGTCCAGGAGAGAAAACCTCATAATGAGGTCAATTTACGTACTTCATAAATTTTTATTCCAAATACAACTCGGAAGAATGCAATGTTACATAATAAAATCAGAAACATCCTATACCAACGAAATATTTGAGAGTGTTAATTGTTTATAATCGGTGTCTGTTCGCATAGAAGTAAAATGAAAAATTTATCTATTTAACATCACACAATAATGCAACTCCACGTAGAATCCAATGGTCTGCATCTACTGCGCTACGTAGCATTAAAGGAAATATATAATTCAAGTCTGTACGTTTAGGTTTCTTATATACTGGACAGGAATAAAATATTCCTGGTTTACTTTTCTCACCAATTGACTGAGAGTATGCAGATACATGAACAACTGGAAGTGGTGTGTACAGCAGCTTCGGTGGAGGTTCCATCAATCTCGCCTGTTTACGATCCCAACCAGCTCCGTCTAGACTCAAACCATGAATGTAAACACCTTCAGACGGACCTTTGGTTAATTCTTCACGCATTAATTTTGTTACATCATTTGTTAAGACTACATCATCCAATGCGTATTTATTCGCTCTGGCCACTTCTTGCCTCATAGCAGTTAGGAATCCCTTAAATGAATGGTAATAATAGTAACAATAATGATAAAATTAATGACAATTCAACATATTTTGACATGCTTAGCAAATTAAAAATAGACTACTTAGTTATGAATGTGACACCATGACTTATATCCCAATAGGCACCGAAAACAATTTGAAAGTGATTCTATGACTCAAAGTATTAGTGGTTGACAAAAATATGATGGACACAACCAAGCAGTGCTACTTATGCCACAACAGTCTTTCAACTAATATAAGTGTGTGAAAAAAAGATCATCAAGCTTAACAATTAATTCGAAATCTCTCCAAAAGGGCTAGATTAGAATGTTATTGGCCAGCAAAACCAAACAGGTTTCTGGGGATGTGTTTCCTTCTGTTCACAAGATAAGCATCTCATTAAGTGAAAGAGAGATTCAGAAGAATATATGATGACAGAAAGCTATTGTCAGCAAATAAATAACGGTTCCAATATATGCCATATTGAGGCATAAGATCAATGCCAGTTGATATGGATTTTAATGTCGCTTGAGGTTTGACACAGTTTATAGCCAAGATTGTGAAAACCTTACACACGTGGAATCGAAATTCATCATTTATCGATTTCACGGTTCTAGGTGAAAAATCACCATATTCTTCCTTTGAAGCCCGAAAATGTACAGATCATGTATTGTGATCCGTATGATATCCTAACCTGTATTCAAGAAAGCGACTGAAATAGAGAGATGTTATGTAGTCCTGATTGATATGAAAAGTTAGAAACCACACACTTCATACAGCAGGGTCTGGTAGCCAGGACTAAGTGATCCAAACACTGAGTGACCATCTCACTCATTTTGAACAAACGTCACTTGTAGTGAGGCCAGTTTCACTCAAATCAGCACCAGCACCGGAAATGACTTTTATATGGCTAAGTTGACAGATGACTGGATATGTAGCCTAGGGGCCGCCCCTTCAAATTCTTTCACGAATTAATATATGTGTAAAACTTGGGCACTGTGGTAGTAATCAATTCCATATTAGTCTGTTTATTAGATGTATCACACAGTGAAACAGTATTATTTACTGGATGACGTTTCGAACAAAATTTATTGTTCATAATCATATCAATTATATCCACACAAATTAAATTTCTATTACGCTTTCAGTCATCATCTGTCAGAGTTAAATTTCGGTGACAGATGGTACTTACTTCAGGAGGATTGCATGAGCTGATCATCGACTTAACCATGGATTTCGTCTACATACTCTCCCAAATTAACAAACGGTGTCACAAAATGATTGAGAACACACCATTAAGCGAAGAAACTCTTTTCAACGAATTTACTACCAGACTGTACGATATATATATATGGTTTTCTGCAAGAGATTATATCCAGTGAGGGAACTGAATCAAAGGTGTTTCCATTTGTCATTCTAAGTCCAAAATTTTTTACAATGTTGAATTCTATCTTATCAAATATCACGCAATGTTGTGTAACGTTTTATATTAGCCTACAAACCCTATAGTTATAAACCTTTTCCAACATGTATGCATTTTATGAATTATTCTTTGTGTGAAAATGTGCGTCGGTGGCATAGCGGTTAGGACGCTCGCCGACCATGCACATGGTCCAGGGTTCGATCCCCGGCCGACGCACTCCTTCACCTCGCTAAGCCAGGAATAATGCTGGCAAAGAGGAAAGGGTGGGCATGAGGCTAGCAACCCCATCCTGTAAAACTAAATACTGCTACTGCAGAAACTTCAAGCCACTAGCTTGAAGCCCTATGTTCCACTGGGGAACGTGAAGGAAAGATATGTGTGAAGTTAACTGTTTTGCCACTTGACATTTAACTATGATTATAATCACAAATATTTTAATTGCATTTCATACTATTATTATTTCATGTGTCAACACCTATGATTCAGTTCCCTCACCGGACATTTCTTCAAAAAAACTATATATATATATATATATATATATATATATATATATATATATATATATATTGTATAGCCTGATAATAAATTCGTTGAAAAGAGTTCCTTCGCTTAATAGTGTGTTCTTAATGTTACAATGAGAATTATTAAATTGATAAAATGATTACCTGTGGATTGAAAAATCCAGTCATCCAATAGCAAACCGGGCGACCTTCAAAAAGCCAACCACTGAACTGGGCATTTCGATCGAGTAAGTCCGTAAACCAAAATCCAAGGGTAGCTGACTCCCAAGACATCTGAAAAATACATTTACATTGCAAAGAGAATTTTTGAAGGGCTTCGAAAAATATTTTTTCCACCCGAAAAAGTGCTGTCCCTCAAAGATTAATGAACGGTGGTCGTCTTTCTGATGCCTTTAGCTGGTTATGAAAATTTTGTTTGTTTAATTCTTCTGAAGTCGAGCAAGTTAAAGTGACATTCAGTATAATTTAATGCAATAACGTGGTTAGAATGCGTACACCTTTTCTATTTCATTTTTTAGCTGTTTCCATTATTTGATATCATGATATCAGATCCTACCAGAATACATTTCCATAGTATGATTCCTAATTTTATTATTTAAATGGTTCGTTTGTAAAGCAGAATGCCATCAGTTCCCAAGCCTCTCATGAATTTTTAACATCTAATTTTCATCACTGAATTTTTTGTTTTCGTGCTATGTACATAACGTCTCCCAAAGCGTACATGCCTAAAAAGGAGTAATTAAGAAGTTAACTGTAATGTGATTAGATGAATAAACCGTAAGGTTTCTACATTAATCACTAACCATATCATACGACCACATGGTCAGAGAGAGAGACGCATAGGTGATAATTAAGGCTTCAACATTAAATGATGGTGACAAATGTAATAGACATTTTCTGAAAAGTGCGGTATTCACCATGAGATTAAAATGTGCAGAGTGCCATCTTCAGAACATTTAGTGCATTATCTTTTAATACAGAATTAATTTGAGTATCTAACTGAAATTTTTGAAAGGCATAAACTAACTTACCTTCCTCCATGAACTAGGAATACGTGCATCAAATATGTTGTCTAGAGCATCACGTAAATTTTCTGACATAATAATTGTTCCATCGACAGCCAACTTTAAATCTGTCAGTGTTGTCCTCACATTTGTAATAACGCGTTGCATACGATCTACTTCTTGTCTAAGAAATATGTGAAGTGGTTTCAAATGATCCATTTTAACTAAACGTTCTTTTACCTAGATTTCAACAGTTTAAAAAATGCGAATTGTTAAATCAAAGTATTACGACGTCACAATCAGTGAAACAAGTATAAACTAGCCAGCTAGCTAACCACTTTCTTCGACAAGGTGTATGAGTAATCAAGAGGAAATTCATATTTTCTCTTGAATATTATAGACAGTGCCCCAGTCAAAAGTTAACCCAATCCAACAGCTAGAAGCATTTGGATTATGTGCTGAATAATGCTCACAAAAGCATTTGAGACTTTGAAGACCCTTATCATCCATACATCATTTATTATTGACTAAAGTGAATTACACTGCGATTTACTATCGGTAAGTTTACCGGGTTATAAGTTAGGCGTTTTTTCACGAGAGGCTTATAGTGATATCAAGTCTCCACAGTAGAGAAAGCAATGTAAATTAATGAATTTAGTGTCTGGTTGTGATATGATTAAACCAATTAACAGTAATCCACATACACGTTATCTGCACGATTAGTTGATAATATGAAGCGTACGATGTGGATTAACTCCTATCACAACCTTTTATCCTCTGAAGCATAAGCTTTGCTTCATTATCTAATCTTCATTAATTATGTCTCTTTTTATTTTACAATTAGGCTGAAAATACAAGTGTTCATTGTCCGTCTTCTCCTTCTGCTTCCTTCATAAGTAGAAGGGTTAAGGTCTTAATACGATTTTGTTTTCATATTTATAGGACATTATGAAATAATTTTGTAAATACAAATGTTTAAGATTACTAAAACAACTAAACGAATGAATAAACGAGAGTATTAATAAGTAGTACTATCTACAGTTCCCAACTAATCAGTATGGATTTTATTATTCACCTTTATCAGAACTTACTTCGAAAGGATTGTAGTCAGGTGGTAATTTTCCTAAAATATCATCTGCCATTTTGTAGACAACAGATTCTCTTGTTTCACCACCTCCACCCCCACTATCTTTCGGCTGAATGTTAACGATTGTAGTAAGCATTGAATTAACAGTATTTGTTGAATACCTAAAACACAATCGAGAGATATTCATTCAATTCTACTAAATTTTATCCTTTACATATGTAAATTAAATCTATGATAACCATGAGCTATGTATGTTCAGTTCGTATTGTGGATTAAGGAACCCAGCTGCTGGCTGATGTTGTTGGACAAACACTTGGAGTGCAGACAACTTTCTTAATTTTGTTGATTTACACCAATGATTACAACTCATCTTCTTTCTCTTTTCCTCTTCCTCTCCCAAAGTCCAGTTGGTTTTATACTCAAAGTACCATTCAGACGTCTATCTGAAGAAGTATCCTATCTCACTGATAATAAAACGACATATTTTTACCAAGAGTATAGTTTGGTTTCCGACATGTAAAGTCAGGTCACCTCCTACAGACAACCATGATGTAGAAATCAAAAAGTAAATACTCAGAAGCTCTCTTGATATTCATTGAGTAGTTTTTTACGCAAAATATCCGTTCACTATGATTCTGATCATACTGGACCGCGTGAGAAAATGCACAATCCTCCCGTAAAACTGGAGGTATTCTATCACTTCTATGTACTCATTCTGTCCTACAAACACATTGCCACACACGCACAGCCTCCTATCCCATTTCGTCTCCATTTTTTGTTGTTATCATTCACTCATATGAAGTTTATCGTCAAATCGAACAGTAATCATTAACATTCATAAACTGTATATCCTCCGTAATTCATAATCATTTACTTTGTCTGACGTTCATTTTTCCACCAAATGCATATTAGCAAATAAATATTTTTGTACTGTAATCTTTTCAGAAAACATTATGGAATTTCTGTCTTAATGTCTAAATGTTATTAAAAAGACATGAATGTTATCAATAACAAATATTTTCTAACTGCTATAAACACATAACTGTAAAAGTTGATGAAGAAGTTATCAAAAAGAATAGTCTTTCATTATAAATTATTTAAATTAATCCCAGCGTGTTAAGCAAAATCTTGTTTTGATTTTCTTAACACGCTGGGATTAATTTAAATAATTTATAATGAATCAATCTGACTCGGCGCTCAAATTATTCCAGGAAATTCGTAACACCTACGGTCTGGAAACATATAATCTTATTAAAAAAAGAATACTCCTTGTTCACTAATCAGTCTTTTGAAATAAGTTATTACAACTTACGTAATATCTGCATTTGGATGCAAACCAAAACATTCAGGAGAATCAACCAACGGTAGGTTATCAATATTAACTTGATATTCATCAATTGTTCTACATTTTGGTATTATATAACCATGGTAGAATTCGAATGAATCAATGAATATACTTTCAGAAAACCATACTTTGGCGTAAGTATTAAGTAGACGCTTATCATAGTCATCTGTAACTCGACCACCATATTGCACCTCCCCAATCATATAACGAACAGTAGGCCATGAAATCCCCTGTGATAATATTCATTAAAAAAACTATAAGTGGATTTAGAAAAATATGAAATCTGTCATGTAAAAGTAGTAATATAGACTGAAAAAGAAGTGGTCTTAAGAATGGGATCCACTTATAAAATCTTATTTCTGACCCATGGTCATATTTGTTTTGATCTTCTCCATGACCTCGTAGTTATTCTCCCACTTGTTTTTCGTCTTATAGCTTCCACTAGCGATGAAAGAGAGAGAGTTAAGTATGCTGTACACTTCCGTTTCGATTTGTATCCTTTTATTCTGAAATATACTAAATTCGGCTGTTACTGATGTGGCTATGATATTGTCTTGATTGGTAGAATCGTCCCCACATTCAGCGTCAACGTCTGAAGACTTGGGTTGTGATAGTTTTACCAAAAGCTGCTTGGTTACTGGTCAAGTCTTCCATCAGGCGATTAGTTTTAGTCCTACTCCATTTATTTCGGCCTACTTTTTAGTTTATAAAAGCTTCTTAATCATAACTTTGATTCATAGATTTCCTATGCTCATGGTAAAAAGCCGTCCACAATAGCAGAGCATAGAGTGTGCAGTAAAGTTTTAATATATGTGTAAAACTTAGACTAAATGATAGCTTCTACCTTATTCTGGTTACCAATACTCTGTAAACACACAAAGATTGTAGTTCAGAGGTGAACAATAACAAAGTTGTAGAATATCAAAATTTCATCGGAATCAGACTCATAGTTAACTTGTATTTAGCATATTTGACACAGAAATATTAAGGGCTGTGGATAACCTGAAGCCGAAGTTCAGAAAGTACCAGTGAATTTCTGCAGCTGTATTCAATATGATAGACTCAGTTAGGCTGACTGCAGTGAGCTGCAAATATGATGAGGATCAAAAGCTGATAAGTAGGGAGCTGACCGGAAATCTCATCAGTGACCATGGAAGTGGTGAGTGAAGATGGGAGGTGCATCGGAGATAGGCAACACTATACAAATATTTAGGCTTATTAGAAAAATAGGTTGAAAATGAAAAATGAAAACCAAGGAGGGTGGCACTTTGATTACCTCTGAATTTGGCTTGTAGATAACTTGTATCTGGAATATTCAAAACTGAGATTGAAATTGTCAGCAGTCGCGTTTATGAACATTACAGAGGTCCTATCTGAATGTATATATTCCCCAGAAATAAATAAAATAAACAAATGTATCCGCAGTCATAAATCCACACATCACATATAAGTCCCAGTTAGAAATTTCTTCTACTGTAAATATTTGTAGACTGGAATATAACTACTCTGTCTGAAGCATCTGGTTATTCTGTACTTTTTTTACAACGATGCAATAGGAAGATCAGACGGAAGTCATTGGATAGCTATAGGAGTTAAAGCCCGTAAGTCTCTTTTGCGAAGGTAACATTTGGGATGACATGTTAGCTAGGTTTCTACGCAAAAAGACTTCATCCACTGCTTTACATTCTCTAAAGTTACTGTTGTACAACAAATGTGAGATTTTGAACACAAAACACGTGTATATTTATCAAACGGAGTAAATTTTGTCATCAACCTTTGTTGTTCACAATGCAGTAACTTCTATTTTTTGGATAATTTTAGCATACAGATGAGGATAAAGAGTTATCTACATAGTAATAATACTTTTCTACTTTACGAGTAACCTCACCTTTTTAGGATCAATTTCATCTAAATGATTCTGAATAAACTGAATCGTTGATGTAAAATCAGACTGATTGAATTCATATGGTATGTTCCAACCAATAGGTCCAAATTTCCTACGTTCTTGTACTGTTGTGTGCAAGAAGGCCACACCATATAATAATGGTTTCCACTGTGGGAGATTACTAATATCCAGTTGATCTTGTGTTAACAAAGCATAAGTTCTACGTAAACCAGCACGTATACCCATTGGTGGATCATAAGTGAATTTGATACTAGATTGTAACAGATTAATTGGAAACTGTGGATGAGCTTCTGTAGTCAACCAACAACGAAACGATTCATGTGAACCTTTAGAAGTAGTTATCTACATAAAATAAAAATACAAAATAAGCAGAAAAACATTTATCTGGTGTAAGATTATACAGATTATATTCAGTCACACATTGGCCTAGTTAAAAAGGTTTTAATATTTAATAATGAGTGCCTGATAATTAAATTTAATGTGAAAAGGCTAACACTGAAGTACATACAGGCCAAACTGATCTAAGTTTCACCAAAAAACTGGTGCACATTATGCGAACACTGCTGAATGTCAGTGCACATCAACAAAATATACCAATTCTTGTTTAAATAAGAGGTGCGCTTTGACATGATTGCTTATCGTTAATAAACTAACCATTCAATTTTTATTCATTTATTAGTCCCTATGATATTGTTTTAGGACGTCTATCTGTTTAAAAATGTTATCATCCGCTGTATAATGGCATAGAGTGCCTATGAAGTGACAAAACAGTGTTTCACTACCTTTTGTTCTAAAATCTTTACTGAATGATACAAATCTGATGATAAATTACCTTTTCGAGGGTTACCATGGCTATAGTTAATAGAAGGAAAACAATTACTCTACATCTGCGCGCCAGTAAAATACAAGAGGACACAAAGCCTTCTATTTGTGAGAAATAGCATGTAATCCGTACGACTGTACGCAACCTTTGTGGTATGGAGTAAAAAAAAGAAAAAAGACCCGGTTCAACCATTTGCATCAGTAAGTCGAGGTTCGTTAGGAGTTGTGATGTATAAAGTACCTTGACAGTTAGTAGAACAACTTTCGTAACTTGAGCTTCATGCTTCCTAGGAAACAACAACAAGACACAGTCGGAGTATTCACAGAAGCCAGTTGTTCCCCTAGAATCTGAACCCATATACTTCAGTATTCAGAGATGTTATCTTTGCGAAACTTTGAAAATCACCAACCTGCTGTAAGGCTGTAGCGTTTATGCCAACAATTTACAGTACTTAAAATCAACCCTATATGACAACTACACATAATCCCAAGTAATTAAATATCGTGACGACTAAATGATATCGTATACTTAAACATATTTCACTCAGCAACAGTTTTCACTTTCATGCAGCTGGCAGTTAATACCTAAATGGTGCTAACTAGCTAACCAAACCTCATTAGGTGAAGTTGATTTCAAACCCTCGAATTAATGGTTAAAGGTCAAGTGCCTAGATCAATGAGCCATATTTCCACAATTCATATTGTCTTAAAGCAGAAAATTCAGTAGTTGGAATTCATGACTAGCCAGGTAAGTTGTGGATATATCAGCCTAGTCATCAGAAAAAGGATGCATCTGGTAATTTTTAAAATACAAAACATCTGTTTTCTCAGTTTACTGTTAGTGTATTTTTACTTACTATTTCTGTAAGTTCATCCATAAAGCTTAATCCAAGATGACAGTTTTGTAATAATACCCACCTTCCTTCTTGCATGCTTATATTTAACAAACGTCGAGCATGAACTTCTTGACCTTGTCCCATTGAAATTGCACCACATTCTACGATTAAATGTAATGATATACATAAATTTTATAATTATTATCATTACCACGGAATCACTTAAAAGTAAACGCATTACACAGTGAGAATAGTTCAACGGTTATTATCAATATGCACTAACCAGAAACTTCAATGGAGGCGTGACAATACAATGCTAAGTCCTGAATAAAAGCTTGATATTTCAGTGAATTTTTATCAAATTTGAATTCTTCGCAGGTCTCTGCGGTACGGTGGTAAAATGCTCGCCAACTACGCATCTGGTTCGGGGCTCGATCTCCAACCAACGCACTCCATTACCTCACTAAGCCATTTATAAGACTGGTAAAGAGGGGAGGTTGGCCATGAGGCTAGCAACCCCAGCTTGTAAAAACAATCACCACTGCTACTGAAACTTCAAGTCTCTATATTGAAGCCCTATGTTCCACTGGGAACGTAAAGGAATAAAATGAACAATAAATTGAATTCTTCCCAAGAAATTTTGCAAACGTTGTAGTGTTAGTAGTGTCTATCTTGCCGCTAAAGTTCTTTTAGCTTATCAGTATCCGGAAATTCATGTCCTGAATTGTTATTGTTTTCCAATCTATAAGTTAATCTAGTAACGGAACAGAAAACAATTCAGACTGTGACGTTTATTATGGAAAAATGAAACAGCCTATCCTAATGGTGCTGATGCTTATTATCCTGAAAATTCAGCCTTTGGATATTGTTGCGAACACTTGTGGTTTACGGCGAGAATGTTATCAAGCTCCAGCTTTAAATTTTGTCAACAAGTCTTTGAATATCGGTTTAGACAGCGTCTAGAGTGCTGCTCCACGAAAAAGTTCACTTCTTTATTACGTTTGTTCAGTGTTTATCTTTACAACAAACTGCGAGTTTTGTTATTTTGGTAATTGATTATATTCTTATCTGCGTTACGTTAAGTGGGATACATTTGAAAGTTGTATATATGTAGTATACTTTGGCTTGAATTTTATGCAGGAGATCATTTAACACTAAAATACTATATTGATGTTAAAACTAGAAACTTCATTTATTTAAAAGATTATTTACAGTAAACTATTTCAGTTATAAACTACTTAATTAACTACTGTGGATTAGTAAATTATGCCAGAAGGTGAGTTTGGAGATCTTGAAGGAAAAATAAGAGAGTTTAAGTCAAAAAATGATCGAATAACATTTCTTTATCCAGAAAGTGGGGAGGATTCAGTGACAGTAAATGTAACCGGGGTTCCATTCGACAGTCTCCCACTGTGTTGCACACTGTGACACTCTGAAGTGATTCAAGACCAGATAAGAGGACAAAAAGAGGTAATGCCACTTTTCGCTTAACATAATCTAAACCTCAAACTGACGAAAGCATAAAAAATAAATTCAGACAATAATATTACAACCAAATGGTCATCTGTATGTATGCAATAAATAATCAAGCAAAAGTTAATACATTAATTCTAATATAAAGTCAAAAGCTAGACAAAAACAAGTTTTCAAGTATCGGATTTGTAGGGATTTTGTTTGATTGCATGGAGGATTTCATCATGAGCTGACATCATTTAGACTGACTGATGTCAGCTCATGATGAAATCCTCCATGCAAAAAAAATGTTTCACTAATTTTAAACTTTCTAATGATGACATAATCACAACATAGTACTTTTCAGTTAAAATGAATATAAACGTCTAGTGCATTGCACCAGTTTCAATATTCTGAAGGTGAACAAATGAAATACGCACGTGTGATTTAAGTAACGACAAACCATCTTAACTACTCATATTACTACGTTTTATTTGCAGTTAGTCAAGGGCTACAGATTAGAACAAAAACAGTCTCAAGTACACCGTGGTTACGACTTTTTACCAGTAAGTTTTGAATAATAATCTGAGTCTATTTAGACGATTTCAAATTTCTTGGAAAGACGTTAAAATACTAGCTGCAACTCTAAGTCTTCTATTATAACTTCAAGTGGATTGTGATTCCTTACTTTGTTTCTCTACGAAGCATAAAATGAGACTTACTTAAATTCAACTTTTTGGCCAGTCTTTCAATATTATCAGTTGGATCTGATCCCATAGATAAGAAACACGTCATTGGTGTAGTAGTGTCCGACTCCTCAATCATCTCTTCCAAGTTTGTAATGACTCCATCAGCGAACGCTGTACCCATACGTTCTGCGATATATCGTTTAGCCATCGGAATACATCTGTCAGGACACCATGACCTTAGCAGTAGCAAACGATGAAATGTATCCAGTTTTTCGTATCCATCTGGAATTACAGAATCCTCTGGAGCTTCTGTATCAAACCAATTTTTCCAAGCCTTTTGACATAGAGAAAAATAAGTAATCAGACACAGTCAACATGATGGAGTACCAAAACATAATCATAGTAGTCTGAGGGAACAAAGAAGTGAAACTTATTCTTCAATTTTAGTGATGTTCACAAGCATCTGAATGCTTTTAGATGTCTGTAGTACTTTGAATAGTCTTCGTCCTATGGTTTCATAAAGTCAAGTGGGTAATAATATTAAGGTTTTTATAGTACTCAGGATGATATCATCAACCATCAGGCGATTGAAATAAAAAACAATGCCTTTGTGTATTTGAACTATTTGACAGAGTCTCAATAAAACAAATGAGACGAGTCAGTGAAGTAATTACCATTTTACATTCTTGTATTTACTGAAGTTATGTTAGAAATAAACATCCATAGTTGAGAATGGTTTCTGATTTTTACATACATACACTTCATACACTTTCCAGCTTTATTCCAGATAAGTAAGTTCCCACAGGATTCGTATTCATTTCATTCAGCAACATTATACTTTACCGATATACATATATAACTTGTAAAAAACTACATTCAGTATGACTATTTTTCACTCTTTAAGTATTCAAATGTAACAGATAACTGTTGATTACCCTAAATAATGGAAAATGTTTGGTGACAAAAATACTCTTGATGACTAAGTTACTACAGAACTTCCCAGTAGATTACAGTTTCCACTCAGTAGTGACAAAGATAATTAGGCTAAGTCGGTAAATAAATAGGTTGTCCTCGTATACAAAAGTAAATGCAGCAATAAAGTTGAAAAATAAATTCAATCATTAATGCAGTTCAAGATATGAAAAGTGACTAACAATATTGCTGTAGTAAAAACCGGAGTGATCTCGAGGGGCTTCGATCACATAAGTACACCTGTTACTTTGACATTTTATGTTTGTTAAAGTAAAATCATAAAAATGCTCAAGTTATAATATATATATATATATATATATGCATATGATTAGTTCATAAATTCTCTGATTGTTGATTTGTACAACAACAACTGTTTTCCAAAGTGTTTGGTGAAGTACTAGGTTAAATATTTAAGAATCAATGAATAAATCACACGTGAACTGAATGTTTATAATACATCGGATTCGGGAAGTCTACGTGTATTGAACTTCCTCTAACTGCTTTTATTGTTTAATATTCTATCTTTGTATCAAGATGCCGATCCACACTTTGCGTCTGTCGCGTGAAAGTTCGTCTCAACAATCAGACAACAATTTGAATTATTACTAATTACTGAAGATTATCTACATCACAGATAAAAGTAACCACATTTTGAATACTTTACAGTCTTTTTTTGATGTGATTTGTTCTTTGAGATCAAGTGGTATAAATTAGACCACTGGAGCTAAAAAAATCCCTTCCATTACTTTTTCATCTCATATAATAATGAAATTCCTAAAGTTTCACTTACTCTGTCATTGGCAGCCACTTGATCCGGCAACTGATTAAATTGACTCAATTTACTCAACTCAATAAGATTTAACCATGTCATATCCTGTATCCATTTCTTAGGCTTAGGTGCAACAGCGTTAAGATCTAGTGCAGCACCTCCTGTTTATATTTAAAGGAAGAGATAAAAGAGAACAAAAGTAGTCAAAACCTGATTTAAAAAGTGAAGTCCAGGTTTCATAACTGCGCGGAACTTTTAAGAACAGTATAAATTCCTTCATCCATATGGAGTATTTCCTCATTTCCGGGAATCTTCCTCTTATTTTCTGTCAAAATCATTCTATTCAGCCTGACTGTCATGAACACTACCTTCAAACCAGTGAAGCTGTGGGGAACTCCTTTCATATCGCATTGTGCACATCATCCGCTCCTCCCTACAACAATTGTTTAGTGGAATAATCAGATATTTAATATAAACAATATTCTGAAGAGTAGAACAATTTGATTTATTTTTAGACGCTCACAGGTGATTAGCAGAAAGCCATTTAGCATATGGATCGATGTATATTTACATGTATCTAAATTTTGAAAAGTATTCTTGAAACAGTTTAGCTACAACAAAGAATTAGTAGGACACGTTTATTTCCACGTATACGAATAGCCTTACGACACAGTTTATATCACCAGCTCTTGAAGCATACCTAAGAAAATACCAAAAGGTTAACTGAAATGGAAAGCTTTTAGTCTTAGAATGATATGTTAGGGATTCCCCTAAGTAGGGTTTCACAATCCTAATGAATTTCATCATGGCTAATGTGAAATCCAGTATCTAATTTCTGTCAAAGTTGAGCTCAGTGATTATGAATTGTTTTGCCGCTTGGAGGCCTCTAACTAATGAAAATGGATTCATTTTGCAGGATAGAAACACAAGATTACTACCTATGTTCCAATGACAGTTGTGCTATTCATAATATGCAGAAGTTCTCACTAACAGACTAAGACATATCTAAAACACTAAATGAAAGTGTGCTTGGCGTTACCTCAATTTAAACTGTTTCTTCTTTTCATAATAATAAAGGTTCTTTTTGCATTTCCCAATGAATGAAAAACAAAACGAAATTGTTTTTACTGACGTTTCGCTATTTAATGCTAATAGCTTTCTCAAAGTATTATTCTTTTGTTACTACTATTTCTTGAAAACTACATTTCACGAAGATGAAACAATCAGCTTTGTGAGAGGAAAAGTGAAACATAGGATAGCAATAATAATAACGGTAATAATCAATTACCTTTTATGAATATTTGAAATTCCTCAGGTTTCACTTCTTTTGTATGCATTGCAATTTTTAGTGTTAACAATACGGTGAATGTAAACTTGTCAATTTCATAAAATCCTCTGGCTGTAAAACGGTACACTTCAAATGTTAAATAATCAATAATATTTGCTATGCGCTTTTGTGTTTGTGGTGATTTTTGTGACCTGACCATTGATAAGTCAAACAGACCAAGAAACTGACGTAATGATGTTTGATACATTACATTAACCATGCTCATTTCAACAACTAAGAAGTAAAGTAATGAACCACGTGAAGCAACTGGACGATATTCTTCGCGTGCTGCATTAATTTTCACTTCAGTGTCGACCGCAACGTTCAATTTTTCACGTACTTCATTCGATGTTGTCTTCGTGATATTTAACATTTCAATCAATGACTCATCTTCAACGAGACTCCCTTCTGTTGTTGTTAAACGATACAAAAGATTGTCTTCTAGTTCCTTCATTTTACGTCTATTAGTTGCTACATCTTCAAGAAGTTTGGTTCTTTCTGTTTCTAGTTCCTTTCAAAATACAGGTGAAACAAACAGTCAATTATTTACATGAGATGCACATCGATTATGTACTGTAAGTAGTAGTGTAACAACTAAAAGCAAGACACCGAAACCAAAGTATATTTTTTCATTAATCAAACCGCTGTTTATATATCTATAGTTTGTATTCATTAACCAATCACTGAGCCTGGGATTTCGGTTTACATCAAACGACAAAAAAAAACAGAATGTTCAAATATACATAGCATTCTGTTGCCAATGCAGTATATGACCGTAAGAAAAGTATTATGTCTCTAACATTAAACAGAATGTCCAAATAGATATATCATATTCTATAGAAAGTCAAAACAAGTGATTCAGAGAAGAGACTTTTTTCAGCGAATTTATTATCAAGTCGCATAGTCGTATTAATATGTTTTTAAGAAGTTATATCCGGTGTGGGGATTGAATCATAGCTGTGAATGCATAAAATAATAGCAATAGTATGAAATGCAATTAGAAATTAAAATGCTGGTGATTATAATCATAGTTAAATGATTATATTTTTTAACTGCATTTCATACTATTACTATTATTTTATGCATTCACAGCTATGATTCAATCCCCACACAGGATATAACTTCTTAAAAAACATATTTATACGACTGTGCAACTTGATAATAAATTCGTCTCTTCTCTGAATCACTTGTTCTGACTTTCTATATCATATTCTGTTGTTGATGCTGAGCTGAACTGTGGGAATATGTGAGAATAATATTCCATTAGCATACATTGTCTGTATCACAACACCGCAGTAGGAAACATGAGTATTTCAGGAAGACAATAAAATAGAAAACGAAAACAAGTTCACTTCTACTGTGGCAGATCATGTAACCTTTCCCAAACCAAAACTATCTAAATTGTTGATTTTACGGTGTCACTTCTTTTTTTTATTCCTTTACGTTCTTAGTGGAACACAGGGCTTCAAGCTAGAGGCTTGAAGTTTCTGTAGCAGTGGTAATTATCATTTTTACAGAGTGGGGTTGCTGGCCTCATGCTCAACCTCCCCTCTTTACCAGTCTTATTACTGGCTTAGTGAGGTAAAGGAGTGAATCGGTCCAAAACCCACACCACCTGCGTGATAAGCGAGCACTCTGCCGCTTTGTCACTCCTAGAATAAGACGATTATTTATCTCTCATTGATTTCACTAAACTGTATCTCACTGTAAGTCTCTTCAAATTTTAAAATACGTTACATATGTCTGCACAATATGTACTCAATTTTCTATGGAATCTGTTGGTGCTAGTTCTTAAAATTCCCAAATGCTTATTTGAATTATGTAGAAGGTTTTAGACTCTGACTAAAATCAGCCAGAAAAGTAAAATACGTAATTAGATCCTTTAGTTGGTGTGGCTTAAAAGTGACCACAGTAATGCAAATGCATCATTCCCTCACATTTATCCAAGCAGAATTCGAGGTAGTAGTGAAGCACCATATACACTTAGCGAGGTAGATCGCTTGGATTCATTAAAAATAGTAATGAAATATCATAAGCATCAATAAATAACAATTATTAATATTCATTAGGTTACTGGACAACGTCTTGACGTTTTCAGCTGCATGAAGAAACCCACATTCTCTAAAACGAAGACCATTGATCTAACAATTACAAAATTGGAAAAAATGTACCCCCTCCAGAGGCAACACAGATAATGTAATAGGCTACTGTATCTAACTGTTAAACTTGTTAGCTATTACCTAAATAATTTTCAGTATGTTGTGAAGTGCTAGAGTAGGCATCATTAATGTCTTACATTCTGCCCGTGAACAAAGTTAGTGCTTTTGATCTCAGAGACTTTAAAAGGCTTAATTTGATGGTGAACATCATCTGCTGTCGAATCTCAGATAAACCAATATTATTGCATTACAAACTAGTATTCAGTTGTAACATTGTTTACCTACAGTAGAATCATCAAGATTAGTGAGTCGTAATGATCAATCCCTTTTCAAAAAACTAACAATTTCACACAAGGTATGTTACTTTATTCTGTTATGGATAAAACCTTACTTTGATAAAAGTGTTACATCAGTAAATATAACACTGTACGATTTTATCAAAATAAAATTTTATCTGTAATGGAGTTATACCTACCACAGTGCCCAAATTTTATCCTTATATCAACAATGTCACTTTAGTGTTAATCTACTGAAATGAATCTTCAGTCCTTTATGCAGATTTAGCTAAACATCTGGCACATAGCATCTCAAAATTTAACAAATGTCTAAGTGATTTGACCTTAAAATTCATGAGTTCACAAAAAGTTAATTTTGTTGACATGTGTGACTAGTTTATCAACTGTTTTACTTTGGATTTACTAATTCTTTAAAAGAGTAGAATAAGACTGATTTAAGATGTTTAATAAATGGCTTACCTTTTTCTCTGTTAGTATGACCAAACCAAGTAGTTGATCTTCCAGACCACGTATTGTAACAGTAAAATCAATTATTGAAGTTTTAGCATAAATTTCTGGTGTATATAACGGATTCGGTAATTTTGTCGTAATATAAAGACGAAATCCACTCATAATGTCGCATTCTTTATCACCAATTTTCACCTTATATGTAGAGCCAGATTTAATAAAATTCTTTTCTAATACATTATCCAAAGCAGGATCAAGGTCTTCACCAACATCTTCTATTAGCAATGGACGTCCAAGTGACAAAGCATCTTCCAAGTGTGAACGGAAGTATTTGTGATTCAGTGACGTTATCTGTGTAAATGAGGTAGAATAAAAAATACAACTCATGAGTAATCGTAATGCATGTTCATAATATTTCAGTAATTATTATTATTTCCTTTAATTCCTAGAGGAACATAGGGCTTCAGCTGCGCACCTCCATCGCCTTCTGTTTTCTGACAACTTTTTCACCCCGCTCCAAGTCTGCCCACATGCTTTCATCTCCTCCTCACATGACCTCCTCCAAGTCACCCCCCCCACCCTATCACTGACGACCAACTCGCCATCCGCTTCCCTTTCGGGTTCCACTCGAGAAATGGCTTGTCTAGTGATGTCACTTGATGGTTTCCTCAGGGTATGGCCAGCCAATCCACCTCCATTTCTTCCTGCCTATTTGTTTCACAATCGGTTCCTGCTGGGTTGGTTCGCTCATTGCCAGAGATCCCACCCTGTTGCTGATCTTCTCTGGCCGGCCATCTGATCTTGAGTGGTATTGAGCAAAGACAGCTGCTGTTGATGAAGGTCTGTAGTTTGTTTGAGATGCTCTTTATGACGCGCTGGCCAAGTCTCTGATCCGCATAGAAAGTAGCACTGACTGATTCCACATTGGAGTTGAAAATCCGGATCTTATTTCTGATGCTGAGTGCTGTTGACCTCCACACAGATTTGAGAGTAATGAAAGCTTGTCTTGCTTTTCCGATTCTGGCTTTGATGTCCTCGTCAGTTCCTCCTGTAGTTGAAACGATGCTTTCCAGGTGGGTAGGTAAAGGAGGTTGTTTCTTTCAGGTTCCTCCCATTTATGGTGATTGTTGTCTGTTGTTGTTCTTGCTGTTGATGTTGGCCAGAAATCTTCTTCACCTCTGTTCACCTGAAGTCCTATCATTGATGCTTCTTCTGCCAACTTGTTGCGCTTCATTTGCATATCTTCCAGTTTTTGGGAAATCAGACATATATCATCGGTGAATTCCAGGTCCTCCTAGTTTTTTGTGTGAGTCAGTAATTATGGGGAGCAAATTATTATATACTTATTTTGTCGAAACTATGGATATACAGACACTGCGGGATTTAATACTGACAACAAAGAATCTGAGCTTTATTATGTCCTAAAATTCTATTTGCTTCTGAAATGTAAAAATAGTGCATTTACAGAGAGGAAATAATTACAAGATAATTCTCCTTCAAATAAAAACAGAAACATTCCCGACTGAATTGACGTGTGAAGCAAACTGTTTAATAAGTCACATTTACAGGTTTATAAGGTGGTGAATATAACCGAAACACAGTTACCCTAGTTATGGATGTTAGTGTGAGGACAAGTAACAATCATGTGACATCCATGGTTGGCAAGATATAAGTGACATTTGATTACTAGGCCGTCATGTTGTTTATCTACTGCATTTAACACAATGTTCACACGTGTATAAAGGATTAACTACTTAATAAGTTAGGGGGTGGGTAGGATCCATCATGTCTGTATTCTTTCATAGTTTACGGAATAAAATGACATGACATTGTTTCAGTTCAATTTTAGGTTCACCTACAAAATGTATCAAAATATAAGTGTAAGCAATACATTCATCAGTAATAAAAACCCTGAGTAAAAATGAAGCGTATTTGCTTAACAGTGGCATAGGGGACCAGTTGATTAATTATAATAGGGAAACATTTAGCTTCTCATTACATGAAAAGTTTATGCATCTACTTCTATTACTGAAATGATACAAGTAGACTGCGTATTTTATTCAAAGAAATTTCCTGGTTTTCCAAATAAAGAATCAATTACGCCAGTTACTTTAATAATAAGTAGAACATGGCTAGTTGGTTCAAGCTAACCTGTAATTCGTTATCAGCTTCTTTACGTTTTAACCAGGCTTTCCCTTGACCTTGCGGATCAATTAACAACGGGTAACGTTTGGCACGTGTTACAATTAATCCATTTTGTACTGACAATTCATCATTAGGCAAGCCTTGTACACCCCATTCACTTAATGTGGCATTATCCACCAACATTGTGATATAATTAATATCCTGGAAGAAAATAACAAAATAGAATTGCATAATAAATATCAAGCACCAAAGAACTAATCTAGGCATTAAAATAAAATCAGCACATCAGAAGAATATGCTGGTCAACGTTTGCCTGACCTAATTTCATCAACGTGCGTTAGTGGCACAGAGGTAGAATGCTCACCAGCTACTCATGTGGTCCTGGGCTTCACCCCCAGCGGACTCGTTCCCAAACCTCGTGTAACTGGTAGTAAGCCTAACAAAGAGGGGAGGTTTGATGTGAGATTAGTAATCCCACCTCGTAAAATTAAAACCATTGCTAACAAAACTTCAAAGGTCTAGCTTGAAGTCCTACGTTCCACTGGGGACGCAAAGAAATAAGAAAAAAAAATACTTGAACATTTCTATTTCTTTTCATTCATCGAAGGGAACTTTGTCTTTATTTTTCCTGAGACTAACATTAAGAACTTCAAGTACACTGACATCCATATTACTAACATTCACTAGATCATCTGTCTATAACGTCAACACGTTCATAAAGATTTGTTTATGAACTCATGTTAAGAGATACTGACTATGAAGAGTTAACATGATTCAGGAAAATACTGGCTGCCTTAGGAATATAATATATGTGTTAAGAGATATAAGCAGTTGTTCAACTTACATCAGAAAATGGTATTTTATTTTGTACCAACTCACGACGCCAACTTTGATTTAGTATATTACGAAAATCTTGATTGAATGGTCCTGTGTATGAAAGGAATCCAGTAGCCAAAAGTACATCACCAACCAGCCGATTAATTTGTTCTTCGAATGTTTGACTTGCTTCTGTCCATCTGACACGTTCACCTGAAATGTGAATGAGAAATTCATGTAAATAAATGTAAATGCATGATAGATACTGACTTTCACATCTATACGTACATGCGGATTTTATATTGTCAACGCTGAAACTATTACGGAATATATTTATACATCACTCAAAAGATTGTTACATAATCTCGACCTGCAGGTCACTACAACATACTTTAAAGAAGATTATCTCGGTTACTGATTAAGTTGAAGATTTAGGAGTGATATGATCTAAAGATGCACATATGTGTTTTGTAACAACTTTTTAGTTAATGAGAAATTTATAATAACTGCAGATCGTGTTGCTGAGCCCACTTCACCGTTTACTATGCTATACTTTTACCGTTCGTATGTTATTTACACTGGATCACCAGTTACGAGATCAGGATAAGTGTGTGTCACACATGTCACTTAAGGGTGATAGAAATTATTAAATTTATCGAAAATAGATATATTTTGTCGACAGATGGTAATGAACATTTTGTCTTATCTTTACAGTAGTCATCAAAACAACTGTGTATTCTGATGTTTAGTATTTTCAACATGAATACTCCAAGGAGCTAATCTATGATTTCTAGGTGGTTTTCATTATGCTTCTATGCCCACACTGATACTTTAATTGGTTTTTGAGTGAACTACAAATAACTAGTTGAAATTGTTGTAAAAACTGGTTAAGTTTACGTAATAATACTTATTGTAAACTGCCTATGACCCTTTCTTAAGAATCAGTTTTATTAGGATTCAACCTGGTGTCAGATCTGTATGTGTAAACACTATTCTACAAACTAAGTAGCTTAGAGTAATGGCTAGGTGTTCATAGTTTCATCGATGCAAAATAACTTCAAGACATGGTTGTTGGTGAAATTTATTGCTGACAAAAAAAGTCAACCAGGTACTTGAGGATATACTGATTTGTTCCGTAACGAATAGGCTGAATACACCTATATTATCATTCAAGATCATTACGACAGCTGTCATGCTCTATAATCAACCAGGACTCTGAATCTATAATAAATGACTGGCAGCTTACCACAATACTTTGAATGATAAATTTAGTATTTCTGTCCGTCATTAGACATTCACATCAGAAAATCATATTCAGTATATTGAAACAACGAAGTCAACAATAAATTCCTGTTTACCCTCACTTAGAAGGGAAACGTGAAAAATATTTGTTCATGACAATTAGTGTTACAAACTTATTCTTTAAGTTCAGCAAATTTTCAGTTACCTTCTGCCGATTTAAAATCTTACCTGCAAGACCTTCAATTAATGCTGTGGCGTTACTCATTTTCCTTCTGCACCCTTCAGCATCTTCTAAAAGCTTTTGTTTTTCAGCCATTGCACGATCATATTCTGCCTGGACTAAATCTAATTCCCTTTGTTTCTCGTCTAATTGTCCCTGAGCAATAGCCAGTTCAGCCATCGCACCTTCAAGTCGCTTTTCTTGTAATGCTAACATTGCCTGTTAACCGATAAAGAAAGTTTGTGCTGTTAAACAGTCGCTTTAACATTTAAGAATATATATGAATGGAGAGAATAAAAGTCAAATTTAAAAAATGTTCATATTTATTTGCCCGCCTTTTTCTGTTTTTAAATTCTACACCTAGATTCCAAATAATAACAAGAAATACTGGTGACTCACAAAGTGAAAGGTTTGATTATTTTACTGAGCAAGATAAGATTATGACTGACAATGCCTTTAGTGTCAAACGTCTGCTAAAACTAAGTAGATGGAAGGAATGAGTTTGGATTAGAAATATGGAGAAGTCTTGACTGATAATTGTTAGGACTCACGAGACTCCAACATCCATGGCTTTAGACCACCACTGACTGGACAATATCTTCATTGATTATGCACAAATCTAAGACCTTAGATATTAACAACTTTTCACCTAATAGTGATACGTTTAGTTGAAACTTCTAGCTAATTTAGTGTTCAGTACTAATGGTAGGGAAATATTTTTGGATTGGAGTAATTAGATGTGGAGCTTGAAGATGTAAATAAAGTTGCCAGATCTGAGGCAATGTTGCATCATATTTAGAAAAAAAAACGCAAACTTGCATGCTACTTACTATCTGTTTACTAATTTCAGTGGATCATCTCCAATTAACCTATCAATTTCTGATGACCAGTTTAATGAATTCATTAATATGGTTTTTCAGTGATGATCTTATTGAAGTAGAGCATGATTTGGCTGTTTTAATTTTATCAGATCTGTTACTGAAATTTGAATTAAGCATCATAGTTTGCATATTTACTATTCTGTCCATTAGCTGCTTAGTTCACTATTTGTACTAAGTGTGGTACCCATGCACCTTATAAATTTAATGAATTTTATTAACTTAGTATTCATGTTGGATACCATCAAAATCCTACCGTAATTTAATGTGCATGAGAAATAAGTTTATGCAAATAAAAGTACACTGACTCGGTGAAGATTTAATTTATGATATTTTTACATAGATCTACCTTTAAGCTTCATTTCAGTTTTTTCCTTAGTTTCTGTAAGAATAATATTCATTTTGCGCCGTCTAAGTGCAAAATAATTTTACAAACAAAGTCAAAATATGTATTCGCGCTCACCTACATATGTAAGTCATCAGAATCAGTGGTGTATCTTGGTAGTTATACAGTTGATAACAAAGGTGTAGCAGGTGTAACTTTTAATTTCACAATGAAATCTGAGTCAGTAAATATCAGCTTGAACCAGCTACGGTACCGTCGAGAAGTTAGTCTGGCTATCCAACGTCATGTTTACAAAGCTTTAGTAAGCACAATCTTTCCCTGTATCCATGATACCTCGCATCATCAATGTGATTATGTGACCAATCATCTCTGTCTTAATAAAATTGCTGGCTACCTGGGGCAATTCTAAGATCTAATAACTTGGCCATGTTGATAATTGACTCCTAATGACTGATGTTATCTTGGTATACAGGCTTCGATGGTACATACATTTCCTACGAATGTCATCTTAGTGGTTTCCATACTGTCCATCGTTTACTAGATGTGGGGCTAAATGGAAAGTGGGAGAGAGTCTATAAAGTGGAGCTGTAGGTTGAAGGGTAACTGTATTGGATTGACGTCCGTTAGTGAGTCATAACTCCCTCCAGGGGTTCAATGGCTCATTTAAGTCAGTGGCCAAAGACGTCGTCATATATTACTGAGAACCGAAATCTCTAGCGAACCTGTTGCGATTTCCTCTTTTCTTTTTCTGAAATTAACATGAAGTAATGAACGCTTCCCTGAATGCTTTAAACCAGTATGCTTATCTACTGTCCCTCAATCAATCAATTTCTATTTACCGTATGTTGTTTCATTATTTGTGTTCAGATCATTTCTTGGTGTCGATATTTTACCAAGTTTTTGTTTGAAATTAATATAAAAAGCTATTGATTTACAGCTAAACTAGTTCGCATTAGGATGTAGCAGTTCACTAATTTGTATATTAATACAGATTATGGTGTTAAAAGCGGTTATTTTATCTTTGTGTATTGTGCTATAAGATCGGCTGATTAACTTTGTTTATTACAGCTTGATTCCACACAGTATTTTTGATACAACTATGGAATTTTCAACATGGATATCGGTAGCTCAAATTCTGCAGGTCGAACATAGATATCAGGTGTGGGTCGGCAGGGCATCGAACCTCGAACCATGTGCATGGTCGCCGAGAGTCCTAACCACTGTGCCACCGACGCACCTTAGACGTACATATGAGTCAGATGCTGTCGTTTTGTATTCCACAGGCCGAACTAGAAAACCTTAGTTGCTATCAGGGAAACTTGGTGATTGGGGGGTGAAAAATCGAGACCCGTAAAATGTCAACGATGGAAGTGACAGAATAAGACATATCACTAAACCATTCAAATACATTAGAACAAATGTATCGAAATTCTTCTCTATCCTCATTCACATGTGTTTGGTGGCTTAGTTGCACGTCCATAATGTCAGCCTGATTTAATGAATGCATTTGATTGATTTAATATTTCCGATCTAGATACCTTTAAATGTTTGACTTTAGGTAGTGTTGCAATGTTAACACCTTTCTCTAGGGTAATCTAGACCAATTCACTGTAAAAACATGGTGCCTTTAAATCAAGAGATTAACTCTCTTTCATTCTTTGTGGATGAAACTGAAAGAAATTATTTTAATTTTTCCTTAATTGGTTGAATTTCAGTAGGCTGGAATGGCTTATGGTTCTGTAGTCTTGTATTCATGGAGAAGTATTTTGCTTTAGCATAGGTTTTTGTAATTCTGTTCTGGGAATTCGGATCATGCGTCTCAGAAAATATAAAGTTGTGTTCTCTTTTTCTTAATGCTATGATGCACGATGATGCTGAAATTGTAATATATGTTGCACTTTATCATTTCCGTACTTGTACTTCATTAGACTGCTGCAGGTATAAACAACCTGTCTTGTGATCTACGCATACGTAATAAATAAGGAACCAACAATCTTTTATGATAGGCAAATAAATAACATATTAAAGTGAAGGGTATTATATGAAGAGTAATTCAATGCATACTTTAAGTGGTAAAACTTCTTTGTTGACAGTGAAGAATGAAGCCATAGCTTTTGTCCACGAGCATAAGCCGGCCACGTCACCACAGACACGTTTAGCTTGTTCCATATTAAAATCGTCCATCTCAAAATAAGGTGCCATTAATTCCACTGTTTCTTCATTAATTGTATCCTAATTAAAAGACGTTGTTGGATAAAAAAAAATTTCATAAGATTGGAAAAAAAAAGTATTTCGCTATCATTTCAATATAGATACGCCACTTTTTTAAAATTCTGTCAGTAAACAGTTAACAATCTTTCATTTTATCATACTGAAGTAAATATATTGCTTGGTGCTTTAAACTCAAAGTTTTCAGGCGATGTGTCCTGAACCTACTTCATCCACTCTAACGATAGTAGAATTCACAGCCTCCACCAAATTAAGTATAGATTGTGGTTTAGTATACAAAGCTGTGATGTATTAATGGGTCACTTAACAAAGTAACAAAAAGATGTTTCAAAGCACTCTGATACACTGGTAATTCCAAAGATCCTGCTTTAAAAATAAAAGAGTGATCACCTCTCTTCCCGACTACTTAATTACCACTGAAGTTGGTATAGTGTTAAAGAAAACCTCAACTAATCAAAGCCAAAACGTGGTAGAAGTATACAAAGCAAATGAATTTCAAACTGAATTGAATGGAGCATCTGAGCTTCACTTAAAAGTCCGTAAGTTAGTAATTCTGACCTCTATAATATGACAGTTAACAAATACATTCGGATCACATTTATATTTGCTACTGAAGTACTTATCAACCGTCTTATGTCAGAATAATTCAGACTTTTCTTGAATAAGTGTTAATTGATATCTTCTAGTAATTTATTCTGTGATTAATGATTTAATGACATATTTCGCGTGCTTTTACATAAATAGATTCCGAGAGAACTAAATTCTACACATTGGCTTTCTATTCGTTAGAAAGGCGTTCAAAGAACGAGATAAGAAGCATTCTGAAGGCTGTAGCTTGTTATTACACAACCGAAATTAGTCATTGCGCCACCATTCTTCACTTTAGCAAGTGTTTCAGGTAAAAGTAGTGTTTTGCATATACACTAATCAGTATTATCAACATTTTTTATACGTGATAGCAATCACTGAAAGCTTAAGTCCCAGAGTCATGTTTGTTTTCGCATACCTCCCTACAAGTTTAATGTGAAAAATTTCTTCAGTCTCGCATTATGAATATACGTGTAAAACTTGGGCACTCTGGTAGTAAGTAATTCCAAATTAGTTTGTTTATTAGATGTATCACACTTTCGAAGTCGTGTGATTACAATTGTTCGAAACGTCATCCAGTAAATAATACTGTTTCACTGTGTGATACATCTAATAAACAAACTAATATGAAACTCGCATTATGAATTCTGAAGTAAAATATACATTTATACAGAAAATTACAAATTATCTGGTGACCAATGATAAACTCTGAAACAACTCATTTCTATTCTTAATTTCGATAAATAATAGATAGATAAATAGCATTTTGAGTAAGTTTTCCGTCCGTATTGGTGCAACAGAAACTCACTGACTTGTGGATCCGAAAAAGCTGAAAGCTTGCAACTTTTATTTATGCCTACTGTTCAAATAAGGCTCACGGTTGTGGAACTATTATGGACATAATGAGTCAGAACAAACTCAAAAATCTCATTGAAGTTTTATTTCTTACCTTCGGGAAATTTAACAATCCATTTAAAAAGTTAGAACCACCCATAAGTTTCAATGCTTCACCCCAACTGGGCTTAGGGCAAGCACGTTCTGGATCTGGTGTCACAGAATCCAACTTCTTTTGGAACAGTAGTAATACACAGTCCATAATACGCATAATCAGATGTGGTGGTCGGCCAAGTTTTCTGACTAAATTATAAAATAGATAGACATTGTACATGAAATGAATATTTTAGCAAGGCCAGGAGACCCAGAAAAATTGTTACTTAACTAGCTGCTGCATATTTACATACATTTTATTACGCTAGGTCTGAATTATTCGGCAAAAAAGTGTTAATTGCAAAAAACAGTCCACTAATTAACAAATAGACAGTCGTGTCACTTGCTGATTACTCTTGAGAAGACGACCAACGTTGAGGCTAGAGTTATTTCAGTAGCCCATAGTGACAACAGTCAGACATACACACTTCCCTTTCAGGGTGAGTGGTTGTGCGCAAAATGGTAAAAGCAAGCCAACACAATACCACGGACCATTCAGACTGGGCTAGTGCCTGCCTTCCTAACAGCATGAAGCTGAGAAGCATCCTTCGTTGACTATAAACAATGGGTCACATTAGGACGCATGCACACCATGAGCATCCTAGCGTGCTTCAGGGAACAAGATCTCAACAACCATACTACCAACTATTTACATAGGCACCGTATATGATATAGCTGGCTTACCCACATGTCCTTCCGAAGTCACTCTGGGCATACCCCATCCTTAATGGTCTCACACTAACTATTGGTGGTCCTGAAAATTCACCAAGGTCAGACTCGACTAAGAGACTTCGTTATATCTCCATATGAAGCTAAGAAGCCACTTCTGTGCCGTTCAGTTAAACCAAAGAGCCAGGCACGTGAGCTGCCTGTGTTTTGAGGTGAGGTTTAGTCCGGAAGCAGAAAGTGAGCCCTTCTGTGTTAGGAACCACTGAGAGGTACTCACCACTTTCACATATAACATGATCAATTAGACGGCAAGGTGAAGGTAGAAGACTTTCCGGCATTAACAACAGCCTGTCGAGTGTTTTCATCTTGATACTGAGGGTACTGAGCCAAAACATTAGATAATGACGTATTTGATTAACATGAGAAAATAAAGGTTTGTTGTTTTGTTCCATCTATTAGCGTGTAAACATTTCGTTTCATGTGTTAATAATGTTCATGATGTTTCTGTCTTTGTTACTGTGTTACTAATTTAATATTTTTGTATTTTAGAAATACAAAGATAAAAGGTAAGTCACTTGTGTTTTAACTATACTTGAGCTCAACATCTGCGTCCCTTGTGCTAACCGCGAGGAATAAGAAATCTACAGGTGAATTAAATCCAATAAAGGGATTGTAGGTAAGTATTATTTGAATACCTCAACAAGGGCTTAACACGCTTGTAATTCTGAAGTCAGAATATGCCACCACTGGAATAATGGGACATTAAATAAACAGTCCTATGTTGGGACCTTCAGTAGGCAGTAAAGAATAAATAGTGAATTGCTTATGAAATACAAGAGAGAAAAATGCAGTTCCCCCAACCTTATTCTCGTCGCAATAATCATTCTACTTTATGGATTCGAACTCAGCAAAAATTACCTAAAATATACAACAAATAAATTCCATCTAGTCAAATAAACAGGAATCTGTTGATCTAGTTTTCTGAGTGTCATTTTTATCCCTCCATTTATTATTTCAGTTAATTGCACAATTCTTGAATTTCCAAAAGATTAGTGGTCAAGTTTCTTTTATGAAATTCTGCTTTGCCTTTTTTAAAAATTCAGTCTTTCTTATGTTCTAAGACACTCTGAAAGGCTTTGCAGGTCACCTAACTTCGGAGAACTGCAAAGAACCAGCTTTAATTAGTATAGCAATGTTTCTTAGTCCTTATTTCTAAGTGGTAGGATGTATCAAGTTACTAGGAATGTGAAAAATTTTCAGCCATATAATGTTACTATTTTAATGCTAATACAGGTGGTGTTCGCGTCCGCATATTAGTTTCCTGTCTTCTACTACTTATATATATTGTTTCAACCACAATTTTGATTAGGAAAACGTACAAATACATTACCGTTTAGGTTAGAGAAGTGGAACACAATTTCTGGATAAATAATACTAACGAAATGAATATCGAAAATGGATATCTATAGACAAAAATACATAAAAAGCCTGTTAAAAGTGATTTGACATCTACATGAACCTTGCGTTCAGACATCCTTTAAGGGAAGATATCACAGTCCATTCAAAGGACATTCACTGCAGCGTCGTTGAGGATAGTGTCTCTCAGTCGACTATCATTGCTCAATAGCCTGAAGCACAAGATCACACACTCGCCAAACTCAGTATGTGTTTATCAGTGTACCTACCCCTGTGAAGTTAGGTGTTTTGTCATTCAACTGAAGTTCCGTTCCATAGAATGGTTACGAAAAGGTGAAAATGGAAATGTAAGAAGCATCGAAACTAGACATCTGATCGTCACGTGCCATCATATCACTAAGACCTGTCTTTAAAGTTATCTGCAAGGCAGATGTAGATATATTGATGTTGTCATACAATCTTGTTGTAATATAGGATATTTTGAGTTGATGTAAATGCAACTACTAGTGTACTTTTTGGCCTAGAATGCACAACTATTACTAAACTGAGTATTCTGTTACATATGCTTTAAATAGCCAGGACTCAAAAGATGTTTATAAAGTCCCCACAATAATCAACAATATCTTGTTGATCCACTAACACATATGTTTGGTTACAGAGGAGTATGTAGACAATTTTTCCCCAAAACTTTATTTAATTATCTTTATAAAATCGTTACTCTGAACTACTAAGAGAATAGCAACCACATATTACGTTTATAGGAAGTCAATTATTTACCATGCAAACTGCGTTTTACTAACCTGTGGAGATATGTGTTGGCTTAATTGTCTCTAATGCAGCTTCAGCTTCCATAAGAGCTGGTTTTGCAGCTTCCAATTTTTCTCCAGCAGCTGCTTTATCAGAACTAATAGCATCGACCAGAACTTGTGCTTTATCTTTAACTACTTGTACCTGTGCTTTCACCTTCTGTGCTGCATTAGCTTGTACTGTTACCTGAGCTAAGACTTCTTCAGATTTTTTGTTGGCAACGGCAAGTTCTTTCTCCTTTTCAACTAATTCTTTACTTAATTCATTGACAGACTCTGTAGCTTCAACTAATTTTTTTAGACCTGTGTTCATGCGTTCTGCTAATTGACCGATTTCTTCACGTTTTGATTTATATATCTCCATATAACCGCCAATGAAAGATAAGTATGATTTAGGTGTAACATGAGTTTGACGACGAAAACGTTGAAAATATTCAATGCATGATTCAGCGACCAAATCCTGTTTTGAATTTTAACAAAAAGAATGTGAACAAATGAAGAACAGTTTCTTCGGTTCAATCCTGAGAAGTTCAAAACTGTTAAATTTCGCTTCCTACAGAAGAATACTATCAATCTCTTATTCAGATATTTACTGAACCCCCTACGTAACGCCAGTACACTTTACTTGAAATAATATAAATATGTATTCTGAATGATAGTTACTGGTCTGCACTGCAGTATTATGCTAACGATTGAAACCAAAATCATGCTGAATCTACGGAAATGAAATAACTAATTATTAACAAGTCTACTCAAAAAGTTTCGGCTCTTATTTTAATAACTTTGTCTCCCAGTAAATTTCTAGTGTTAATCCGATTAGCATTGAAAATGCCTAAGTATCTAAACTGATTGGAATTTAAGAAAAATCATCAGACACATAACAAGATTATCTTAGTTGCCAAAAGCAAAAGAATATGTTTTTCCCCTTATCTCTTTGTTATAACTCTAGGCTAACAAGTAAGATATCCGATGTTATAGTTGAAAATGCCAGTCAACAATTGACAGGTTAATAACTAAGTAATCATTAAAATTAAGATAGAGATGACAATAACACACTAGACTAAGAATAATAAAACAATAGCTGCGCATTTTGAAATCACAATAAAAATAATAATTTTAAAAACCCTCTAACTCAATAACAATAATAATAATAATAGCAGTACTATTTACGATTCCAGAGATTGGCTAAGATGGAGAAAATGGTGGTACCAATAGGTTCTGGTTATCCAACTGAAGTTCAATGGCTTTTGTTCTGTCTAGAAGGCAGAACACTACATGTGTAGGATTAATGACAATAAGGCCTTGTTTACATCAGTCCAATAGAAGATATCAATCAGAAGTGTGACATTAATCTCTGTCTTGATTATAGTCAGTTACCTTCAGAAATGTTACGATGAATTTATAGTTCTCAACTTGCTTTTCTAACTTATACGAGTTTCCCGTCAAAGTATCAATTAGTCTGTTGCCCTGTTCACCAGTATTCAGGGAATTCAGCTTAACAGGCACGTATAAACCTAAATCAAATATCTGTTGAGAAAAAAAACTATAAACCACCTTTTCATGCCTCATTCGTTAGTCTGAAATTAATATAAGTATCTGTTATTGTTAATAAGCATACAAGCATTCTTTTTAACTCACTTGAAACACACCCATTGTTTGTACTACTGCCTTCTTTACATTAGGCGTACAAACTATGTCAAAATTCGACAAGAAGTGGTTTGAAACAGCAATTAACGCATCTTTTGGCCATCTCTGGAACCAATCCATAGTACAGCCGGAAATTAGTCCAGGGAATTTCAAACTACGATTACGAAACTTCTGTCCAACCGGAGAAAAGCATAGTACAACATGTAAGTTTTGAGTAACTCGACTTGAATAATATTCCGCCAAAGCTTCATTAGTAATAGGTCGACGAGGAAATTCACGTTTCATGGGACCAACTAATTCCTGTAGAATTTCATCCATCTCATCACGTGCAAACAGGTTAGCGATTTCACCGGAGCTAAGCATATTATTTAAATATTCCAAAAATGATTCATCTTTGATTTCATTATCTGTAAATAAGAAAGTTATTCCTTGACCTTGTTGACCCGCTGTTCGATAAAGATACTTAAGATCTTCTGTGAGATTTGAAACATTATATGACCTACATCAACGAGAAAAAATTGAGTTAAAGAATAAAATTATCTTTGGCGGTGATAAGCACTGAAATCCATGACACTAAATCCGCCTTATTTAGAAAGGACTAGCAGTATCATACTTATATCGTACCTACTGAATGTTAAGATCACAATAATTACTTCAGGATATTACTCACAGCAAGAACTGTCTGTTGTACCCTACATGATGATTAAAAGATGAATGTGGCAAACCGGGATAGAAGTAGTTACCCTGTAATTAAAATCAGGTACCGATTTCATAAAGCTGGTAGTAAACAAGCGTTGTTAGGTGTGACATCATCATCATTACAGACAAGCGTAGTCATGTGTTTAGGATAAAATTATAACATTCATTAATGAGGGTAAACTGATGCCTTATTTTACTTTGGTGTGTTGGTATACTGTTATTTCAACAGCTATGCCAGTTAAGGAGACTTCGCCTCTGCAAATCCGACTTACACTGGTCTACAGTTATCTTTAACAGCATTCATTCGTGTACAGTTTGGAGACGGTCAGTGTTTGGAAGTTATCACTCAAAAATATAAGATGTGAACCAATATCTATCTACTCACCACAATCTTCATCTTAAGTTACTGAGTAGGACAGTATACTCGCATGTAAATTCACGTGCATAATCCAAAATAAGGGAGTATCATTACATTTAAGAATTCATCTGAAATATTATAGCATCGGAAAGAAATCTTTGTTCTCATTATTAATATATTGGAAAACAGAGATTTAAAAATTTATCAATCTTACCTGCTCAGAGTTATTTGGAATGTTTTATAACCGGCTATAAATGAAGCTAGACGTGTAAGGGATTGTTTTCCAGACCCACCGACTCCGACCAACAACGCATGACCTTTTGGTGTTCGTATAATTCGAGAAATTTTCACGAGATGAGTCATAGCGTCCTTGAAAAATACTAAATCTAGTTTGTTGCCCCGAACGGATTCATTGTACATCTGCATTAGCATGTTTAAGCGATCATGCAACTTTTCGAAGCTTGCTATCGGTTCGTATACTTTTGGTGCTTCAAAATCTGCTTCATCTGTCTCCTCACCAGTTGGTTCTGCAGCATCTCTAAGGAAATCAACGAAATACGGATCTGACCAATCAACTTGACTCGCCACAGCGCCACATTCTTCAGTTCCTAGTTCCAAAGAAGGTTGAAAACAGATAGAGTTAGTAATTTTTGAGACTTTTCTAACCATCAGAAAACATAATTTTGTAATGTGATTAAAAATTACGGTAATTAAGCCATGATACTAAAGTAGAATCAATTTCATCTTACAGTAATGAAATTATTTGTCGTTATCGTTTCCAATAGTAACGTTGGTATACATTACAATAGGTCGATAAACATTTAGACATTTAAATTTAAATTTTTACCAAGATACAACACAAAATAAACTCGTCAATACTGAAATCTTAGTTTGTCCTTCTTCACTAGCTAAAAAACAGTACTATTTCTTGAAAAGTGTTAAAACAACACCATTTATGACTGCTAATAACTTTTAATTTAAAACACGCCACTACTATACTGAGTTCTCCATTCAGTCATATCTAAACATGCAACAAAAAAGTTCAGATGAAAGGAACTTTTAAAATGTTAATTTTCTCAAGAAAAGTTTTATACTGCACTATGTGTAAATGATCTCAATTATTAGCCCGAGTATCATGCAGTTCTGTGATCATCACACTACCTGAATTAGGGGCGTTTTGAAATAAATACCTTAGGAAGTAAAAATATTCCTAAAAACAAATGAATCCAACACTGTTGCTCACCAACTTGTTTCAAAGTTCTGTCGAACCATTCCCGATCACTATGCTCAGTAAAGCGATCAGCTATAACACGAGTACATTCATGCTGCCATAAAGCTAATGCTGTCGATGCGCTTCGAATAACGTCTGAAGTCGTACGTAGCATTCCTTGCCAAATGCGGCTAACATCACGTAGATTGAATACATAATGAAACTTAGCTGGAGTTGGTAACATTTTCACCTTAACGCGTTGCCAAAGTTTTCTGGTCGCTGGAACCAGATACTGAATAGTTTTAATAACATCCGTTGAAAAACCTCTTTGGGTACAAAAATGACCCAATCCCAGAGAACCAAACACTTTATCCATTGAAGCGTTACTAGGTAGCGTACAGTTGAATATACTGAATTGACGTTTGAGTCTCTGAGGTATATCATTACGACCTCCACCAGGATGAATCATAGCGGCCACAAACTGGTTTACAAAAAACATTGGTCAAATTAAACAAAAAAAATAAGTCAATGTAAATGCAAATTTATGCTAATAGAAGACATAATACAGATGATGGTCTTCGTTCCCTACTGGAGCTACAATCATCTCTAGTGATAGTAATCAACTATTTCATCTAAGAAGACTTAACTTCACTGCAAGCAAATAAAAATACGTACTGAAGATTTCCTATCCGTTGGTAAATGTCAACTTTAGTGATTTCATTTATACTACGTAAGATTATAATTTGCATACTTAATTATTCGGTGTTTATTTATAATGTGATTATGGTTCATTATCATTATGTTATTTATTATTATCCCCTCGGGTTCCTAGTGGAGCATAGGGCTTCAACAACACATCTCCACTCCCTTCTAATTTCTGGTATCGTCTTCAGCTGGGTCCACGATTGCCCATAATCTCTCATCTCCTCTTCGCACGGTCTCCTTCACGTCACCTTCGCAGCGAAGACCTGCTCGTCGTTCCCCATTTCGATTCCACCCGAGCTATGGCCTAGCGCGAATATCATTCGGCAGCCTCCTCAACGTATGCCCGATTCATCCCCCTTTTCGCCTATATATTTGTCGAGCAAAAGGCTGTTGGCTGGTTTCTTCCCAGGCAGAGTTTCTTGTTGCCAATTCTTTCTGGCCGGCCGGTAATTTCACTTTCAAAATGGAGCCACTGAAGAGGGCAGCTCCTGATAAGAGTCTGCAACGAGCTGTTATAAATCCTTTTCGTGACACGCAGTTCAAGTTTCTGACCCGTTTAGAAGAACCGACAGACTTCACATTTGTGTTGAACAGAATCCGAATATTGTTCTTTATGCCGTGGAGTGCAGAATATTTCCAAACTGGTTTCATGTTGATGAAGGCGTAACTTGCCTTTCCGATTCTGTTTGGCTTTGATAATTTCATCCGTTCCGACTACCTGTGGTTGAAACTATGCTTCCTAGATAAGTGAAGGAGTTAACCTTTTTCAAATCTCTAGAGCTGATGGTGATTGATGGTTGTTGTTGTTGTTGATGTTGGTTATCTTCATCACCTCCGTCCCCACCTTCTCTGTGCTTAACTGGAGTCCTGTCTTCGCCTCCCGCTTCTTCAAGCAGTTTGTTGCTTTTCGCCTGCCCGCCTGCCTGTCTGTAAGTCTTCGAGTTTGTGTGACACTAGACACATATCATCTCCGAAATCCACATCTTCTAGGGTTTTCTAGTCGATCGTCCAGTGTATTCCTGACTCCTTGCTCCCCATGCACAGTCTGACGCATAATCCAGTCCACCACAACTAAGAATATCGTCGGTGATAATAGGCAAGCAGCACTGTATTACCCTTATATGCACTACAAACGCCTCGCTGAGTTTTCCGCTGCGGATCATCTGGCACATGGCAGGCATTGTCATATAGCCAACTGTTGAATTAGGTTGATAAAGACTCGGGCACTGCACGCCATAGTGTTGAACTGGTTTCCAAATTACTTCTCGATCGACGCCATTTGGTTAACGCCTTTTTGAAGTCGCTGAAGTTGAGGTAGGGAGTGGTCTGACGGCCATTCTATGCTTTATTCTGTAATGACGATGCGTAGAGTGGAATCCAGGTTGTTCCGGGCTGGCGGAGTCCTGTGTCCAGTGCATCCCTTATTCCCTCCAGGATGATGCGACTTAGTGGTTTACTTGGCGTGGACAAGAGCATTATTCCATGCTAGTTCTTGTACATGCCTAAGTCACCCTTCTTTGGCAGCTTGACGAAGTAGCCCTTCTTCCTATTGGTAGGCACCTTTCCTTCCTCCTAGACCTTTTGGAATAACGGCGTCGGCATATCTTTCGCAGTCTCTGGGTCCGTTTTCAGTGCTTCGATGGGGGGAGGGATTCCGTCTGGCCTTGCCGCCTTCTTGTAGCTTGATCGCATTTAGGATTTCCGCCTTCGTTGGAGGATTGGTATCCACTGACAGACAGTTCTGTGCGTGCTGCTGTATTTCTGGGGCAACTTGCGGGTGATGGTTGATTCAAGAGTCCTTTAATCTGATCAGCCCATTGTTTTATGTTCCCCATCTTTGTTAATCAGGTTCCCTTCAACGTCTTTCATTGGTTTCATCATCTGGTTGATCTTTTGCCAGATAGAGATATATAATGATATATTGTCCTGATGTCTCTCTTACCTGTGACCTGCCTGTTCTGCTTCAGCTGCCAGCCAGTGTGAATCAGAATTATCTTTTGTCACTCTTAACACTCTTCTTCACTTCTTCATTCAGTGTAGTGTACATTGAACTCAGCTTCTCCTTCTGTTGCCTATCTTTACATTGAATCATCTTCTCTTCCACCACCCTCCTCTCCTCTCCCCAATTAGCTCCCGGGTAGGTATCCGTTGAGAACCATTCCCTGTCTTGTCTCTTCCTTCGTCCTAGAACAGGTGTACACGTTTCCTTGAATATCTCCTTCAGAGAGATAGTTCCAATGTTCTTCCACGCGTGTTTCTTCGGTGGTGCCACATAGTGTGTCTGACTATGTTCTGATCTGATCCGTAGTGAAGGCATCCTTTGTAGTTTTGTCCTTCACTTTCTGAATGTTGAACTTGAATTACAGTGGTTTGTCTCCATTTGTTTTGAGAGATTTCAGCTTCACCTTGAAGGTTCCTTGAACTAGATGATGGTCTGAGTGAGCCCACATCTGCTTCCCTTCTCGACTTTGTGTTCAGCAGGCTCGCTGCGTCTCCACTTCCTTGAGCAATATTGAGATGAAGTCTATCCGGTTTGTGGTGTGTCTGTCAGGCGAAATCCCTGTCGCTATCCTTGTGCGTGTACACGCTCCCTCCGATCACAAAAACATTGGAGGCGCAGAAGTATGAAAATAATTCTCCGTTCTCATTCATTTTGCCTAGTCACAGCCTGTCGACATATGATGAGTCCTCTTCCTGTATTATCTGCTCCAGTGTGGTTGGAATTCATATCGCCCATGAGGATTTTGATATCACCATTTGGGACGTTGTCCATTGCTGTTTGTAGCTGCGTGTAGAAATCTTCATTCTTCTCTTGTTTCGCGTTGTTTGTAGCACTGTGCGAAGCATCGCTTGATAATTGCGACCTTCCTTCCTGTCGATTTGAATCTTACTGTCATTATCCTGCAGGAGGAGACTGGTTCACACTGCAATAGGGCTTTGGCTGCCACTGGCCACATCACGATAGCCACTCATTGCCTCAGAGTGCTCATGGTTGTCGTTTGGTTGACCAGAGCGGAGTAGATTACTGACTCTACAGTTGATAATTTTGACAATCCACACCCATCCCAACTGGTCTCCTAGATACCAAGCATACAAGTGCGTATACCATATCTCCGCATTTTTTGGCTACCTGGACAGCCTTCCCAGTCTCGTACATCAAACGGACATTCCAAGTCCCCGTTCCTATTCTTGCTTTCATCGAGAGAAGACACATCAGCTGACTGGTTTCCCGCTGTGTCATTTCGCTTCTCCAATTCCAGCAAAGAATAAGATTTGAATTTTTCGTACTTTTAATATTTTGTGAGTTGATTCTTCTCTGGTGGTTTGATAGCTTTTGTGGTGTAGGATTGCTAGCAACCTAGTTAACTCCACGGTCTATGGTTCATTAGGTATTTCGGAATGAATCACCTCATCTCTATCTTCATTTCACAAAGGAAAACACTGAGGCATACTGACTTCAGTCGTTTCCTTGAATTCTGGTTAGTTGATTTATCTCTACTATTCTGTCGACCATTATCAACGATGCTCAATCTCTCACTTACTAAAACTGTAGCTTAATGGGTCAATTAGCTGGGTCACGGAGTTCTAGAGAGGACATAGTGATTTCTACATCTCCTGTTTATAAATTTTGCATTGAATTTCTAAGAATGAAAAGCCAAGTTAAGTGTTCTGGTAAGATTGGGACAGCTCAAATATATAATTATGGAGACGCATAGTGCACTTCATTATTACCTGAATATCAATAATTGATGTAAAATCACCGGGCTTGTCCAAACTATAGAAACCAGACATTTCCATCAATTGTCTAGTTATTTCATTTGTAATCTGGTCACCCCATTCATTAATAATTGGCATATTGATATCATCAATAAATATTGTCATTTTCTTTCCAGCTGGTGGTCCAAATGTACTACCCATGCGTTTATCCACATAACTTTCAACAGTGCGTTGAAACATATTCGGTGTGGTTGCACTTGAAAAGTTAACTGATTTGAATGTATGCACCTCTGGATTGTACTTGCCACAGTATCCTTTAATAATCACCGTTTTTGCTGTTCCCTGAAATCAAAAGTTGCGATAATCATGTTCAAGACAGAATCAGTAAGATACATAAAATAAGTACAATTGTAGTATTCAGATGATTCATACTGCTATTAGGACACTTCTTGGGTTACGCGAAATTCATCAATGGGTGGCAAAACGTCAGTCACTGATCACAAATACGCCATCACATTTGGATGTATTTTTCGTCACTAATATAGGCAGTGGGAAACCAGATTTAAAAAAATGTTGTTCACTTCAGACAAAAATCTGTCAACCCTTAAGACTGAGAATAAGCCCTAAGGTTACTCACTCAAAAATCCCATCGTATAAAAACAGTAAGGCGTGAATGCTGACGTTAAAATATCTAAAGCCTCGTGAATTCTAATACTTTATCTGTCCGCTAATATATTATGACTAACTTAAATATAAATAAATTCGCCTGCTAATCAGACACTGATGACTTTTTTCAATACTTACGAATTATAAATTTCAGTTATTTTATAAAAGAACGTAATGCATATGCTCAATGCTCAAAAAGCTGCCGTGTAAACTGTTATTCTTAAAGCTGCATATTTATCCACAACCAGCAACTAAACGTGCATCCAATTGCAAAAAGAAGAAAAATTGTTTTGAGAGAGATATCACATGTGCTTTATCCTAACTACAAAATAAAAATATATAATTGTCTTTCAGTTAAAAAGTTATTCAAATCTAGTAGGTGATTCATTTTTTCCATGGTCTACTCAAAACAAGGGCTTACCTGTTCCCCAATCAACATAGCAGGTTTACATTGCTTAGTGATTAAATCAAGCAAGAAATCTGTTCTTGTATTATCCACATTTGGAACAAGAATCCCAGTATACTCAGGTGTATAGTCAGCTGGATAGGCATAGGTCGGTACTTTACTCTCCCAGTGTGCCCATTCACCACGTTCATCCACCGTATACTCAAATATTGTATCATCTACTCCACAATTAGGTAATGGTAATTTTCTTTGTTCCACTAAGAACTGTTGTAACTTTAAGCGATCTGGTAATTCTAGCAGAGCACCTAAGGACCACATTGCTGAAAATGTGATCAGTCTATCCATATGAAGTTGCTTGATTTCTTTTTCATCCATCCCCTGTAGTAAACCTTCAAGAAGGTTAATTGCCTGCCGAATGTAATTGCACTGTAAGGTCTGTAAAGATTTTTAAAACGTCAATGCACAACATCAGGATAAATAAATAAAATATTCAAATAAGCTGATACCTATGGAATTCAAAAATTAATCAATGAGATTTTATTATTTAGCTGCTTCCGAAAGAATTCAAGAAAGAACTCAAAATTTGGATGTAATTGAATACATTCTACATGATACTGTGTTCAGAAGCTGAATGTACATTTTTCCAGGCTTGTAAGCCACAGAAACATATGTATAGATTTCCGAGAAACAGTACTTATAAAGCTCAGGTCTCATCCTGGATACGCTTTCGACATCTTAAAAATTTTGTGATTGAGAACGGGAAGTTTTTCGGCGTGATGATTATTTCCCCCTGTTTCAATTTTTCTTTGTGCTAAAAGTACTCAAACAAGTTACTAATACGTACAGGGAATATGTTCTAGGGTTATTCTCAAAAACAATTTTTTGTATTCTGATAGGCCTATAATTATAAGAATAACTACAACTAGATATCAGTTACAGAAATATTTGGTTTCAGCTGGTCACTAGATAGTAGTTTTCTTTATTTCTTTCACCAATTCTGTGTTCTAAACTTGCATTATTCAACGAAGATAACTAAATACAGTTGTGATTCATAAGTTAAGAAATGACTAAACACTAAGTCACGGCCATTGAGGGATTGTATTAAAAACAAGAGCACAGACTATAGACTTGTTAAAAGGTTTTTATTAATACTGAAAAATTAAGGATAGATCACAGTGTGCATTAGCCATGCTGATGCTTATAAAATGATACCAGTCACGTGCGTTTCATGTAAGTCAGAAGTTTTATTGATTCAGGTATTATTCTTGGATGATACTGTGACTCACCTCAAGTTAAAAGTGGTATGAAATCAACACTAGTGAGTACTTACTTCCATCTTTGGTTCTAGATTTTGTGTTACAAATCGATAAGTATCTTCAAAAAATTCTTTGAAAGTGTTTAATATTGAATCTGTTACAGCTGGGGAACGAGTTCTAAGCCATCCTATTGGACAAAAACAAGTAAACAGGAGAATTGCTCACATTATGTAATTCTGGTTTATTATACTTTCATCAGAATCTGGTTATTACTATCTAATTATTAGGCAGTTAAAAGTGATTCATGTTTGGTTGGCAATTACAGTTTAATCTTTTTTAGGTTTTTCTTCCATGAATTATTAAACTTAGGGGATAACTGTACATGAACCTTAATTCAACTGTCATATATTGTTCGAGGCTTTCGTATGATTAAGAATCGTGTCTTGTTACATTCTAACTTGTCAGGCATCTAAGGCGTTTCACCCTTAGTCTGAATCAAGTAAAAGGTAACCACAAGAACATCTTGTTAACTAGTTGTTTACCTGCTAGATTATTTCTTAGGTCTGTTCTTACAGCTCACCTTATTTGAAACAGAACGTAATTGATTTTTCGAATTTCTTCATCTTCAGTAAGACTTATAAGCTCGCAGTTGACTCTTTAATGGGTCAACAGACTGAGAAGTAATTTACCTTTTATCAGCCAGCTTCATTTTTCAAGACTGATCATAAACTGATTTCAGTTAAATAAACCAAGGAGTATTAGACAGGTCTTTTGGTTATCACTCTTGAAATCAAACAAAACCCCAAACGGATCAACACCTAAAAATCTTTATTTTTGTGGACGATTTTCTCAACGGTAAATTAAAGTAGCAAAAATGGTAAGAGTTACACCCGCGTTTGTCGCAAGTGAGACTAATTTATCAAATGTAATTCGCAGTTTCTAACCATTCAACGTCTATCAGTGTCTGAAATAACCGAATTCTCTGTTGTAATGATAATACGATACTTCTAAATCAGCCACAACGAATACGTAACTTACACACAGTTTATGAACATATGTGCTTTATCCACCTATTCCTCTTTATGAATTTGAATAAAGTAAAGACGAGATTTTGTGCAGAATAAGATGTTATAGTCATTTTTTTCGTTGGTTTCTTATCAGCTGCTTTAGCATTTGCAAAGTTATAAGATGTATAGATTCACCATCTACTTGCGCTGAAAAGTAGTTTACTTTCAGAGTGAGCTGAATTTTGAAAATGGGACGAAAACTTGCTAACTGTCAAGCATGTATACATATTAGTGGTCTTTATACTAATACCACTAACCAGTGTGCCTTGGAAGCAGTTAGAAAAGAACTGACTGCTAATTACGAACTCACTAAAAGAACAAAGCTATGCATTGGGTAATTTATCTTAAGAATTCAATTATGTCTCATATTTACTGTCTTCAGCTTCCAGAATAAAATGTATATGCAGACAAAAGGGGTAGCAACAGGATCACCAATATTCGTATTGTAACAGATATGTGACTCTTAAAACACTTATTCCCACCCGAAAGACATAGTGGAGTAATGCTAATAGAATTTTCAAGGTATTAAAAACAAAACATATATCTAGCTATTTCAAACATATGAACTCAATGGTAGAGGAAATAAAATTTACATCTGAGTGAGAAAGTGAACAAGGAGAATTAGCCATGCTAGACTGTAAACTAAAAGGAGAAGGCAAGCTATGCACTAGCTTTTACAAAAAGTCAACGTACTCTAAGGGGCTTTAATTCATTTTACTCGTTATCTGTAGGGGTAGGCTACGTTAAATGTCAAACAAACTGAGCAAAAACTCCAAGTAGTAAATCAGGAAACCTGAAGAAGCGTTTCTGCCAAATAACTGTCCTATAAAATTCACTGAGAAGATCAGGGAAGCACACAAAGAAAGGAATTACAGTAGTGGAACTATTAATCATAAGAAAGAATTTAAGGCATCTACATTTTTACCATAAAAGGAAGGGACGTCTAAAATCCTAATCAAGGCTCTTAATAAAGCAGAAACTAGAGTGACATTAAGGCTACTAACTCACTCACGGATAGGCTTTGTAGGCTAAAGGACCCTATTGACCCAATCAGACAAAATAATGTAATCTACAAAATTCCTTGCAATGGCTGTAAGGTCAGCTGCGTAGGTCAGACCAAGTAGATCGGGGGTAGTCATATTATCGCGTCATAAGAATTTAGCTAAATGTAGAATGACTGACCCTACGAAGATGGACAGTTTGGAGAAAAATTCGGAAATCCGGGTGTCTGCACTAACACAGTCACATAACAGGATGGGACAGGGCTACAGTTCGAAAAAGTAAAATAGGTAGATGGAGGGAGAGGTTGATCACTGAATCTCTGTTCATTGAATCTTCACCTAATATGTGCAAAAGCAATGACGCAACACCAGTACCAGAGATATGGAAAACTTTGCCACCAATAAAATCAAAGAATGGGAATCCTAGAATAACATAAACCAAGTTTAAAAGTTATGTGAGTGCTTTGATATGATTATGAGCAATAGATTGTGCCCGAAACACTATCATAACTGTGTTTTAATCGAATACATATATTTTGATGTGGTTTTGTTCTCCGAGCTGGAGTATGCGCTGAAGATGTCACCCAGTAAGGTGACGAAAGCTTCGCAAACTAACCATCCAGCTCGGAGAACAAAACCACATCAAAATCATCCACCTGAGCTACAAATCTTCTCTATCATATCTAAATACATATATTCTATGTTATGAATCATCTTTTCATATTTAAACGTTTTATTGACTAATTAGATTTGATGTACCAGTAATCAATCCCAATTAGCTTGTAGGTAACCAAACTTTGGGTTGGAATAGATGATCGTGACTCCACACTAGCAAAACGGCTATCTTATGCCTCAACCACTGTGGTGTCTATAGTGAAATCTGAAGAACAACAAAGATGTTTTTTACGCTCTCAATTCCTTCAGCAACATATCACTTCTTTACCATACTGACACTTGCCTTTTTAGTGGTGAAAGATTTTTCATTCCTTCTGATTACAGGTATACCAAGCTTACAACAATTCTAAACTTATTCTAACCTATGCATAGATAATGCCTTTTTATGTTAAATGAATACTTTATCTACCCACTATGTTCTGAAATAACTCTGGTCGTGCTGAAAAGAGAGCTGGGTGCTTAATTAATGCGACAGAAATCTTAAAAACAAGATTAGCATCCGAAATAATGCCTTTAGTACTGAAAATAAGCACTCCATGCCTAACTGCTGCGATTAATACTGAAAAATAGCACTCTCTCGACATAGTATATTGAAACCAACCAATCAGCAATGAGTAGGTTTCACACAGAGTACGTAGCGTGACGGCTACATCTTGTCTGCGAATTACATGTGATGTGATTGGTCTATTTGACCAGAGGTGTGACAGTAAATACGAATACTACTGAAACATAATTCAACAGGGGGGCAGGGGAATGTGAATCGGTCACAAATGAAGATTGCAATAAATAATATATTTCGTTTGTGGAGCGTCCCTGAATTTGATTACAGTTCAGTTGAGACGAGGTCACAAGTGAAAAAAAAATTATAAGCAAGGTTAGTTGTGTCTAATGTGTATTCTGCCAGCTATGGGAAAAAATATTTTAGTGCATCGTTTCGAAATTTGAAATACAACGAAATATGAAACTTAGATAAAGCAATAAGAATACAATTGGTGGATGGTGGCTAGCAGTGGAATCCAGGGTGCGCATTTCGTCCTAATTGGGACTCGTCAGCTGGATGTACCTGCATTTCTCAGTGAGTGATGATGTTCCCACCGAGGCTCGAACCCAGTGCCCATAGTTTCAAACGCCAAAGCGTTATCCACTAGACCACTTGGGCCACGAGAGCCACCTCTTGTGCAACGGGTCATATTAATTATTGAATTGAATTCCACTGCTAGCCACCATCCACCAACTGTATACAAATCAAATCCCCAGACATCGTCGAAGCATCTGCACAAGAAGCCGACATGTCAACCTGAGACCGAGCACTTCGGTCCAATCAATCGACGGGAAAATCAAGAATTCAATTCAATAATTAATATGACCCGTTGCACAAGAGGTGGCTCTCGTGGCCCAAGTGGTCTAGTGGATAACGCTTTGGCGTTTGAAACTATGGGCACTGGGTTCGAGCCTCGGTGGGAACATCATCACTCACTGAGAAATGCAGGTACATCCAGCTGACGAGTCCCAATTAGGACGAAATGCGCTTTATCCTGGATTCCACTGCTAGCCACCATCCACCAATTGTATACAAATCAAATCCCCAGACATCGTCGAAGCATCTGCACAAGAAGCCGACATGTCAACCTGAGACCGAGCACTTCGGTCCAATCAATCGACAGGAAAATCAAGAATTCAATTCAAAGCAATAAGAAGACGTAATTTGTCGTGTAATGTATTTGCGCAACACATTTCGAACAATCTGATCACACACGGACTTGTCATAGAAATATATATGAAATTAATAAAGAGGTAAGAGGTGAGAAAAATAGACTTAGGCCAAGTTAAAAGGACATATTCAGGGTCAAAATAACAATGAAGACCACTAAACCAAATAGCAGAGGTAATAGTACATCTGCTATGGTATCGAAACAAAATTTACCAAGGAAGGTTTAATGTGATGACAAATTGTTTTTGAATGCATAAATGTGTCTTGAATTTTCTAATTGCTAGGGCTTCTACAAACGAACCAAAGGGGAGGATGAAAGCTGAAATCCCATAGATGAAAAAGGATACTTGTCATAAGTGAAGTGTAAATTTTTCCGACTGCTGAGCACTATTTACGAGGGAATCCAAACGAAACAAGGTGGTGGTGATTGTTAACATGTTAACAAATGTTAACAGTTGTGATTACAGTTCATCTGTCATCCCTTTTCACATTAAGAAAACGGATGTTTGCCTAGAGGTGCCCAAGTGGTACTCCTTGCATACAGAGACCATTCTTACAGGATTTATAAATCATGCAGGTGAGTTAGATTTTGGGTGTATATTTGTCCATTTCTATTAAACAATTCAGATAATGTGTTAGATACGGGTATTCAGCATTCTTCAACAAGTCATAAGAGAAGAATATCTTCTGGCAGACTGCATGAATGCTACTCCACACTTTATCGCCGTCAAAAACGGTTACGTTTATCGTTCTAAATTAGTGCTAGTCATGCTGAAAACCGTGCGTCGGTGGCTTGGCAGTCAGGATGATCGCCGACCATGGTCCGGGGTTCGATCCCCGGGCGGCGCACTCCTTTACCTCGCCAAGCCAGTAATAAGACTGGTAGAGAGGGAAGGTTGGCCATGAGGCTAGCAACCCCATCCTGTAAAAATAATCACCAATGCTACAAAAACTTCAAGCCTGTAGCCTGAAGCCCTATGTTCCACTGGGAACTTGATGGAATAAAAAAATGCTGAAAACCAGCACCGAGTTCTAGCCTGTGCCATTAAACAATCCATTTCAGAACAAATTCAGAATTTACTCACTATAGGATGGTAGAATTATCTCAGAATTACAGAAATTTAATTCACCATTTTAGTAAGCTTGGGTATAATACCATTGTTACCGAATAGCACTCCACTTTTGCAGTGAAAAAAGTCTTACCTCTTAAAATTGGTTCCCAAGTCATTATGGAACTTGACATAAAAATCATACCATTGCGGGATACAGTAGCTGGTGAAGCATTGTCTATATTGTGCACTTCAAATAAAATTTTCGCAGTCGGCGCCATTGGTATCCTGTCACCATTGGCTAATGTCAGTGTTTTATTGTCATCCAATACAGAATTTAAGTTTTCAATCCATATTGCATCTACTGGTCCATCTAAAATCAACCATATATGTTCACCCTTTTTAACCTTATGAGTACGTCTCCATAAGGTTGAAAAGATACCATCTGTCCAATCATTTGTAGCTACATCTAATCTACCAAACATTTGAGGTGCCGTTATCGCCTTTGGATTCATACGCATTTCTCGATGTGGATCACCAGTTTCAGTCATTGCTTTCATTAAGGCATTAATGCATTTTGTTTTGCCAGCGCCGGACGGTCCAAGTGTCATTACACCATGACGAACTCTAAGAGTTTCATAAAGTTGTATACATTTTAGCACCCATGGTGGATGGTAAATCAGGCCAAGTTGGTCTATCTAAAAGGAAAAAGACGGTGCAGAATAAATTATTTATTTTTATTTTTTTTTTAAATTTTTGATTACAGCTTGATTCCACCCTGTATTTTTGGAACAAGTATGGAGTTTTCAGCATGGATATCGGTAGCCCAAATTTCGCAGGCCGACCATAGATATCAGGTGTGGGTCGGCAGGGGATCGAACCTCGGACCATGTGCATGGTCGGCGAGAGTTCTAACCACTGTGCCACCGACTCAGTGTTAGACATGGTGCTTGTCCTGTCTTCTTTTTCTTCAGATAGTTTCGCAATACTGTAAGTATACAAGCATTTTGAAGCAATTACTAGTTATGAGGTCATAATTACCAGTCGGAATGGTAATATAATAATAATAATCTACTTTATTCCAAAAACAGTACTCATGTCAGTCAAATTCAACTATTCAAAATAGTCTTCATAGACAAACGTAATAATTGGCAAGATACACTAGCATATTATGGTAGGAACTAAGTTGATGAATATCCTCAAAAAGCAAGAACCACACGGGAAGGGTAAACATAGATGAAATGTTTGTCAGCTTTTTCTAACTATTTCAATTCCATATATTCTAGTACATTTCCATAAATTCATTCTATCCTAAGTGGTACACAATTTCACACATAAACTGCCTAAACGCTCAGCTACATTCATGTTTCTTCTGTTGATAATATCACACTCTCGTCGATCAAATGATGATTTAACTGCTTGTGTCTTATTTTTCAATCTATATTTCAGGAAGCTAATTAGAGTTTTTTCGTCCAAGGACAGGCTGCCTAAACGCTCAGCTACATTCATGTTTCTTCTGTTGATAATATCACACTCTCGTCGATCAAATGATGATTTAACTGCTTGTGTCTTATTTTTCAATCTATATTTCAGGAAGCTAATTAGAGTTTTTTCGTCCAAGGACAGGCTGTAATGCATCCACAGAATTTTGTTTACCTGTGGATGCGGAGTTTAACCATGAATCTACATTAGTTGAAGTATTATACTACAGTCATTCAATATTTTCAACGTCTCAATGCTACTACGGCTTTTAATAAGCCAATCGGTGCAACCAATGTGATTACGCTTATCATATTTCTGAATTTATTTGTTTGAAGACGATAATTTAGTTCACGATATTTAGGAATAGATCTAGTTTATTAATTTATATGAGTTTGACTGCGGATTGATATCAGTTAGAGAAGCATTGAAAACCAGGGAGTACTGCTTCTCTAACCGATATCAACCCGTGGTCAAACTCCAAACTCTTGAAAATTAGTTTATTAATACTTAGCTACAGAAAGATAAACTCCACAAATGGTTATGCAGATGGAATTCAGGCTTCTTTTATCAGAAACTTTGACCTTGGCAATGTGGGACGATTCCATTTGTACATATGGTTCATTTTTAAGTCAGCTAACTGCTGGTACATTTAAGTAGTTTAAAATTCAATCATTGAGTTGTCTTATAATCACATGAAATGCTATGTTTAGATAAACTGTGTGATCTGGATCAAGGCTACCGCTGGGTATTTTTTCACTTGACAACGATACACTTTTTAGTAGATACTGACAAACTCTTTTGGTAAGTACCCTCTTCACCGAGGTCTTTACACCATAATTCTATTCAAAGTTATTTCAAAAATGAAATCCAATGGTTGTTCAGGAAACTAACTTACCTGTTTCTCCAGTGAAGCTTCGACTTCAGGATAACCTTTTTTATCTAACTGCATTCCAGGAAATAAATCCAGGATTAAAGACATGAATAATGGTTCGTCCTCATCAACTAGCTTACTTAAATTCATGTCACGTAACACACGCATGACAATCATTGTCTCTGAATCTTGTGGATTAGCACGTTTAAAGGCGCCTAAGGTACGTAGAACTGATAGGATATTTCTTAAGCCAAAATCGTAATGTACCTATAAAGACAAGGTATAAACGTGGTATTAAATATGAGATAACCTAAAACATATAGTACAATAAGTTGTATACAGCTGTTCAGAAATTCAAGAAATCCAACTGACAGCCGTCGTCAAAAATGACAGTTGTTACATGCTAAAAATATTTGTCTTCCATATCTTTTATTCAGATTCGGACAGATTAAATGCCAGAAAGTCATTCCAAGCATTCAAAAATAGGCTAATTTTCCTGAGAGAAGGAAACAAAGTGCTAAAATGCTCAAATCTAACATTTAATGAGATCAAAGAAATCAATTATTCTAGCCCAGTACACTTTAAAAAGGCAACATTTAAATGATGAAGGACTTTAAAAGCACTAAAATGCAATGGGAAAAATTAAAGAATTTAACAGACGGAATTAAGAACATATTCTGGACTATGGCAGGCTGTCAATCCAGTTTTACCATGTTACAAGTGGTGTTTTCCTATGTACTTCAAAAACCTGGGAAGCTTTGTAAAAAATCCACATTTCCTCAGTCAGGTCATGACTACCGAATATGAGTTAATGTCTTGATGCCTCAACTTTGCCTGGTCAATATACCATTTGACGACCTTATATTCATTTAGGCCAGTTTTCCCCATTTTGGTGGACGATGATTCACTGTATTTCCAACAAGTGAAAATTATTAAGCTTCACAAACAGTTCATTAGCGAAAGTGGAAAAAATCATACCATGAGGAAAAACCAACTTCAAGAAAGCCAGCATATTTACAGATTCTATCAGCTGACATACATCTGGCTTTAGTAGGCACACTTCACAAACAAGTATTAGTGAGCATCAGATTATAGGTTCTCTTCATTCAACATACAGTGGATACGCATATATCAGACACTGACGAGATGTTCGACTATCGACCAAAGGGCGGGTGTACTGCTCATCAGTCCGCTCCGTCCTCCTTTATGGCTATCTGTGATACCTGGCCACTGAGAGTGGAAGACATGAAAAGACTAGCTGTCTTTGATCATAGATGCCTGCGCTCTATTACCCGTGTAAAGTGGCATAATAAGGTGAGAAACATGGAGGTTAGGCGCACAGTTCTAGGTAAACAGGGGAAATCAATCGACGAAGTCGTGAAGCTACAAAGACTGAGATGGTTAGGACATGTGTTACGTATGCCAAGCCATCGCCTCCCTCGACGAGCTATGTTAGCGGATATAGGGTCAGACTGGAAAAAAGCTAGCGGCGGTCAAACAAAAACTTGGCATCAGTCAATGAAATCCTCAACAGTTGGTCTAAGCCACGTAGAAAGGTGTAGACTTCCAGGCTGGGGTCCTCGGGACGGTAAAAATCTATGGTTGGAAACAATTGGTGACATGGCTCAAAATCGTTCTCAGTGGCGCAGATGCATCCACTCCCTGTGACTTATGATCTTCAATGAAACTGTTTTGTATTTCTTTATTACTCCTTTGTCTCACACCTCTGCTCACTGTTTCTATTATGCTTTTCTTGTACTTTCTTCTCTTGCTTCGCGTGCTACACGGAATGTGGCGACTTGAACTTCCGCACATTTGTGCAAAGTTCTATGTCGAAAACAGACAGACAGGCACTGACCATACATATGAAGGAGGTGAGCACTTATTAGCGAGTGATTCATTTATCAAAGAATTCTTTGTTTATGTATGAGGATTTTCTTTATTGCAGTAAACGGATGGAAGTTAGTGAACTATCAAATCTGCGATAATTTCATTCAGATAAAGAGAAACTGCTGCTATGCACAAAAACTTTAATTTCATAACTTCAAAGCTTAAACATTATAGAATAAAGTATAAAAGATGTAGGTGTGTGATGAGAAATTCTAGTAGTGACATTCATTGCAGGTCACTAATTAAGCGAACAATGGTGTAGCGTATGAAGCAACCAGCTCCTGGCTCGGGTTACAGTATGTATAAGGATACGTCATGCCCAATACTAATAGTGTACTTTCTGTTGAAATAATGTAGAAGATTTGTAGCTCTCAGGTGGATGAACCCGGTGTAGTTGTGTTCTCTGTACTGAGTGATTCGATTGAAAAAATAGCTATTTATATTCATAACAGTCACATCAGTAGATTTATCCCATTACTGTCGAAACCAATGGAGTTGTAAAATAAAGCATCAGAGATTCTACTAAGATTGTAAATTGTAAGTATTGTGTATCAAGGTCATTGTCACTGTAGGCTGATTAAGTACAGCATAAATCCAAATGAAATTTATTAAAGATAAATCTATGAACTACTCTTGTAACACCGTTGTGACAACAGCCGCTTACTGTTACATAGGAGACTCTTTGAAACTATTCACACTAAGCGCAGCACTTTATTTCTGCTGCCAGGATGAATGATGGAACACTAACCACTCAGACAATGAAAACTATTTTTCAGTCCTGTACACAAAATGACGACCGACTAATTATCTGGGATGAGCAAGATATTTGAATTTGGTTCAACTATATCCGTAACTTTGTTAACAATAAAAATATTTTAAAATGTACTGAATAAACGTTTCATACAATTAGATCTGTACCACTGACAGAAGTATATAGTGAGTAACAAACATCTCCAAATAATCACTCACTTGTTTTGAAAGTTGCTCTTCACAAAGTTTATAAAGTGTATAGAACTTCTTAGACAGATCCACGTTATTCAAGAAACCACAGGCTGCTAGTTTAACACGCATAATAATTGCTCTATCTGGTACCATCATGGCAACTGTGCGGAAGTTGATTTTCAAATTTTCTGGTAATTCCTGACGACCAGCATAACCAGGATTCTAAATCAAAGAAAAATAATTTTTTAAGTAATGATGTTGACGATGTTTTATTTGTTGTTATAGTAAAAACAAGAATAACTTGACTGATATTCGATTCAGGAAGGGAATACAAATTATAGGATCCTGCATTCTTAGAATATTGACATTTTAGTTTCTAAAAATGGGTGAACATAGAAATCGTAATGAGACAAAATAAAGTATCGGATGAACAGTATACGAAAATTCATTGATAAATTATATGATATGTAGTTGAAACATACAAGCACTTGGTCAACAAATAACTTTTATAAGTTATAAGAAGGCAGAAATAAAAAAAACCACTTGTATATAATGTTTTTATGTAATTAACTGATAATATGGAATTTGACGCGACGGATTATAGGGTGGACTTCAGGTATGGTCAGAAAAAAATGGTTTAATGGAAAATTTCATTCCGAAAGAAGGACTATTTGTAATAAAGGGAAAGAAGTATTACCAGCATATGCATATTATAAATGTCACCGGGAACTTTTAGAAGAGGGAATATGCTCCAAGGCTTGGTCATGTGACTTATGTATAACTGCCGCCACTTCACACACCTACAAGCGACTGCATCTGTTATAAGTTTTACTGCAAAACTCCATTATAAAATTATGACTTTCGATACGGTAGTCAAACTAAATAGTGTAGAAATTTACCCTAACAAGTAAAAATAATTATGATAAGCAAATAAATAAATATTAGATGTTTGGGGGGAGGGGACAGTGGACAAGATGCCTTATACCAAGGATTCGTGCTTGTTGACACTCGTCAACGAAGCGTATTTGCAGTCTTGTAGGGACTTATGTCTCCTCTGCAATACGAATCCTTGACACCCGGTGCTGCAGTCAGACACGTTGCCATTGAGCTATTCGAGATCGCAGCTGACCTCCTGTAGAACTATACTGGATACTTTGACTGGACTGATCTCAGTATCATTGTTATTCTTCCAGCTGAACAGAACTGTTTATGACAAACACATATTTCAGTGTGTGAGCCATCTGCCAACTGGCTGGTTGACATTTCTGAAAATGTGGTAAATATGTTGCAACATAAAGTTATTAGAATTTATTTCATTAACCTTACAACAAACTATCTAACCATCTAGTTATTTTCAAAAAAAATTAAGGGAAAATGAAGTACTTATTTGTAAAATCGAAATTGCACAATACCATTACTCAGTTTGAAACTCATAATGTCCACCTCTTTCCCTTTTAGTGAAAAGGATACTTCTAAGCACTTTAATATGTCACACTGAATACCACCGAAGGAAGAATTTTACATCAGTAGTTGTATGCATACGTTAGTGGAATGGTCATATGCTAAACCTTTTACAGTTCATCGGAGTCTGGTTAAATATAATTGCTATAAAGAGAAAAGTGCATTAAACACAAAGCCGAATACCTTATAAAAATTACCTCTACAAGCTCAGTGTAACATAACCTCTGTTCATACCTTAGTGAGCTTATGCTCTCTATCATTTAGTATGCGTATGCACTAGCAGTCATCAATTAACCGATAATGTAACTAAAACATCCTCCCCTGTTTTCTTACTTTGGCTTCTACTGACTATTGGCTTTTACTATATGAGTATTCGTTGAACGTTTATTGTATAGACAAAAACTTTCATTGATATTTAGGTCAACATTTTCAATACAAGGCGAAGTTAAACTTTCGACACCACTAACTACCAATCAGCGAATTATCCAATGAGATTCACGAACGACGTCGAATTATCCAATGAGGTTCACGAATGTAGTTCAATGTTGTTTAGCGCTTGATTCATTTCGAATCCATGCCCTTACAAGGTTACGGTTGCATTTCGAGGAGGACAGTGTTTTCCGGTGTTGTCTGGATTTGGGGTTTCTCTGGAAGGAGCGAACGTGTTCATGTGGTGGTATCATGACTTTGAAAAGCTATAGCAGATCAACTGATGGATTTGTTCGTCGTTGTGCTATATGTTTGAAGCGTGTTAGCATTAGAGAGGTTAAGCTGATAATTTCAATATTTCGTAGGGACTTATTTTTCGCTAGGTCGCATCGCTCCCTAACCCAGATTTTGTATATCTGCAACTGCTGGGTATTGAAACAGCCGGTGAGGGCAGCAGCTGCCAAGACGGAGAATAACCTCGTCTCAACAGTTCAGTGGTACCAGTAATGCAGAGATATTGCTTCAGGGAAAATAGAGAAAATCACTTGTTTGCTGGGTGGATCCCATTACGAGGACTCATAGGAATTCCAGTGAATAGTTTTTGGGCCGCTTGAAAAACAGGATAAGGGCTATAAATGGATTTCAAGAGGACCTCATTTATAGTCATTTAGATGAGTATATGTACAGAATGTGGTGTAACTTCTCCATTGAAAGTCCCATGCTAAACTGGGAGATGTTTCTCTCACATGTTCGAGAAAGATACCCCTTGTAACTGTTTTATTCTTTTTTATGGTTTTTTTCTATAAATATACGTTTCCATTTACCATAAATGCCTCTGTAATGTGATTGGTCAGTTCAGGGTCGTTTGCTGATTGGTTGTTAGTGGTGTCGAAAGTTTAACTTTGCCCAATACAATTTAAGTATACTGTTACTAATTCTGTTGACAGAAGTCAGAGACAATAGTACAATAAAGTTTTCAGTGCTTTATTACTTCAATGGAATAGCTGGCTAGATTCTGATTATTTTCTAGTACAGAAAATATTTTAAACCAGTTCAATGAGAAGTGATAAAGTACAGTTGCATTCATTACCAACTGCAAAATGGTTGGTTTGATGAACAACTAATTTTAAAAGCTAGTAGCATAAATTTAAAATTGTCTGAGATACACAAAATAATTTTGACAAACCATTGTTAAAAATATTCCGAATTCAGGATCCATATCAACTGTATCTCCATCAGTAAATATAAATTGTGGTTTTCTTTCTTTCTTACACGTTAGCACAATGGCGATTTGTTGTGCAGCAACAGATAATACCGGTAATTCAATTCTGTTGAATTCATCAAAACAGCCCCATGATCCTGACTGTGCCAATCCTTTATAGATACGACCCAACCCACGATAATCCATCTGATCAGAGCAATTGAAGACAACAACATATTTACCAAGACAACGACCCATATCTTTAGTTGTCTCTGTTTTACCTGTACCGGCGGGTCCAGCAGGTGCACCACCAAGTGACATTCCAAGAGCCTGAGCTAATGTTATATAACATCTGTTGTAAAAGGTATAAGACTCTTTCTAAGCAAACAGTTTCCAACAAAAAAAATAACAGTTTCATTCAATGAAGAAATAAGAATCTCCTTAAACCCGTTGTAACACAGAAAATAGGTGGTAAATATTAATAAAGTATAATTATATTTTAATAGTTTACACACAGTGATAAGTTTTGTTATTGGTAATTTTGCTCGAAATATTACCAATAACAAAACTTATCATTGTGTGTAAACTATTAAAATATAATTATACTTTATTTGATCTAATCCACAATGCTCAAACTTTTTACTGGTAAATATTAAATCGACACAAACGCGCATCCCGGATTCCATTGATAACTAGTACCAAAATATGCAACCAACATGTATTTATAAGTAATAAGCTTGAAACAATAAGGTCAGCATTCTAATTATTTTACAGATGCCATATTAGTTCCTTAGTGCCTATAACATGTTTCATTTGGAAATGGTTTGGAACCTATTTGTACTCGGAAGTCTTTAAGCTAATAGCCGTTGATCAGTATTATTCTTTACATTGAATAGACACCTAATAAACATCCATGATTTACATCTAAGCTACGGTGGGTGAAAGCGTAGTATGTTAAGTAGATTGAAACCCGTTATTCATCATTTTACTTACATTCACATACGGAAGCCAAGATATATTTTTCATTAATCAAATCGCCGTTTATATAAGCACAGTTCACATTTGTTAACCAATTACTGAGCGTGTAAGTTCGGTTTACATCAAACAACATGAAATAAAATTTTCAGATATACATAGTATTCTGTTGCTGATGCAGCATATAACTGTATGAAAAGTATTCTCACTCTAGCATCAAACAGAATGTTCAAATAGATATATCGTATTCTGTTGCTAATGCCGTATTGAACTGTGAGAATAATATTTCGTTGGAACATATTGTCTGTATCACACAACCACACTAACAGTTTATACGATGCAACATTTAGGCTTGAAGTATTAGCTCTGTTTGGAGTATCGCATGTACCTTATATTGTAATCTGCATATTTTGTTGAAGTCTCACAACCGTGTATCCAACTAGTGAAACACCTTACACACTGATTTTTGGCGAAGTACTTTCAATATATGAATGGTATTCCCCGCAGTCACATGCCAGATATAAGCCATCATTTAACACTACTTTGCTTCAATAAAGCATAAAATACTCTCTGACAGATATTATTTGATAAAATTCTTGAAGCATATGAATTTATCATTTCCTACACCAGTCATTTCATCGTCTTAAAATATCACACTAATTCGTTTGGTGCTACCTCAGTTTAGAGCATGTCTAAAAGTAGTACTTCTTCATATGTGAAACAGGTTCTAGTATCATTGTTTGATGCTAACAAACAGCAACGACACCTCTAAGAGAGACATATTTTCATGCTTAAGTTATTCTGTTTACCTCCGTGATCACTACCCACAAAGACCACCTGACACTCTACGGGTTCAGCCTAGAGAGAGATATAGTGAAACCGCCACTTAACCCACTCCCTAAAATATTTCAGTCAGAGATAAAGCTCATACAAAACAAAACTAGAACAGTGGTAGTCTTAATCATTTTCTTTTATATATCTATTAATCTTAGGGATAATATGCTCGAAAACGATCCATAAATAGCAACTAATGTTTATCCTTAAAAATTCATACCTATCAGTCAGTGGCGTAATAACCAATCGATCTGTGCATCCTAAAAATTCATTTTGATAAATGAAATCCACATCAGTAATACTAACAACACACTGATCATTTTCTTCATTGAAATAAAATCTTGACTGTTTTAACCATTCGAAGTCTTTTGGCGATTTAATTCTCATTTGGACCTAAAAGATGAAAACATAAAAGTGTAGTAGTGAATAGATGCATCAGCAAGTAAGTGACATTAAAATGTAAATCAACAATTCTGAATATCACGTTTAGTGCGCAAAATATAAATCACAAGAGACTAGTTGCTTTCTCGTGATAAAGTATGGCTGCTGTTATATGTTACGATTTGATAGAAGTTCACAACATGGACCAGTGACTGTACGGTAGCATGTTTGACAGTCCTGGTGTGAGTCTCTCTTTGGATTATGGATAAGAATAACTAAAGAGTTCCAAACTATTGTAGAACCAATGCTTGATTTTCACTAGTTCTCCTAACTGATAACGAAGAATATCAGGAGCTGATAAATGAGAAAAGATTACTGAGCTTAGTTCCAAATTTGTGATATACTATTATTTTTTGCTTGGAAAAACATTGACGACGAAATCATGAACTTACCTGAAGTCATGTGGTCAGATATATGGAATGATTATAACTGTCATCAAAATCCGACTCGTCATTCTATGACGTCATTTGACTATCACTACATATATGTTCGCTCTAATATTATTGATTCGACTATCTTGCTTTTCTGAGTTTCTCTTTTAGTGTGAGTCCAAATTACGACTTAATTTCTTATCTCTCTTATTCGATGAGGTGGTAAAAACACTAACATTTTTTAAGTGAAGAATTGTATACTATGGACATTACTTTAATAGCAATAAAGAATCTTTCGCCGTAACAGAGTAAAAATAAAGTGCACAGGTGCACGTCTCCTATTCACCATCGTGCGAAATGTTCAGCTTACTTTACGGTACTTTAGTAACACTATCTAGGATATAAAGTTTTGGATATTAGGAGCGTACGTAACTCTTAAATTAAGATTTTAGATGGTAATATTTTTCATGTTAGAAACTCTTGGCTGTTAACCTAAGTTTATCCACACGATTATCTCGAAAAGATTGAAAATGACTAAACTACAGCTGAGTTGACGGTATAAGACGTGTTGCTAAATTATTCAAACACAAAATTATAATCGAACTAGAATTTGCACACATTTATTCGAATGCATTTGAATAGCCTGTCATCATGTCTTATACCGTCAGTTGTACAGTTGTGTTACACAATAACAAATTAACATGATCTAGGTATGAAAAGTAAATTTAATACTAAAGTGAAATAAAATAGATCCAAAAATGTGTTATTATCGAAAATTTTGGTTACCGACCATTATATTCAAATAAGTTTGCTAAATTTGCATTGCGCACATTGATATCAATGTCTGAATGACTGAAATTAGTTTCAAACATTGTAACTTTCATATTAGCTTATTCTATAACAAATTCACTAACATATTTTTGGTATACATTTCAATAAAATGATGGCAATCGTCTACAGGGCACCTTATTTGCTAGTGGAAAGCAACTATGTAAACTGATCACCTGGAAGTTTACTGTGCAATACACTCCATTCTTAGTCATCCAAACGAGAGGTGTTAGTCAAGAGAAACTTATTTACTCAGTGCTTGAATGTAATCAAGTAAAATGTGACTGTCAGGAAAAGTCATTTGAAATCGATGAGTTTTATACTGTTCCTGCAGGATAACCTAAAATCTATAAATGTATAAATCTTTGTCAGCCATGGTGGAAAGCAGAAAATAGTACATCAATTACCAAAGATACAGAACAAGAGAATTGAAGGCTGCTCATTAGTTACTTACAAGATCATTAAATATATCTCTTTGATGCACATGAATTGTGATTAAAGTTTCGAATTTCGTACGATCAATTTTCGACAGTTCTTGTGTCGTAACACCAATCAATTCATTCAATATTTCTAAGAAGAAAGCGTTTGTTGTGTTCATAATTCTCCGGTCATTTTTAGCTTGTCTCAATGCTTCTTGTGAATCTCTTGTCCATAGCATTTGAATACCAAGTAGGCCTACTTGGGCTGGATAGGAATTCTCAAATTCTAACAAGTTGAATTGTTGATCATTAATAGCAAAATATGCTGATTTTATAATAGAATGCAGTGAACTCCTGGACATTTGTAATAAATCACCAAGCCATACTTCAACGTTACCCTGAAAGAAGAGAAAAGAAGCATGACTATCCAAATGTTACATGTCTATTCTTTCTTTTACTGAAGGTTTGCATAAAACGCAAATGAAATCTACACCTTTTAATAATACTTTGTCTTGAAAGCAGATAAGATTTACGCTCGGTGATTTTGGGTATTTCGAATTCAGTAACTAAAAGCCAAATTAACCCATACTACTAAAATCAAATTAACTGCAATGCTAATCATGTAAGCAGCTGATGAGAAGTGAACGAAATAAATGATGGTACCATTTTATGCTGCGCAAACTGTTGTTCTTGCTCCATTCAAAACATCCTACTTTTATATAGTTCATTTTTTGTTCATTCATGTTGGTGTATTAAGAATTATATTCCAAGTTGCTGACAGTTGTGCTGAGTCACTGTTTGTTACATGTATTATATTAATATTACTAATAACAAAATTTATCATTATGTGTAAACCACTGAAATATAATTATACTTTATTCGATCTAGTCCACAATGCTCAAACTTTTTACTGACATTAGTGTCAAGATTAGCTTGAATATTAATAATCATAATAATACTTCAGGTTTACAGAATGCTTGATGAAAGTGTCTCTTCAGTGAAAACATTTTCCTCATAATTCAAGATTTACAACAAACCAGCTGACGTCGGCTGCTAATAAAAGCTAACTTTCAAGTTACTGGAATTATCTAACTAGTCCCATGTAGCTGAATGACAGAGGAGATTCAGTTGGGACTAGAAAAATCGCATACATTGGTGTTATAATTCAACTTCACTGGCTTACATGAATCATACCACACATTCTACAATTTCTAGTCATAAAGTTTAGAGCTCAGCTTCAAAATAAATGATGAATGCGTTTTCTTGGAAATTTCAGAATTAAACAGAAAGAAAGGTAAACACCATCCCATTTTTAATTTAAATGCTGTTACTGAAACTGACTTCTGATTAATGCTGTTCATTGATGTAATCGGCATACTCTATGATTTATGCTATTCTAACGGCAGCAGACAATAGACTTGGTAATGTAATGTTTCGATAAAGAAAGGAAGACGAAATTCTCAGTATAGAATCATATCATTCTATTTCACAGGTTCTCATCAGCTGCAGACTACCTGAAATTACAATGGTTATATAGCTGATAATTACACACTTTAATCTTTGAGTGGTAGTAGAGATGAGATACAATAAAATTGATGCATCAGAAATGAAGGCATTACAATTTTTAGTTTAAGTTTTCATCATCAATTTATACGCTTTCACTGTAGAAAAGAGGGGAGAGGGGTAAGACAGAAAACAGAAAAAATCAATTAACAGAACAGTGATAGCTTGTAGGTTCACATAGCAAGTCAAAAAACAAAAGCGGTTACAGTTTTTAAGATTAATATTTGTTCAGTGAGTTGAGATCACGGAATTAGATGACTAATTAATGTAATCAAAATCAAAATTCAGTTACCAAGGCAGTGAGAGATTAATCGCACTCTCTTTCTGTATGCATAAGTCTGGTTTGAATCATTTGACTGCGATCGCTTAGGCAAATCGTATTGTTGCCTTCTGTCTGTTTAATATTTTGAAGGGCTTAGATGAAACCTTTCACTCCCTTAGTAATTGAATTTTGATTTTGATTACATTAATTGTTTTTGTTTTGAGTTGCTATGTGAACCTACAAGCTAACACTGTTGCGTCAATCAATTTTTTCTGTCTCCTTCCAACTTTGAAAGCGTATAAATTGATGATGAAAACTTAAACTAAAAATTGTAATGCTTACATTTTAGATGCGTCAATTTTATAGTATCTATTCACTATTACCACTCAAACATTAAAGTATGTTATTATCATCCATATAACCATTATAATTTCAGGTAGTCTGCAGCTGATGAGAACCTGTGAAATAGAATGATATCATTTTATACTGCGAATTTCGTCTTCCTTTCTCTGTTGAAATTTATCAAGGGAACCAAATGTATGAAGTTTTTGAGAAAATGCAATGTTTGTTAGTGAATCGGTATTTCTATGTGCACCTTGTCTTCAACGCATCCTCTGCACAGATCTTCCGTGTTGTGCCTCTTCCGGCCTTCATATTGTATTCCTTTCACATTTCCCATGTATTCTCACAACGATGTACTATTTGCTTTCCCTGGCATTAAATTTATCTCCCTGCTATTTGATGTTTTTATGCCGTTGAGCATCTCATCATATACTACTAATAAATCTTATCAGTAGCACATACCGAACTGTGAATTTATGTAGTTTAATTCATTGAATTTATTATAACGATACAATGACTATTGTAAGGTTGATATAAATATAAATAAATAATATAAATATAAACCAAATCTTTGTATTTCGGTAGCAGTTCTCCTTCCCACCGAATGTAGTCTCTATACATACATAATACACGTACCACGAAAACCTAGAAGGAAAGATGACAACAGTTACTTAAACAAGTGTGAATTAATTGCTCTTCATTTTTCTTCATTTTACCCTCGTGCTTGTGAAAAGAGTATTCAACATCTCACCAAACGATTCAAACAGAATTATAAGTGGAATGGGATTTGAAAATATTTATTTTTAGGCTTGTTAAATCGCCTTATACTGAGAAATCTTTCATTAAATCTAAGTGTCAGTTATGTTTAACAGTTAGCAGTAATCTAAATTTTTAACTCAATATAAGGTAGTGAGTGATAAACTTTGTGATCAGTTAATAAGTAGTAATTCATCCCATTCTTCAATTTATAGCACTAACTAACTGGTACAAATACCTATTAAGCTAAATGACAAAAAACCTGTGTAATATGATAGTCAGGCGGTTCAGGATATGTTTCCAAGTCATTAAAACACATAAAAACAAGTTTCTTAATCCTAATACACTTATAATACCTTGTTTGAGTGATTTGAGACGTCTAAGATCCTCAGCCTTAATGTATTCCAAAATTGCTGACAAGATATCCACAGTTCTGTATCCCACTACAAATACTTGAACAGTCATGCACAGCTTGAAACAATGGTAACATCATTTCAGTAATTAAAAAAGAATGTGTATACACTGATACCAATCACCTTTGGGACATGATAATTTTATTAACAGATGTTTGATACTGTCCTTTCCTCACCAAAAACATCATCATGCATCAATGATTCGAATAGTTGCCCATCACTAAGTCTTCTTAACATCTTTTAATTAATCATGTGGAAGGCAGTTTACTATTCAGCAGCATTATGAATACGATACAGACATTCTACCAGGTAAATTATGAAACCTAATCTCCAACATCATTTTATTTTCCAAAACTATCTAAACAAAGTGTGAATAATTCAACAATACGATTATCAAACTTTCATCTCTTAAACAAACTTTTTAAGCATACACCAGTTGTTTGAATAATTGAATGGCTAAAGTGTTTGGCTAATTTACGGACCTCACAAAATTTATTTAGCTTGTGTACTTGCATTCGTTAGACATTCCGTCGGTGAAAGCAGATAATTCACGAATTATCAAAATTTTCAAAATCCTACACCGCAAATTGCTACTACTTCAATGCACATATATTATCTAATATTTATGTATAATAATGTGACAGTGATATACTATATATATATATATATATATATATATATATATATTGCACTTCCAAATCTACCTGTGCCATAACTGGATTCACTAAGTGAACAGTTTCTCCTTCTTGAGAATTAACAGCCAAAATTTTATCATAAACCTTATCATCGAATGTCACAGTTTTAGTGTTATCAAATACATTTAATAGATGTGCTTGAATTGTGTGCGAATCAGATGCTTGACCGAGAATTTCCAATAATGCTGGATCTGAGACAAAAAAGAATCTCGGAAATACAAGACGTTTCTTCTCCAGATAACCAGTCAACGACTTCTGACAAAGTTCCAGTTGTTCTAATAAATGTGGCAATAACTGACTCAGTGTATCATCACCCGTGCAGCAGTTGACAACGTTCGGCATTTCATGGGCTCTTTGCATAATTCTCTGCCAACTTTTGTCAATATTAGCAAAACGCTTGGCTTCCTGAAAGAAATTTATTCAAAAGTACAGCTTTAAATGTATATGGTTAGTGTGTAAATAATATCACAAGGAAATTGCAGAAATTTCGGAGACATTATATACACTGGGATGTGATTAAACATCTCTATACAAAATACCGAGAACATATTTCGAATCTATTGCTGCAGAGTGTTTGGCTCAATAAATAACACTGTCATGAAATCAGTCAACTTGGAGGACAAAATGGAGACGACGGAAGTGGCTATAGAATTTTCAGTCAGTAATTAAATTGGATTCATGTACAGCTCTTCCCTCAAGCTAACAGATATAGGTCAGTTAAAAGCAACCACTACCAATTCATGAAAACAAAATCATGCTAACTAAAAATTTGTTTGAATAAAAAGATCAGAGTAAAATGTTGAGAAGAAAAGAATCGATGACTTCTACTAACCCTGGCATCAATATATAATAAAGACAATAAACGCAGATTAAGTTAGAGAAGGAAGGAATATATACATGTAAATTATCTAGTGCTTTAACACATTTTAGCCACCCACACTAAGTATTCAGCAAAAGCATTATGTGCCTTATTTCTGAAGTATTTTGAAAATGACAACATTAGGAGAAATTATCTCGTCTCATGATCCATGTTGAAAATTTATTAGGAGTTTCAAGTATTGGTTGACATGCTTCGCTTTTCAAAGACTAGTTCTACCTAATTACACAATCCATTACCCAGTCACGTCATTTTCGACAATGGGAAAGCATTGTCCACTTAGTGAAAGCAGTTTAGCACTCACTTGAGGTAACTGTTTGGCTATATCACCACCAACAAATACAGCCTCTAAATAAATCCATAGATTTTGAACTTGTAACCAATTTTCGATTATTTCACTAGTTGTAGTAAGTTTTTGTACCCATTCTTGTATTTTAGGCTTGAACGGTGCATTATATCGATTTGACATTAACGATCCTAGCATCATTAAAGAATCCTCCATGAGGGCAACGACTTCACCAATGCTGTCACCTTTAAGTAATAATTCGCCGCGCGTTTTGAAGAGACTAAATTGAAAGCTCTGACTTGACCAGTCATTAATAACAGTTTTCAGCTTAGCTTCAATATCCTTTTCTTTAACTGCCGAGATACAAATATCCTGTAGGAAGAAACAAAATTAAATTTTGTGTAAAATCTCGAATTTGTAAGGAGTGAGTCTTTTTGTTATTAAACGTGAATGTCAAAAGACTAGCCTCACCTCACGAAAAAAGAGGTCTTAGAGGTAATATCCTGCATCTTTAGTCAGTCCGATTCTTGGTGTAAAATAAACCAAGCAGATGATGACAAAAATAAATGAACCCATGTACAACTAATGTCTATCCAATGGAGTAAAGAATTAAAGCAGCTGAATAAATAGTCTAATATCAAAAAAGTCAGGTAATTAGATGAGACTACTACCACCTAATTACTCAGTTAAAGTTATATTAAAACAATTATGATTGGGCTATACCTATCTGGTTTGTTATCAGGCTTTCTTGAAATACAGTTTAGACACAGCTATCCATATGCGCTTGAGTGACGTAGCAACAGGCAGGATATTGTTAGTTTGAGAACACTATACACTTATACCATACACTGAGAACATTAAGGCTTACAGACTGATGAAGATTCCGAACAACTAGGGAATTCCTAATCGCAATTTTAACGGTGTGCTTCTATTTATCAGAAAATGTAACCGGGTTTCTAATCAAAGCATTGAAATGAGGACTGATATGAGTACAGTATCTCAGTGAAAATAGAATTTTGATGTAATTCACTTTTTTTTGAGATTTTCGTCTGTTTTGTGTACGTGAATTGCACTGAATTCTGAATAAAGTCTTTTGTCACCTAGTTCAGCTCGTCAGTAAAGGTCTCTCTGTCTGGATTCAACATAGAACTTGGCACCAAAGTGCACCAGTTCGAGTTGCCACGTTCCAAATAGCACACAGAGGTAGACAAGAAGATGAGTGAAGAGAATCAATAGAGTTTGACAAGTATAAGAGTGAAACAGAATGGGTAATGGTAGAAAGGAATATGAAAGATTACAGAGACTGAATACATCTGCGCCATTGACAACGATTTTGAGCCATGTCACCTATTGTCTCCAGCCATTGATTCCCAGAGTCCCGAGGGCCCCAACCCGGGAGTCTGCATCTCCCCACCTGACTCAGTTTAACTGTCAAGGATTTCATGGATTGATGCCATGTTTTTGTTTGGCCACCACTGGCTCTATTCCAGCCTGCACCACCTATATCAGCTAGAAATGCCCGTCGGGAGAGGCGGTGGTTAGGCTTGCGCAGCACGTGACCTAGCCATCTTAGTCTATGTAACTTTATAGCCTCGTCGATGGATTTTCCCTCTTTACCCAACACTCTACGCCTAACGTCAGCATTACTTACCTTATTATACCACCTAACGTGAGACAGAAATCGCAGACATCTATGATCGAAAGCAGTCAACCTTTTCATGTCTTCAACGCGTATTGGCCATGTTTCAGAGCCATAGACAAGGACGGAGCGAACTGCTGAGCAGTACATACGTCCCTTGGTTGATAACCGGATGTCACGCCTACGCCAGAGATGGTGTAAGTCAGCGAAAGCAGCTCGAGCTTTTCGGATCCGTGCTGAGATTTCATCGCCAATCAGTCCGTTGGTGCTAATACAACTTCCCAAATAGGTGAAGTGGTCAACATGTTCTATCACTTCACTCCCTATCACTAAGTTAGGGGTTGACGTGGTCCAGTCCTGTAGCAGCATCTTACATTTTGTAGGGGCGAATCGCATGCCAAACATACGAAGATTGCTGCTCAAGGTGTTCAGAAGACTCTGCATTTTGTCAGCATCCTCCCCTAACAGGACTATGTCATCTGCATATTCTAAGTCCATAAGACTATACCCTGGTAACAAGTCGATTTCTAAGTCATTACGTTTAGTTAAAGATACTTCCATCAGTCAGTAAAGGTAGCAAGACCAAGACAGTTCTGTCTGAGAATGACTGCTGCAAATATGTGCTTTCCACAGTGGGATAATACTCATTCAAATTACTTTTTACTCTAACCTCTTTTTTGTTTCATTTGTCAGCGTAGCATGTATCCAGTAATACAAAAAGATTTGAGTAGTGAAAAATGATGGAAAAAGAAAAAGAGGAAATTTAAGTAAGTAAAAATAAAATCTGAAATTCGAGAGTTGTGTGGTATGGCAATGAATTATAAACTATATCTGAAATGCAAATAATATTCTTCCACTGTGCGACATATTCCTGAAAAAATTATCAAATTTTGGTCCAGTGGTTCCTAAAGATCCGGATATTCTGCAGAAACACTTTCGTTTCTCCTTATTGACAAACACCAGACATTCCTTCAGAATTGAGTGGTCTAGAGTTAACCTGTCGAATTTTATTCTATCGTCTTAAAGTCACAATATAGGAGTGAACAGCTTTTCATTACTTTTCACTGTAGAGTAATTATTGAAACGATTTCAAGTTAAAGACATAAAATCATTTAACAATCTTTGTGTGTAAACTTAATAACACATTTTTAAAACCATCTTAGTATACCACCAAAGTTATGACGTTAATTATCGCTTACTTCAATATCTTCTTTGTATTTTAGCAATGGTGCCTCCATTATATTACGTAGTAAGAAGTTATCTGATTCGACATCAAACTTGTGCTTTGTTAGTTCTTCTATTCTTTCCCAGTGTCTGGTGGCCATTGCCTTATTAGCCATCATTTCCAGTAACGGACATGTTTCATTGAAGTCATCTATTGTTTTACTAAGTTCTGTGTACGCTTGCCATTCTTTTAGTGCCTTTGGTAACTTTCGGCACCTAAAAGCAAAAGAAAATTAAGCGTGAGAAAATATTAAGACAATGCTAAAAGAAGTCCATTAATGCGTTAACCTACTTATTCACAATCCGGTGTTTAATTTGAACCCTTATTTATGGTTACTAGTACTCAACATTAAAGAAAAATAATCTGAAGATCTTGTTTACTACAGTGACGGGATAACGATTTACAGCATATTTCTGGATTGTGAAATAATAACAAGATTTTGATCCTAGATTGAATCCAGTCTATATGTAGGTATATGAATCCCTTAACCAGCATATTGTACATTTTCAATCTTTTGCATTGTTTTCGCAGACTATTCAATGGATTATACATCTTGTATCTTTGCGTTGATCTTTAAGGCCCATCAAGGTCTCCATGATTATAAACACAAAATATTCGGCTTTCCTTCCTATCTTTGCACGTGATAACATTTTTTAAATTATAAATTTCCCTTTTCATTCTTTTTATCTTTAATTTGACTTTAATTGTATTCTGTGTACATACTTCAACCAACTAAATTGCCTTTCTATAAGCTTTATTATTTTACTCAAATCAATGTCATACCTGAAAGTGAATTTACCGCTGAAGATATTATTCATAAAAAACATGAAAGCAACTAAATAGCCCAGATGGTAGAATGCAAAAGTCTTAAAAAGGACCACTTGAACTGCAAATCATTTCAGTTATTCTAAGATCATTAGTTTTACCAGCATATACAATACGGTTTCAATCCTATTATCAGTCTTATATCAGTTGTGTCGTGTTGTGAGATTACCTTGTTTGAAGAAGCATCAATGAAACGCAACAGCACACATGAGTTATTCAATAGTTACGCGTAAGTGGAAAGAATGGAACCATAAAGAAGAACAATTTTAGAATAAATCCTGAAATATGTCATAATGACACCTTTATGGTTTTGCTCCCATATTTATCAAATGTATTCGTTATTGGCATCATGGAGACTTGGCAAAATAAATGTTCTTTGAACTGTACGGGACTCCACAGTTAGTCAGTGAATTAAAAATAATTGTTCTCATAATGTTTCCCATAAAAGTAGCAGTGAGAATAATACTTTGTCTAGTGAAGGCCTCCAAGAATAACGAGCCTAAATGATAACATTTAGATTGGAAAGCATTGAGTACATAAACACGAAGTCACTTGAACCTATCTTTCAAATAATAAGTTGTTTGTATTACAATAGTTCCATGTTTTGAAAAAAAAGAAGGAATAAGACATTGCGAACCTTACCACTATTCACTTACCTATTCTGAAAATCTAATAACTGTTGATTTATCGAATCAATATCAACATCTGTCCATGGAATATCATAATAGCCACTGACAGTATCCAATACTGAATCATATAACTGATAAAGTTTTTGTAGTAGATTTAACTCCTTTCTAACTCTCTGTAAATCAGGATATTCTGTTATATGCATACCGAATAACTCTTCACCCCCTGAATAAGTTTGGTATTTACGCCATAAATCATCAAAACGAGCTTGAAACAAACTCAGACGATCTGACGCTTCGTGTGGGATAATACCAGGTTCCATTGGTCCGCTAAAATAATTAAATAAAGTAGAAATGAAATATGATAATTTTATTTAAGTTTCATGTCTCATACATATTGTTATGAAAGGTAGAATGCTAACTTTATTCTGTGTTAGGTGGACGATTGAAGTAGATGGGTAGTCTTGTATGTAGGTTTTGATTTTTTGATTTTGATTACAGCTTGATGCCACACCGTATTTGTGGTACAAGTATGAAATTTTCAGCATGTGATATCAGTAGCCCATAGACCATAGATATCGGGTGTGCGTTGGCAGGGGATCGAACCCCGGACCATGTGCATGGTCGGCGAGAGTTCTGACCACTGTGCCACGGACGCACTTGTCAAGAAGATGCATGTCATATTCATAAAGGCATAATAAGAACAATAATATTCTCTGACTTTTGAAAACCTAGAAGTATAACATTTTGCTAAAGGTATAACACATGTGGTTAAGTCATTCAGAAACACAGGATTACCTGAAAATCAGGCTTTGGGCACCTTTTGTTGTAATTAATCTGGATATAGCAGTAGCATGTTGTATACCATCAGCCTAACTTTTAAAATAATCACTTGTCTCACTATACTGTGATTTCGTACACAAATTAGTGACTAATCACTCGACTTTATCACCACTTTTTAAAACTTTTTCTATGCATTTCAGGAATGACTAGTACAGCTTACTTAATACAACCAGAATCAGTCATCACAAAAATCATTTTTATATTTCAAGTAATCACTGTTCTCTTGAATATGGAACTAGAAATGCCATACAGTTCACCAATTTCTGACTAATTGTCTCCAGTTTTAAAGTACTTTTACAGTGAACAGTTTGCAAGATTGAAAGTTTTCTTAGAAACTCGTATTTCAAGGGATCCCCTCAGCAGAATTGAGTATGTTGAAACACTTTTGCTTGATTTTTATATGAAATAATCACAAACAACATGATTCTTATAAATGAGGGATTTACATTAGTAGATTCGCTTTTGAATGCATTTTCCAAAGAACAAACATTTTATATATTTAAATAAAACTTACGCTGTGTCATATTCAGAAACAAATGTATCTACATTTTGTTTATATGTTTCAACTCCTTCTATCAGTTCATTTTTAAATTTGGGTTGGATTTCTAAAAGATGATCTTGTACCTGTTGACTCTGAGTTTTCAGCTTAGAGAAACCGTATGACAGTGCATCTACACGTTCTGCATTGCCATCATTGAAATATAATTCATAACGATTAAGTAAAGCGTAGGATTCTTCAATAGGTCCTATAGTCATATCGAATTGAATTTCAGATGCTCTTAAGTCAGCAAGTGCAGCCATTTGTTCTCTCACGTCATCCAAATCTTTAATAGGTCGACCAAGACGTTTTGACAGACTATCAAACTGTTCCAAAATTTTGGTCATTTCTGTGGCACATCGTTGATTGAGCGCTTGACCGTATGTACGGCGCCAAGTTTGACATTCTCTGATTAAACTCCCTTTGAGTTCATCGCTTTTAAATACAAGTGAACCGACTTGACTGGATGAAGGAATTAATTCGATGAGCTTTTCCATTTTCTGAAATTAAGTAGGACCAATTAAAGAATGCATTGCTGGATGCAAGCTAATAAAGTTATGTTTAGTAGCAGCAAATAATAGAACCTTTTTAAATTATTAGCCACTTAATAAGTATGGGTAACTCAAAAGTTATTTTAAGTCTGTCCTCGAATCTTAAAAGAAGGATCTACCGTTTCAAAATCTGAAGCATTTTGCTTTCGTAAATAAACTATAATGAAATGGAAATTCCTAACGGTATGGTTGCAGTGAGACGTTCTAGATACTATGGTTCATGTATTCATGACCATTTGACTGTATGAGTGATAATAGTATTATGGTGATTAGATTATCACTAAATGTTGATGAATTATATGTAAACGGAGTTATCTTTGATTTATCAAAACCTTATAAATATCGTACTGCTTCGCAGCCACACTCTGGCTACGTGATGTTTTATCGTCCAAGTTTGATCGAAGCGAAACTTTATTCAACATTCATTCATTTTTGAATGATCAATTTCCTAAATTCTATTTGAAATCACCTCTTTGGTGAAAATTCTAATCTGAAATTTTCCTAACTTTTCATGACCCACAATCCTAATAACTACATGTAAACCATACATAATGCAAAAGGAGCTATACACATATCACAAAAATGTCGTGATGAATAGCACATCACATCATTTGTTTATAAAGCCTACAAGAAATTATTATTTCAGTTTTGCAGAAGCGAAGACTGCTGCATGCAACTCTTTCCAATGAGGAACTTTCTTACTATCACAAATAAGGTAGATTATTTAATAATGCCATCAGACATGTATAAACTTTAAATTTGTTAAGGTATTAAAGATTCCCTCATATCATAAAGTAACTCTGATTATGTGAACTACTCAAGCCTCCATGGATTAACTGTGGCTCAGTTCAGCACATAAAATTGTATCCACATGATTGGTTGTAATATTACTGACTTCACATAACTTTAATTTCCTTACTACTATTATTATTATTAGCTTCTGTCCAGTTACTAATGCTTTCTTTTCGCAGTGAAGTGACTCGACCCTAATACACTGAATTTTACTTATCCATTTTTCATACCTCTCCATCTCATATGTTCGTATGTTATCATGGCTGACACACGATGGTATGCAATTAGTAGTGTTCTCTGAGCTGGTTGGTTTAATTGCGGAGCTTTCGTCGTCCTTCTGGACAACATCTTCAGAGTAGTATTTAGCATAAAGTGAAATGATTTAAATTTCTTCATGAGTGATATAATTGCGTCTCCCAGTAGCCGTCTTTACATATGTATTGACTTGGATTTTAAACTTTCTGGTCACCTGATTTGCTTTTTATTAGTCGGTATACTTCGTCTGTTAATTGCATACTCGTTTGAGTACCAGGCTTCTAGGAATTCCCTGGCACTTTTAGTGTTTCCTCTGTCTAAGATTTTGACATTATCCCAATCAAATTGATGTCCATAATTGTCTATATAGATTGATACTACAGAATATATGTCGTGCCTTTTAATGACTGATTTGTGTTCTTGGATTCTAATTCGAAGGGGACACCCACTTTGGCCAATGTGATGCCTGTTCATACAATTTAATTTGTAAATGGTATTAATTTTATCCCCTTTTTCTGTCGGATCTTTTGGTTTCCATAAGATCGAATTAAGCGATTCGACTGGTTTGTGTTTATGGTATGTTAATTTCTGCTTACATCACAAACACTATGCACGCTAAAGTATGTAGCATTGAGGCTATACAAATCTCAGCTGAATGAGGGAATCAAAACGATTGTAGTTTTTTGCTAGCGTTAACCCAATATTTTTACACTGCCGTATACAACAGCAAACAGACAATTTGGAACAATAAGTAATCGATGAGCCGCCATTCCAACGACTATAGTCCTGAATAATACTGATAACCTTATTTGAGGATATTCAATCTACTTAAACTAAATTAGAACCTTGAGAGTTTCACTTAACAGCCAATACTTATTATAAAGAGTACTGTTGTAGAACACAATTAATTTCCTCGTCTTGCTATTTATAAAAGATTTAGGAGAAAAACGATAAGATTATCACAAATAACTTACTGAAAAATAATTCATTTGTGCATTAATTTCGGACAGTATTGGTTCATTTTTCATGAAATCAGTTACATTTGCCTGAGGATCCTAAAAGCACAAAAAGAAATCATGTTAACTGAAGTGTACTAATTATTGTTGATACTATGGTTACTAAACGGTTAAAACTGAAATTGTCTTAGGATGGCAGTTGTTGCCGATCTTTTTCTACCAGTGCTGCGAAAAGTTTACGTCATAACAGGTTTTATCTGATCTTTAGTTTGAATAATGAGATAAGAACACTTTTTGAAGGATAAGGTGAATTTAGTTTATTCCACAGGATTTTAATCAGCTGGCCTGCTTAGAATTTGGGCCACTGAAAATCTCCATCAATATATTGCATTTACTTTCTTTTATTCAGTTTGTTTAGATCTAATAAAATCAGATCTCTAATAATATTGTTTACTCTCGTGAGTATTTAAAGCATTTACGACTTGCTGATTTGCAAGTTTCTACTAAACGTGTGAATAAGCATTAACCTCGATGGTAGATTGTCCCAATACACTGGATGACCGTTCCTAATTGGTGTATTTGGTTCACAAAATGTACCCCTGAACTTTTTATGATTAACATCCGACCAAATGTCGTGTACTTTTTGAGGGAGAAAAAGGATAGATATCATAATAGATTGATTCCCTCTTTAGGTCAAATTGAATTGAGTCACACGATCTACTGTTGGTTATTGTTTTATTTAAAGATCCTAGACGAAGAGAAAATATTATGCAGTAAACTCAGCTGAAACTTTTGTACTTTATATAGACCCTATTTTAGAATAAAGCCATTATTATTATTATTATTATTATTATTATTATTATTATTAAACTATCTAGTTTATTCAGCAGATCTGCTGAAGAAGCTGTGGCTTACACGGTGAAACGTTCAGAAAAATCTTGTTTTGATTTTCTTAACACGCTGGGATTAATTTAAACAATTTATAATCAATCAATATGACTCGGCGCTTAAATTATTCCGGGAAACCTAATATCTAGTTTTTATTATTCAAGTTGTATGAGGCTGATGAAAATCTTGTGAGGTAAAATAAATTCCCCTTATCCTGTAAAAAGTGATCTTATCGCATAACTGAAATTTGTCAAGAATAGTAATCGGATGAACTTTTGTCAGTGTTACTTAGAGATTGGTCACATTTTTCGAATTAAATTGTTTACTGATATAGTCTAAGGCTAACAAATTCACCCACTTTATTCACTTCTAACTTCAATTGACATGTAAGTGGCAAAGCACATAAAAGTGTGATACTATCCTATTTCCAATTTAATTTGGAGTTATAAAAGACATGGTGACATGCTATTCAGTATGTCTGCAACCATCATGTGAATTATGAGGGATAGAGGGTAGCGTACATGGGCAGACAATTTCATGTGTGTATGTGTATGAGAGACAATAGATCTAAGTAAATGAAGATTATCATGCGTATAAAATTAAATGAATAAGAGAATATAATGAATCACAACTGTATTTAACGGGATGAGAGTGTGAAGTGCAAGGACTAAGCGTATTAGTGTTGCAAGTCCAAATATGATAAATTTTTGTGTAAAACTTGGACACTGTGGTAGTAGTAGGTAATTCAAACATGTCTTACCATTTGATATTTACCTACAATTATAATCACAAACCTTTTAATTGTAATTCCTACTATTATTATTTTATGTATTCACGCCTTAGTTTCAATTTCCACTCAGGATATAATTTCTTAAAACCGTATATCTACCATCATACAGCTTGGTTATAAATTCTCAAAATCAATTGTTTTAATTTTCTGTAATTCCATACTAGATGTATCAATCTTTTTTTATTTTTAATTTTATTATAGCTTGACTCCACACAGTATTTTTGATACAAGTATGGAATTTTCAGCATGTGATAACGGTAGCCCAAATGTAGCAGGCCGACCATGGATATCGGGCATGCGTCGGCTGGGGATCGAACCCCAGACCATATGCACGGTCGGCGAGCGTACTAACCACTTTACTACAGACGCACACACAGTTTTATTTAATGGATGACGTTTCGAACCCAGTTCATTGTTCATAGTCATAGCAATTATAACTACACAGCTTCGAAATCTCGGTTTTATAGATATCTTTATTCCTTCCTCTTCGTCGTAGGGGTGATAGAATTTTCCAGATGCCTGAGACAAGCATGTATCTTCCGCTGATTCCATAAATAAAGCTTCCGTTATCAGTATCTCCCTCCACCCAGTTATGTTAGATTTTAGGATTTCATCTTATCTCATCCTACTGTATAGTTGTGTGTATTTGCAGGGAGTGCATATGGTTTTCTAGATTTCTTATCCTATCAGGGTCAACTAATCTAAGCTAAGTTTCAATAGTTGGTAGTAGTGAAGAATTGAATGAAGCTACGGATCGCCAGTTTTTTAAGACTTTGAAGTCTTTAAAAGAATAAAATCTAATCGACAATTCTATATTCAATGCTATCAACCCCTCCCGAAGTCATACACCTAGGCTTATGGTTTGCCGAAGATCCATATACAGAGTGTTCATCTATGCCCCTTCCTTGATGTGTCAAATTTTCCATTTCGTTTAACAGCTAAATGGTCGGTAAATCTGCTTGAGCCACGACACTGGGAGTTGGTTGAATATAGTGCAAAAGGTATCTTTGCTTATGTTGTCAACATAAAATATATGAACTTAGTGGACAAAACCATGTTATCGTTGGATGTAACGTCACTAATCTTTGATATATCAAAACCTCATAAATATCGCACCGCTGCTGAGCCACACTGTAGCTACCCTAAGTTTTATCGTCCAAGTTTGATCGAAGTGAAACTTTATTCAATATTCATTCATTTTTGAATTATCAATTTCCAAAATTTACCAGTCCTCCCCTGGTTGAAACAATGGATTATATATGCGAACAGGTGGTAGACAAAAATATAGATATCGGGATCCCACCTATGAAATTAAAAGAATTGGTGCTAAAATGTATTATGAATGTTCATTTTGTGTTTAACAAGGAGTTTCACCGTCAAATAGATTAGGTTGCGATATATTCCCATCTAGGTCCTTTACTGGCTGACATTTTCCTAGTTAAATTAGATGGATGGATGTCCCACCAACGACAATGGTTGGGGTCGCGCTAAATCACGAATTGGTAGAAGTTAGAATTCACGAGCCATTGAATCGGGTCCCAGTGGCTGAATGGTATACGAGCTTGGCTTGTAACCGGAAGGTCCTAGGTTCGAAACCCAGTGGGTGCGTACTGCCGATGATTCCCAAACTAGGATGAAACAGCAGCTGTCCAGTACTCCCTGGTTTTCAATGGTTCTCTAACTGATATCAATCCGTGATCAACTCGTAAAACATAACTAATCCTTACAAACCAAAACTATAGAAAATTAGAAAATGGTCCTCTAAGAGAGATGTTAAGAAAACTTGAATATTATTGTCGTTATGTAGACGATACATTCATCCTTCATGACAATAATTTGGATAAACAATACTTGATATAAGTCTTGAATAATGTGCACCTGGTAATTAAACCCACTAGTGAAGAATATTAAGGTGGCATTTCCTATATATATTTTCTTCTAACAAAAAGCAAAATGTCTACAGAAAAGCGAAGTGGAACGGAGAATAAATTCACTTCCACAGTTTCATATCCATACAATAAAAGTGGACTTTGATTCGTCCTAGTCATAGAATTAGGTGCATGTGCACTAAGGATCGAAAATTTTAAAAGTACCCTCTAAAAAACGGTTATCCTACGAATTTTGTAGAGAAGTATATTTCTGTAAGAACTGAAAAAATTAAGCGTGACACAGTGAATAAGAAAAAGTTTTATTTGAGAGTACAGTACAAAAGGTGAAATACGAAGTGATATATTAAACGACAAGTTGATCAGACCAGTTGAAAGAACTTTTACTGCTGCAGAACTACACAAAAGTTCCTCAACCAGACCGACAGTGACACAGTGCGTTAAAGATAAATTACCAAAGATGGCCACGTCAATGTGTGTATACAAATTCAACTGCTCATGTGGAGCTAGCCACATAGGTCGAACTCAGAGAAATTAATCATTACGGTCTTGTGAACTTTTCCCTGTTTGGCTTGGAAAAAGAGTAGTCAAACCACTAAATGGTGTCATTTTATCTCATCAAGTGGATATTGAACACTATATCAAAATAGGTGAGTCATTTACAGCTGTATATCGACTACCAAGCAATCTGCCTAAAGGCACACAGTTACGTGTCTTAGCTTTAGCTGAAGCTATACAAATTAATAAGAAGAAACCCGCCCGGTGTATGCCAAAAAAGCACATTCCTCCTCTTCGCTTACCCTGGCCTACTACAAGGACATCGAAGACGTTATTATCCATATTTTCATTTCATATTATACTTTTCTTATGCCTTTCCGCGTAGTTTACTTCACTCCATCATCATTCTTATTGTCTCAGTCTTTGTAATTTACACTAGGGTTATCATGTGTCCAGTATTTTATTACATTTCACAATTTAACCTCTATTTTATCGTTGCACTTTATATCTGTCAGTTCTTGACTTACATTTAATGTTCTCCATTTATTGGTGTTTGTTTATATGTATTTAATGGTAATCATATCTCTCACACCTCTGAATACAACGTACTATCCTCCCTCCTCACTAAATTTATATTCTGTTAACTGTAAATACATTAGCATGTCTATTCGCATTCAGTTGAAGATATCAACCAACGAACTAACATTTCATCCAAAGCATGTCCACCCTCAAAACAATTTCTGATTTAATTTTCACATGCTGTGAGTGTCTATTTGTATTATAGTGATCATGGATTTGTAACTGTAGTGCCTGAGGAGGAATTTATCGAAAACACTTGTTCACTCGAAATCATCTTGTTCTGATTACACTGTTTTTTATTTAGTATAACCGAAATTTCGCTAGGTTTCAAGCGTTCTAATAATTTGACTCATGTATTCGACCTGAAAATCATTGCAGTTTATTAGATACACTAAATTATTTTGTTTAATGGGTTCCATAGGATCCTTCAAACGACATAGTTTGTTTCTAAGTTTTTTTCTGGGTGTGAATGTCACTTTCACTTGCGATTAGAGAAACATGGACTAGAAGGAGGTTTATTGTTGTAAGTGTAAATAAACATGGATGAATGATTCAGAAGAAAGTAGTGAGGGGATATATACTTATAAGATTGTCATTACTGATATTGCAAGATGTTTCGAACTGCATGGAATTCACAACATACGAGGGTAGTAATACTGGTTGAACCTGTTTTTATGCGCAAACATTTCCAACTGTTTTCTGCGAAATATTGTGGCCTCTGATGTTCCAAGTATTGGTGACTAGTGGATTTTAGTAACTTATTAGATTTACCTAATAAAGAAGGTAGTGAAAACAATTATTTGTTTATATATTTCTTGTTTTGACATATTTTATAGTCAGTTCATTTTATGGATAAAGCTCATCCATAAATGTTGGCTTTAGTGTCATTTTATAAAGCAACAGTTGACTTCGTTTCATGCTTTAGACAAAGTGTGGAAAGTAGATAATTAAGTGACCCTTGTATAATCAAAACATACCACTGAAGGGTTAATCACAAATGAATGAATGTGCTGAGCTGTTGGCTGGTTAACTGGGTTGGCGGAATTTTTCGCAATCATCAGCTGAAATGGGTTTGGTTTAAATAGCCGGAACCAACAAACCGTTTTCAGTCAACTTGCTGATAGGCTCTGATCAGTCATTAAACTTTATAAGACTTTATGACACAATTTAAGTATACTTTTTCATTCAGTATCGTGATCGTGTTTTCAGTTCTCACGCAAAATGTTTAATGTAGTGAGATAAAATAGAATATTAATATCAAACATTCCAGTACTCACTGTTGTCCATAATTCTGCGAATTCATTGTAGATATTGGTAACTTTCTGGATTTGTTCTTTGAATGCATTAAATATTGTGTTCAGCTGGATTGAAACTTTGACAACATCTTTGTGTTCAGCAATGATACGATGTAAAGGTTTTATTGTTGTTGAAGATATTTTCGCCTCCTCACCTTGAGCTTCAGCTAATTGATCAAGTTCCTAGAAAGTAATTTTTTGAAAAAACAGAATGCACAGCTGATATAAGAATAAAACTTGTGCACTGTGGTAGAGTGTAATTCCATTATGGGTAAATTTTGTTTTGATAAAGTCTCACAGTGTTATACAGTAATGTTTACTGATGACGTTTCGAGCACAATTTATTGCTCATAATCATATCATACCTTGATGGAGAATGCACAGCTTTATCTTATGCTTGTAAAAGTCTAGCTTGAGCTTTTACTCGGTGGGAGATAAACGATAACTACACCATCATTTAGGTATGATGTTGGTTAACAAGGTCGTTCTTATAACTTTTGCAGTTGGGTTCCATTTGTGTTTCTAAAGTATGTCTCCAGTAGTAATTCAGGCTGTTGAGGTAACTAGTTGTTGAATCACAATGGAAGTATTATTCAAGTAGCGAAATATCTTCTCTGTTTTACAGTAATTATATTTGAGAATAGTTAACCATTTAGTTCAGACATAAACTTTAGTTGGTTGGGCAAAAAGGTCTCTGTAAAAATCAATGAACCCTGCAATTATTTATTAAATTGATCAGATATGCACTTATGTATTTACCGATTATTGAATAACTTATTTACCTTGCTTACTTGTCATATGCTTGATAGACAACCAACTTGTTTCTAGCCTGTGGGTTAGCTATATTAAAATGCTTTAACACAATTTACTGAGTAATCCGTTGTAATTGAAATCTACTCTAAAGAATACAATGAATCATTGTAGATATTTCTTCCAATTGTTTTCCTTTCAAGATCTTCGAACTCTAGTGAACTCTAGTGATAACTAGTCTGCAGTTAGCTATAAATGTGAGGAATTTACTTGTCAAGCGAAATCATCTAACAGAATAATCTACTAAAACAGGTTGTAGATATCAGATAAAGTGAATAGCATAAAAGTTGACTACTGTTTTTTTTATCACAAGGTACTTACTTTTTGTTGTTGTTTCTGTGCAAGTAACATGTGTTTCCATGGTTTAACATTTTGCGACATTTTTAAAATAATCGACATTGCTTTATGTAAACCTGTTTGTAATTCGTCCAAAGATGGTTGCATAACAACATTTGGTATTGATAAGATAAGATTAACTTTAAATAATGGTGCTTTTTTCTCTTCTTTTTCATGATTTCGTTCTTGATGGAATTTTAATGCTGTTGGTTGGATTCTAAGTTTTATGCATTCCAACGTATTTCTAGTACCTTGATAGATATGGAAGAAAGGAGCACGCATTTTAAGTTAACAGGTGGTAGATATGTAGTGTGCTATATGGAAACCGTCATTTATAATGTGTTCTTAAATCTACATAAAGTTAACGTCGTGAATGCATTCCACATCTCTCTTTCCTAAGATGAGCAAATAAATGAAAAATGCTAGTCCAGTGAGTGAGACAGAAAACTGACAAAGTGTGTACCACTCACAGTAGTCACCATTTTCCTTTGACCAGACACTGACCAAAATTTTTTGTTTTAGTAGCATCACTCAATACGGACGAGGTTAAGATACACTGACAGGGTCAGAACATACTAAACTTTTTCAGTTCACTTTGTAGACCGAAAATGAAAAACACAAAATAACCTGCTCAGCTAAACAGCCTTATGTTTGATTATTCTTGTCTAAACACCAGTTATAGATATTGACTTTTGTAGGGAAGTAGAATACTAGAAGATCAATAATTACACATTTCAGATTTTTACATACATAACTTTCAGATGTTTACTTTTCACTCAGTGCCCAATTTTTTCAGAACTATCAGGTCAAATTTTGATCAAAGTTCATTTAAACTAAAGAAATACCTGTTTATGATTCCTCCAATTTCATCAAGAATTCAGTTACTAGCCTTGGAAAGATTTTTACTGAAAAATAACATGGATATTACTTTTCAAGAGAAGCATACGTGTTTTTTTTAAACTACACACAGTGGTGAATGACTTGACACCATCAGTATAGTGTTGGTTTCGGATTGATTTTCAAATATTTGGGGACATGCTCGATAATGCGAGTAGACAATCGCATACTGCTTTCCCTCCCGTCATTTCATTGTATTTATAGGTATTCTTATCTTGGCTAAAACTATCTGTTGTTATCATCATTATCGAAACAGTTTTCTTTCTTCTACGTCTCTTTTCAATCTTTTCAATAATATTATTCATTGTACAGCCCCAATATTATCAAGTTCTCTCTTCGGTAACTAATTGGGTATTATTGTGACACAACTGAACTCTAACCCATTGCAATTTTGATTTTCAATCTCTCATGTCGTATCCAGACACCATCTTATTCACTTGAATATTAGCGTATTTTCACCTTTCTCGTTTGCTATAACTGATACAATGCGATGACCAGACCCCATTGTTTATTTGACACAGGATATTTAGCATTGTATGAACAGTATTTATCTCAGGACTTGATGAATCCATTAAGTTCTACTTTATTAATACTTGTTGCTTGTTTTAAACTCAGATTAATTTGTTCACTGGTGACAAGTGAGGAAATTTAGAAAAAAACAACCAGAAGAAACTGGTGAGGATAAGACCTCTATCGGGACATATTTTCGTGCATAGTATGGCAAATACTATAACAGTTATTTCAGCTGTATAATAAATTGATATAACACCTTTACAACAGCCAAACATTTGATATGATTACAGCGTTTCTTTAAGCACGTAATATGAAACTACATAAAACCAACTGCCTCCGAAAATTCAAGTCATAATTGACAGCCCTATTCCACCTATTCAAGTACATTGATATGAAGATGTAGAAGGTTCGTTTTGCGGTAAGTTATACCCCTAATCAAACGAAACAATAATTCTGTGTTCAACATACATGCAGTCTCTGATATGTACCAGTTCACCAAATGAATTCCTTAACTGTATTTAAAAAAAATATTCATATGACATAGTACTGAGTACTTACATTTGATCAAAGCCTCAGTATTGCGTTGAGTGAATTGATTCAGAAATGTGAAAAATACACACGGTTTACATTCAAGACACCTTCCTCTACGCTTATCTTGTGATATGCATTCGTAACCTTGTTCTGAACTTAAATTTTTCAAATGATCTTCATCCATATCTGCTTTGATAAGGTCCAGCATTTCTTTGACAGCCGTTTCTGCAAGATTACTTTTACTGTAAAAATAAAACATGAAATAGTTTTCTGTTGGTAAGTTCACATTCATGTGAAATCTCACGTATCATTCCGGCATTCGCACTCGATTCCGAAGGTTATATTGTTGTGCTTTGTTGGTGTTTGTACATAACCATTATGACCCCTCTCTGGAAACTCAGTGGGTCATACTAACTTTCTGTGAATAGCTAAACTTTAGGCATCATTTTTTTTCAGTTGGGTTAAATTACACCAATTTTCAAATGAATTCAATTTCTCTTTAGGTTCTTACAATTATAAAATGTAATAGGTATTGTCGTCCCAAATAATGACCAGTTATACGGCGGATACATTTTGTACGTAGGATAACAGATTGGTTATAGGGTGACAAAATAAAGTGTTTTTGTGACAAACGTGCTAGGCTGAAATCGACTACAAAATATTCCAAAATCGGAGACAATGGTTATGATTATTTGCAATTGATTCGTAGGATGTGGGGAAGGAAAACTGACAAGTCAGTTCAAGATTATAGAGCGTGTCAGGTGATTGGCTAGTACAAAATGGGATGCATAAAGTGAGGATAGTAAGACTGCAATGAGAGGTTCGTAATGAAATAACGAATGTGTGAAATGAAACAAGTGGAGGCACATGTTGAGAAAAGAGATAATATCACTAATAATAAGTCTGGATAGTATAAATGGAAAATTCGATAGTATTGAGAGAATATTTGCATGAAGGGTATAAATTATGACGAATAATAATAATAAGTAAAGAAAGAAAAAAACGCAAAAAAGCCAAGGGATAAGTGGAGGAGATACTCCTGGTGAGAAGAAGAATCATTGATCCAGGTTCGGCCACGGTGAATGCATACCTCTCCTACACATAGCTAAAGCTGTCTCAATAAGATCGACTAAACCGGAGATTTTATGCAAAAAGAACACCTCCAGACACTGTTCCTACCGTGGCCAAACTTGGATTAATGATTCTTCTCACATGGCCCCACTCTCATTGACGGCACAGAGGTTGAAAATACATCTTATGTCAAGTACCTTGGGCTGAGTTTTTCCACCGATCTTTCCTGGTCTTCCCACATCTTGCTAGTTACTAGAAAGATGTTTCGCTTAACGTTCTACATTAGGAAATTTAGGCAGTCTGGCATAAACCAGTCTTTACTTTCCCAGTTTGTCAATTCTTGTATTCTACCCATCCTCCTTTACTGCTCTCCATTAGTCTTTCCTGGACTACTTAAGAAAGACTTTGCTTCGCTGAGAAGGGCACTAAAAGCTGTTAGTAGGGCAAGTGGGATATCGTTAAACCAACTGGTGAACACTATTGTAGATAGACATATTATGTCATGTAAGAAACTAGCGAATACAATATTGTCGGACCCCGAGCATCCTCTCTATACGCATCTATCTCCTTGCATTTCATCTGGAAGAACTAGAAGAAGCTATAGGAGGCTATATGCTAGGACTACCAAATACAAAAAGTCCACAATACCATATCTGGCACAGCTGTTATGTGATGAGAAATCCGTTAGGTATGACACGATAAAGTTACTGCAGCACTCTAACAAATAGTCTCATTAGGTTTTCTTTTCCTTTCCTTGTTACTACTACACTGTTGTTCTCATCTTCTACCACATATCAACTTTATATTTCAAATCCTGTGGTGCATTGTTTGAAATGAAATACTCTACGCTGTTTTTTTTCGTAATTTTTAATATTTATTTATAACTAATTTATTTTATTTTTTATTTATTTATCTCTGATTTTTAAAAATATAATATAGTTTATGAGGTAATTAGATGCAATATACTGTAATGCATGCTGAAAATTCCATACCTGTACCACAAATACTGTTTGGAATAAAGCTGTTATTATTATTATTATATTATTATTATTATTATTGCAGTCTTACTATCCCCACTTTATGCATCTCATTTTGTACTAGCCAATCACCTGACACGCTCTATAATCTTGAACTGACTTGTCAGTTTTCCTTCCCCACATCCTACGAATCAATCGCAAATAATCATAACCATTGTCTCAAACATGTCAGAAAGTATGAAAATAACTACCATATTTGTTGAAGAGCACAAAGGCGATTTATTTCATTCCAGCCTCAGATTCAATCTGAAAACAGTATTTTAACTTATTTTTATCATCAGTTACTTCCCTTCATTCAGGTGTTATGATATGAAGTAGTGTTGAAATATTATATCCAAGGTTTTCTTTTTGTTATGTGACAGTACAATTAATCTGTCAAATGTATACTGCAAAACTTGAACTTCAACTTACAGAGATAAACTTTCCGCTGCATATGCAACAGTTGTTTCAGTTATCTGGATGAATTGATCTAATGTCACTTGATCATCTTCCGGTAAATCACATAAACTTGTTTCAGCCATATCTTCAAAAACATCTTCAATGCGACAGTTTAATATATCACTTGTACGCTTAATTAGAAGTTTGAGTCTGTCAAGTTCACTGAGTACTTTCTCCATGACTACAAGAAATAGAAAAACATACAACTGCACGATTGACAGTAAAAACATTCAACACAATTCAGTTCCTCGGGTATAACATCAGTGAGATATAAACACAACGCCCAAGGAATGCAGTAAGAAGGGTATTCACTGCTGCTGAAGTATGCTGTGTCTTCAAAACCACACGTATTCTGCTTTCAGGAGTTAGAGATAAACTACCTAATTATGCCTATTTCATGTGCATTTAGCAGTTTGACTGATCCTGTCAGGCCAGTTACATGGCCAGCACAATTAGGCGAGTTTATCGTCGGATTTCCAAAAGTAAGGGATAAACAAAGGCCATTCACAGTTCTATAATGTCTCATCTTGTGGATACAGAACACAAAATTGATGTAAACAAGGCCGCTTTTAAAGTTATCAACAGTATTCCAACAAATCTTAACTTTATCTCGAGTTTGGCTATTGCATATTGCTGCGGCTGTTGGAATCTATATTAAGAAGCCTAATCTATGTATCCAAAAAAAAATCGGTTCAGACGCTTTCCTTGCCTTAGTCATCAAGGTTTTAACGATGCTTAATTTGTTGTAGGGATTTCCTTAGTTTCATTTTATGCTCTACTTATTATTACATTTTTATGCTTATCATAACTCATGCATCTTTCTTGAACAGTAATTTCATTGATCTTACTTAACAAATTCGTAGTATTTAAAAAAAACACCAATATTGTTAATCACGATTATTCAATAACATTCTATATATATAATTCCAGATCCAGAAGAGGAAATTATCGAAAAGGATATTCTTTGCTCAAATTTTCTTTTGTCTTCTGAATATCTGAATGAATATTTTCACTATAACAAAAGAAACAGTCAACCGGTTGCCGTATTGCAATTTTTGTTCTAGTCATCTGAAGTTACTCACATTGTGGCTTGTGCTTTCAAACAGCTTAGCTTTAGTGGATTTTAAAATTAATAAAAACCAGTATGGGGCGTCGCTGAATACTCAATAGATAAGTAGGCTAGTTTAGAATGACACGAAATGGAAAAACATTTTCCTGGATTTTCATTGAAGACGATAACTAGTATTGTAGCGTGATGATGATTAATACAAAACGGCCAAAACTGATGTCAACATTTTAAGTCAATGTCTACAGATGCAGAAATGTTTACTGCTCAAATATGGATTTAGTTTACGTTGTGGACATAGAATAAGCTCACCGGACAACTTGTTTAACCTTGAGCCAATAACCAACCATTTAGGACAATTTATTCACCTCTGAACTAGCAGAACCTTAATGTGGCTAAGAATGTATAAATATTACGTGTTTTTCCTTACTAAATGTCCATTAACAAGTCTTTCATCTTCTCCTGTTACCGTATGTCTTTGAAAACTTTACCATCAGTGTACCCCACTCAGTGTACACCTCAATCAATCCCACTTCTCGAACTGGAACTAATTGGAAGTTACTCGTTACTTTTCTCCTAATCATAGACTCAGCTTTTGAAGGCTTACCATTAGTAACGCCTACAAAATAAATATATAGACATAAAAATTCTGCCAGATCATTACAACTCAAGAGTAATGCACAAGTATAGTTCGTGCTCTTTCAAGAAATATAGTTTGCAATGAAAGTCCAGGCTATTCCAACCAACAAGGAATTTAGGAAGTTGGACATTATTGTTTGGAAAATTTAACATGCATAATTTACTCGATAAAAGTTAGCTACTTCATATTTTGTTATCGAATACTTGTAGTCAGAAAACGGATATCTAACAGACATTCTCTGAGGTGAACAGAATGATCTCCAAATGTATAAACAAATACCGTTATGTAATAATGTTAATAATAATAATAAGCATCGTCTCAACTACAGGCGGAACTGACGAGGACATCAAAGCCAGAATCGGAAAAGCAAGACAAGCTTTCATTACTCTAAAATCTGTGTGGAGGTCAACAGCAATCAGCATCAAAAATAAGATCTGGATTTTCAACTCCAATGTGAAGTCAGTGCTACTTTCTATGCGGATCAGAGACTTGGCCAGCGCGTCATAAAGAGCATCTCAAACAAACTTCAAACCTTCATTAACATCTGTCTCCGCTCAATAATCAAGATCAGATGGCCGGTCAGAGAAGATCAGCAACAGGGATCTCTGACAATGAGCGAACCAACCCAGCAGGAACCGATTGTGAAACAAATAGGCAGAAAGAAATGGAGATGGATTGGCCATACGCTGAGGAAACCATCAAGTGACATCACTAGACAAGCCCTCGAGTGGAACCCGAAAGGGAGGCGGCGAGTTGGTCGTCCAAGGGTGACTTGGAGGAGGTCATGCGAGGAGGAGATGAAAGCATGTGGACATACCTGGAGCAGGGTGAAAAAGTTGTCAGAAAACCGAAGTCAATGGAGGTGCGCAGCTGAAGCCCTATGTTCCTCTAGGAACTAAAGGATACAATAATAATAATATAATAATAATGTTCACATAGTTAATTTATCGTCTCTCAAAGTTACCGAGAAATATGATTTTCATGCTATTGTATATGCTTACTAAATAAACGTCCATGTGTGTTGATTTCTGAATTTTGAAAACAGGTATCCGAGATATGCAAGATATTAAATTTATGGATTTTTTGAACATATAATAAAGGTACATTATTTATCTTCAGAAAACATTTGTTTCCAGTTAACTATGAACAAGTATAAAAAATTTCTGTTAGGTCATTCCCAAGATTTCGAACTCTTCTACAGCTATCTTTTACCAATAGAGCAATGAAAACAGTTTGTGTGGAATAAGATAGTACCATCAATTATTCCTTTGGCTTCTCATCAGCTGCGTACAGCCTAAAAAACTTATTAAGTTCATAAACGGAACAACTTTTAACAAACTTGAAAGTGTTACATGATGTCAGTTGACAGGAGGCTCCAAACTTAAAAATAGTGCTCAGAAAGTTAAAATTATGTAGTAAATTCCCAGAGAGTTCAACTTTAAAGAGAAATGAATGTTTGCTTACAGTGGCAAAAGAGTTACGTAAAAAAGACAAGAAATGAGTAAGATGATGATGTGTGATCATCTTTTTTATCCCTATACTTTCCCAGTGGAACATACGGCTTCAAGCTAAAGCTTTGAAGTTTCACTAGTAAAGGTGTTCATTTTTACGGGATGGGGTTGCTAGCCTTACAACCAACCTTCCCTCCTTACCAGTCTTACTGATGGCTTAGAGAGGTTTAGGAGTCCGTCGGTCGGGGATGGAACCGCTAACCAGATGCGTGGTTGGCGAGCAATCTACCGCTGTGCCACCAAGGCTTTGTTTGAGCAGAATAATATGAAGCCACCGTTTATTTCGTCAGATTCTCTTCGCTGCTTACAACCCAAAAGGTGATTATGTTAATTAGATCTTCAGGCTGCAGTCTAATTTACATAGATTTATATATAAAAATTCTAAACAATGACGGTGATTTCGTGAATCAAATAATAATGACAGTAATAGTAATGTATTACATAACTCCAAAAACTGGAAGATATGCAAATGAAGCGCAACAAGTTAGCAGAAGAAGCATCAATGATAGGACTTCAGGTGAACATAGATAAAACAGAGATGATGAAGATTCCTGGCCAACAGCAATAGACAACAATCGGGATAGATGGGAGAAATCTGGAAGAAACAACCTCCTTTACCTACCCACCTGGGAAGCATCGTTTCAACTGCGGATGGGCAGAAGTGAAGAGGATATCAAAGCGAGGATTGGGGAAGCAAGATAAGCTTTCATCTCTCTCGAGTCTGTGTGGAGGTCAACAGCACTCACCATCAAAAATAAGATCCGGATCTTCAACTCCAATGTGGAATCAGTCAGTGCTACTTTCTATGCGGATCAGAGACTTGGCCAGCGCGTCATAAAGAGCATCTCAAACAAACTACAGACCTTCATCAACAGCAGTTGTCTTTGCTCAATACCACTCAAGATCAGATGGCCGGTCAGAGAAGACCAGCAACAGGGATCTCTGGCAATGAGCGAACCAACCCAGCAGGAACCGATTGTGAAACAAATAGGCAGGAAGAAATGGAGGTGGGTTGGCTGGCCATACTCTGAGGAAACCATCAAGTGACATCAGTAGACAAGCCATTTCTCGAGTGGAACCCGAAAGGGAAGCGGATGGCGAGTTGGTCGTCAGTGATAGGGTGGGGGGGTGACTTGGAGGAGGTCATGTGAGGAGGAGATGAAAGCATGTGGGCAGACTTGGAGCGGGGTGAAAAAGTTGGCAGAAAACGGAAGGCAATTGAGGTGCGCAGCTGAAGCCCTATGTTCCTCTAGGAATCAAAGGATATAATAATAATAATAATTACATAACTCTTAAGATTTGACTTAATTTATTTATTGAATTTTCTACATATAGTACCATCTTATTCTGCACAAACTGTTGCTCTTCTTTTATGATGTATGATGTTACCAATGAGTTAGTTTTCGGATGACTATTGAGAGACTGGTCTTCAGCGATAAATAAATTCCATGGGTGGAAATTGCTGACGGAAGAATTTTACTTGATAAAAACAGCTGTGATACAGTACTCTTTTTTATCTACCGATGGTGTTTTCAAATAAAATTTTCCTGTTTTGGAATTATGCCCTCCGACAGTGCTCAGATTATGCTCTTATTGTTTGTTAAAAGTTCACTGTGACTACTATACAAATAGTAATTACAACACTGACATGATTAGTATCAAGCTGAAACAGTTTAAACTTTACTAGTTTTAGATACCCAATGTAAAACTACTAACAATGGTTCGAAAGTATTTTAACTTACATGGATCTATGCTTGTAGAATTCCAGTTCAGTAAATAAATACCCGAACTAAGGACTTGACAGATCCGTTCACGGAATGGTTGGAATAAAGGCAAAAGTACACTGGGAACAGATGACCATGTTTCTTCAATTTCATTTAGTAATTCTTGTAGTCTATAAAATAAACAAATGAGATAGTGGTCACGTTATTAAATTTTATTTTCTAGCCTCATGAAGCGAGATAAATACATTTATCTATTTAAGGCAATGGCATTCGAGTATCAGAGTTTTTATGGATGGTCAATTAGAGCGTTAAATTATTCCAGCACACATACACATAGAATATTCAGATAATTAGGAATCAAGCAGAAGTAGTATTGTTAACTGGCATTTCCAGATTTCGAAGCAGTCGTAGAGTTAACTAAGGATTATTGCAGAAGTGAATTTTTTCCCAGTGTCACCACATAAAACCAATATTAATTGTACGTCAGTTTATCGGAAACGTTAATGTTTTATGGATAAACATCACGTGTTCGTCTTTTGAAGAGTATATTTATGAAATATGGTATTTCATCCGAATACTTGATAGACACGATAAATATGATGAAGAGGTTAAGATAAGAAACAGGATTGTTTGCCTGAAAATCGACTAACAACTTTTGGTTTTCACTGATTCGAATTTCTATAAAGCGTGGTGATATGACTCATTTGTCTTAGCACGTAACTTCCGGTCTCAAATTCAACTGTTTACTCGACCTAGTTCATAGTAAGCACCCAAGCGGTATTATAATATTCGACAGAGTATACTTAGGAATAGTGCTTGGAGAAGCTTTATCAGATAACTGAATGGCGTTGTCACTTTTTTCTTTCATTAGATGAATGTGAGAACAAAACATCCAGTATTCACTGCTCGTATTGTAACAACAGAAGACAAGACACGGAAGCCAAGGTATATTTTTCATTAATCAAATCGCTGTTTATATATATATATATATATATATATATATATATATATATATATATATATATATATATATATATATATTCATTAACCAATCACTGAGCCTGGGATTTCGGTTTACATTAAACGAAAAGAAACAGAATGATCAAATATACATAGTATTCTGTTGCCAGTGCAGTATATAACCGTGGGAAAAGTATTATGACTCTATCATCCAATAAAATGTTCAAACAGATATATCATATTCTGTTGTTGATACCGAATTTAACTATGGGAATATATGAGAATAATCTTCCGTTAGAACATATTGTCTGTATCACACCACCACAATACTACTTATAATTGACTTGTGCGTCGGTGGCACAGTGGTTAGTACTCTCGCCGACCATGCACATGGTCCGAGGTTCGAGCCCTCGCCGACGCACACCTGATATCTATGGTCGGCCTGCAAAATTTGGGCTGCCGATATCCACGCTGAAAATTCCATAATTGTACCAAAAATACAGTGTGGAATCAAGCTGTAATCAAAAAAAAGAAAAAATAAAAAAAAATTTAAAATGTTAGTTCAAACGGGCTGTTGATCAGTAAACAGGCCTTACCCTGATTAATTAGTTTCTTGGTGGATAATCACCCAACTAAAAAATTTGTCAGTTTCCTATTGAGTTTTAGTCATCCTCCAAGTCAACCTCATTTGGAAGGCATTTCTAAATGTCTATCATTCATAAACACTATGACTATGCTCTACTTCGTATTTACACAAATGAAGAATTTCTGATCATTTTTGTTAACATTTTGTCACACCAGAAGAATCATAATCTGGTTATGATATTATCCTTACACTGGCAGGCAGTCTTGATTTCACGGTGAGTTGGTAAATTTTGATTTTCTGACCAAATTTTTCTTAGGGAAGCGGTTAACTGAAATTCGTTAGCTGGGAAACTTTATTTACTTGTGCATTTTTAGCACAAATTTTAGGTTCAAAACAATTATTATGTATTCTGATGTATCGTCAAACCAGACAAGTAGTTAACATCTTTTATTGAAGTAGTGAACTATATATATTTTCTCGTCTCAGGCAACATGAGCTTCATTTATTTTACTAAGCACAAAAAATAGGCCATAAAATCATCCCATCAGATATGTTTTCCTTTATCTTCGTGTAAATGAGCGCAGTTATATTTAAAAATCTTACTGATGTTTTTTAAAATTAAAACGTGAGGCTTACATATTGTGTCTTTGTTTAAGCATAATTTCTTGAGCCAATAAACGGCTGGCTACCATTGGTATATTCAAACCTAAACTTGACATATATCGAGCTTCATGAACCAACTCCAATATTGCTATATCAAAATTTACATGATAACGTTCCGTGTCAGGATCACGTATGATTAACGAAGACGATAAACTAGAATGTACATTTTCAATTGTCTGACACCAATGATGATAATAAATTAATTCAAATTGTACAAGTGCTTCTGCAATACGATTGAAATTCTTTACACACTTCTGACCTTCCTGACCCTGTAATTTAATTGTGAAAAGTAACAATCATTTTTAAAAACTGATAATGATAATATAAGGCTTCAATCAGAAAAAGCATTTATATGTTCTTCCCTTAGGTATACGGTCATTATAACATTTCCAAAGCATCATGAATATATAAGTTGATATTTTAACTACGTGTTGATGCTCATTAAGTCACTTCGAATCATGTCTAGTCGTGGTAATGGTAGTAAGAAACCGGGAGAAGGAGGAACTAATTTTTATTTCCTATTACTGACCATGTAACTTTATTATTTTGTTTCTCTAAGTTAAGTTATATTCACGTTGATTGACATTCAGCTAATCCCAGCTAGGGGGTGCCAGTTTTTAACTAGTTATTGAAACAGTTTAGTTAACTGTTTCAAGCAATCCATTTGTTTTCACCGCCCATAGTTCTATCGTTAATAGAGGTAATGTTATACAGTGTCCAAACTAAATCTCATTAAGGTCATCATAAATACTGATTTTTATCACCAGAGTACTTCATCAATTTTTTAATAACTTACCCACAATACTTCAGGACATTTTTCTTTAAATTGTTCCATTGGTTTGTCAATTTGTTTGTATAAATGACGAGCCCAAAATATTTTACCAGCAATCGGTGTTATGTTTCGAGCTATTGGTGGATCATACTTTTGTTTTTCGTACAACTGACGAATCATTTCTAGTTCATTTGTGTAGTTCTTCAAAACTAATTCATACTTTGAGGGTAAATCTAAATTACAACCCTTGATTTGTTCAAATTTTTCTAAGGTTCTTAATTGGCGTTCGACCTACATTCAGCAGTCGAGTAGAAAATATACAAATGATAACGAATATGAAACAGTATTCTGAATAATACTCACTTACAATAATACGTGATACAGCTGTGATAAAAATTTATAGACACATTCCTAGTGTGGTGAGAGCAGGCTGCTAGCCGATTGGTTGGCACTAATCTACGTTAAGGTCTAGGTCACTAATATGGGCCGTGAGAAAATATGAACAAGCCTGAGTCAACAACCAATCACAGCAAAGTTAACGTGGCAGAATATGATTCGCAGAGAGAACTCTATTTGTCAAGGAATCCCGAAACAACCAATCAGAAGCCTGCGTTTGTCTACCTAAACAACCAATCAGATGACTGCGCTTGTCTATAATAATGTAGTTGAAAGATGTATAAATACGTGTTGATTTTCATAATAAAACGATCTGTTGCCTGGCCCTTGTCTTCTGTTGTTACACTAGCAGTTCGTAAGTTAAGATAAAAAATAGAAGATGCATAGAGTTTACTCTATGTGTGTGGAATTCTGCTGCACACAACATAAGGAACAAGATTCTGATTTTCAACTTAAATATCAAGTCACTGCTTCTCTACGGTTCAAAGAATTGGTACGCCTCACGAAGAGTATTTCCAACAGACTGAAGACTTTTATCAGTAGATGCCTTCACTCCATGCTAAAGAGAAAATGACTAGTCGGAAAGGCTAAGCAACAAAGAACACTTTGGCAGCATACTAATGAGGAACCTACCTATTGTTCAACAAATACGTAGAAGGAAATGGACGTGGATGGATTGGACATACGCTAAGGAGACCGTTGGGTAACATCACGCTCCATATTTTAGGATGGATTTTTGGATAGGTTGCTGCACCTTGTGGTGAAATATATATGTCATAAGATATAGAAATTCGAGGAAAATATCATATATCTGTCCTATAAATAGCTCATCAGAAGTGTGTATTTACGACACCATATCATCTTAACATCAGACCCATCGAATTTTGCTGCTATTACATTTCAGTTCTAAAAATTCCAGTTTGACTAATGAACAATGAAGGACAGTTTATGAATGTATAAAAGTTATAAAGGTAAGAATGCCGAATTACAGAAAAAGTACTGAAAATTAATGTCATAAGTTCTGGAAATAGTAAATTTAACTCTGGAGGAAGACAAATTTTCACACAAAATATGTTGTATGAAACTGTTGTTCAAAATAAATAAAACAAGCCATGTAATCTGTTTGCGCTTTTGTTTCATTGCTTGATTACAGACTGTTCTTTCCTCTGTACATATTATCACGGTATTTTAAAACTTCGTAATGCGAATTCACTTGGCTTTAATTTCTATTAATGAAAATGAAATTTGGCCTTGTTGCTTAAAAAAATGAGTAACTAATCTGCCTGTCGTAATGCGGCCTACTTAAAATTTGAGCTACTGAAAATCTCCATCAATATATTGCATTTACTTTCTTCTATTCAGTTTGTTTAGATCTAATAAAATCAGATCTCTAATAATATTGTTTACTCTCGTGAGTATTTAAAGCATCTACGACTTGCTGATTTGCAAGTTTCTACTAAACGTGTGAATAAGCATTAACCTCGATGGTAGATTATTTTTTTTTATTTTTTTTTATTTTTATTTTTGATTACAGCTTGATTCCACACCGTATTTTTGGTACAAGTATGGAATTTTCAGCATGGATATCGGTAGCCCAAATTTCGCAGGCCGACCATAGATATCAGGTGTGCGTCGGCGTGGGCTCGAACCCCGGACCAATATGCATGGTCGGCGAGAGTCCTAACCACTGTGCCACCGACCCAATACACTGGATGACCGTTCCTAATTGGTGTATTTGGTTCACAAAATGTACCCCTGAACTTTTTATGATTAGCATTCGACTAAATGTTGTGTGCGTCGGTGGCATAGCGGTTAGGACGCTCGCCGACCGTGCACGTGGTCCGGGGTTCACTTCTCGGTCGACGCACTCCTTTACCTCTCTAAGCCAGAAATAATTCTGGTAAAGAAGAAAGGTTGGGCATGAGGCTAGCAACCCCATCCTGTAAAATAAACACTGCTACAGAAACTTCAAGCCACTGGGGAACGTGAAGGAAAAAATGTTGTGTATTTCTCGAGGGAGAAAAAGGATAGATATCATGATGGAATGGTTTGCGTTTAAGGTCAAATTGAATTGAGTCACACGATCTACTGTTGGTTATTGTTTTATTTGAAGATCCTGAAAGGGGAGAGAAAATATTCTGTAATAAACATGGCTTAAAATTCTATACTTAATATAAACATTACTTCAGAATAAAGCTTTTACTTTTACTACAAAATTTATCAGTGATTCATCATTATTAATGATTTTTGTGGAATACTAACTTAATGATAGCTGACTACTTCTTTCAAAATATAAATGTTAGGACTGTAAGACATCTGAACTTACGGGTGCAGGTTGTTTAAACCATGTGTCAAGGAAATCACGAACTTGTTGTGCTATCATATCAAATTGACTTTTATAGTCATCCAAGTCCCTGTCAAGCTAAAACGAAATTGAAATGTCAGGAGAAGAAATATTAATATCATATTTATACCACTGACAAAATTTATGCCCGAAATTGCATGGCATAATTTAGAGGACATAATACGACAACAATGTAAATGTAAGTGTAGAACTTGGGTGGTGTAGTAGAATGGTATTCGCATATTATATATGTTTATTTTAAATGTCACACAGTGAAGCGGTATTAATAACATCCAGTTGGCCAGTACTCCCCGGCTTTTCAATGGTTCTCTAACCGATGTCAGCTCATAATTAAATCCTGCAACTAGTCAATCAATTCCCTACGAACCAATACTTGAATACCAATGAGATGCTCACTAGCGACTGGCTCTATTCAGGTAGGTAGTTACTTGGGGTTCTAGTGGGAAGTCGTGACCAGTAGAGCACAGCAGCTCAGACGTTAGCACAAATACTCACCGAAGACATTAGCTAGTGATCACGCTATGTTGTAAATTGGCAGAACCACTGGGTCGCGTCCTAGTGGCGTAATGGTCTAAGTGCTTGCCTTGTAACCAGAAGGTTTTTCAGTGGTTCCGTAGCCGATGTCAGCTAATGATGAGATCCTGTAAATACTTGTTATTATTTATCCTAATGCATGTGTAAGTACGGTTCTACAAGTTCGTTATTACTGACAGTTCTCGTCACGATATTTAAAACTGTATTAACTTCTGAGTACAGTGTAAAATAATTTACAAATACGCGACAATCAGGATTTTTATATAATGGGAAAATCAGTTTTCTCATATTGAAGAAGGTTTATATTTCATCTTATGAAGCATTATACACAGGAGATTAATCAATTCGTAACAGATCTTGAACCAATTTAAACATCTCAAAGAATGATTTCGAAGTATCTGTCAAGTCGTTTGTCATTTGAACTATGAATTCCAACTGGTAAACATACCCTTAGAATACCTTTTGTTAGAATTACTTCCTGGTCGTCCACTTAACTAAGCACACAATTCTGGACTGCTGGATCTTATTTATGTATTCTTATTATATAAAATACAATATGAAATGACTCAAACTGCTAATTTTCAACTTACATCACGTTTTATTTGATCAGCTCCATCAAAATTCCTTTTACGAAGGTTATCATAGAATGTTTTGTAGCGTACAACTATTGGTTCAATACCTTCAGCTTTAAAATCTAGTAGTACACTGAAATTATCCACACACTCAAGTATTGTCAAAATTTTTTTGAGTCTTGTTGTGTACACGTCAAATTTACCAAATATATAGTTTTCACTGACAAGATAAATACCACAAGAATAGTAAATGTTAGTGGTTAGCTTGCATGCAATAATAATTTGTTGCTGAATTCGCTTCATAGTGATATTTGAAATAGTAACAGTTAAAATAACGTTTACAGAGTGGATACATACTGGTTTAAAAAAATACTCATTTTGCAATTCCTTACACGAAAATGCTGTTTATTGCTTCTGAGGCTTAAGGAAGGGACACAAATTCTGTTTGGGTCTATTTATACTACTAGTTTTTTTATATCAGAAATGTCATCTGAATAAACAAGGTGTTAAACGTACAGTATTAGCAAAATAAATTACAGCAGTTTATTAAATAGTATATGCCTTTCAATTTACCAATTTCCTGAATTTGACTTGTTATTAAGACAAGATAAATTTGAAAATAAGCAAGGCAGTGATAACACGGTTTTGTATTTGATGAAACTTTCGATTTTCGAAATCTCAGCAGTGACAGCTTGCTGAAATGAGTTCATAATTGAGGTTTTTAGGCTAAATGGTTCTAGTTAAATAGTAACTGTATTCATTTATCCAGGCCCCAAGTATCTTCACATCCTAATATTTCAAGTTTTGTTCCAATTATTTTAATTCTACCCTATATCAATTTGTTGGTCACTCAGAATTTAGCTGAGAAATCCTGCCTATTAGTATTCATTTTGCATTTGCCTGATTAATGATTTAGTTTTGCTTCATGTTTGGAGCATACAATCAAGAGGAAGCATCACACTAACAGTAATAATAATAATGTCTATAGATGACTTCCTGAATTTCATTTATGTGCAATCAGTTACCTGAAATCAAATTGTTTACCAGATGAATTTTCTTGAAGTCTGTATCGAACTTTACGAAAGTTTTCTTGATAGTCATCATTTAGTTGGATGCACTCATTTATTCGCTCGAATAAAGTATCTCTAAACATAAAGAAAACAAAACGTGACGCATTTTTAGATGTGTAATGAACTGTCAAACATCAGTACCACTGTGTGACTAATTAAAAAAAATATTGTTTTTAAGTCATTCTAGTTCAGTAATGGAGCATATTTCCTAGGTAGATATTTAGGCAGAAATTTACTTACTGCACAAAAATGTGATCAGTCAAGATAATGGAAAGAAGAATGTTCCACGTTTAAACTCGAAATCGATCATTTAAGGCACTAAAGAGTTACTCACTAGGTTGACGTTTCTGCAACAGGCAACATTAGTTATTTATTGATACTTGTAACTTTCTCAGGTTTTAGATTTTACATGACGGTTAGTAGGGGAAATCTATACAAAAGTCGAACAATATAAGTAATGAAGTACATGAACTCACTAATTAATTCCTCATTTATGTATTTATTTTTCATGGAAAGTTAAGTCATAAATGTATTCACAATTTAATATGTAGCTGGATATAATGAGGAATTCTGGCTTTTATATTTAACCACTACATGAAATAAGGTTACCAACTAATGAGAGTGTTTCCTTAAGTACAAACAACCATAGGGAGCATTGTTTATTAATAAACTTAATTCCATGGTGCATTACAGTCCCATCTTATATGTTTCCTTTTGGTTGTGGATCCATTTATAACTTAGAGTTCGCAATGACTCCGCCCTTACATTTAAAAGGCTGATTATGGAATTTTTACATATCAAGTAAACTATGGATAATGTACATGACTAAAATGAAGTACAATCAAGCCGTTAGAAAGGATTTTGCTTACTCTTCATGCGGCCGGGACTTTAGCGATTCATATGGAAAATTCTAGACTTGGTATTCATAAACATTTTATCCTACCTCTTTCACCACGATGGCTTTAGCATCAATTTTTATTTTCCTGAATTGTCCTATTAAAAACTTCGTGTAGTCGTCTTTTATTTTTTATTTTTGTAACCCATTTTTAATCCTCTGTTCTTTTGTTTCCTATCAGTTATTTTCAAATAACCATTCATCGCACTAGGCCCTAATGGAACAAGGATGGGAAACGGAGAGTTGGATTTCCAACTGTGATATGGAAGAGATCGTGTGAGGAGTAGGTGAGAAATTACTGGCAATCGTAAAGCCAGCTGCGAAAAACAGGATGAAATGGAAACATGCCGCTGAATCGATGTGTTCCATACGGAACCCAAGGGAATAAAAATTATGATGAATTTATCATCCAACTAATTAGTTGTCAATCCTCTCGATTACGGAAGACTGTTCACCAATTTTCACATAATGTTATTTCTCACATACTCTGATTTATTTTGCTATTAACCCACAGTAAACTTTGACCTTTTTTGTCAATTAACATTGAAGGCTTTAATGGAAGACTAAAGTTGTGAATGGACATTTTGTTCTGAAGACTTGTTTGACGTCAACTGAATATCTTAAATGTGCTAAATGTTTAAACAATGTGTTTTTAATAAACCGCTTCCGTGAATTTCAGAATTTTTCGAAAATTTCATGGTTCAGTCATGGAAACAGAATAAATTTCTTACAGTTTTCCGTCCGTTGTATTCTGTCTCCCTATTTGGTGCACTGCATGCTGTAAACAGTCACATAAAATGAATTAATTACACGCCACAAGCATTTTCGCCCGAATTATCAGGGAGACTATTAGTGGAAAACAGTGCTCATACAGAAGCATGCACCACCATGTTGTCCAACATTCAACTTCACTTATGAAGGTATCTGAGATCATGTTCAAGGGAGGGAAGCTCTTCAGAAAATGATCTCGAAACCAACAATGCATTGGCATCATGTTCTCCACTAGGATTTTTCTGCAAATATTTCATTAATATATCAGTTATCCGTTGGGGCGTTTATTTACACACTATAACATTCACCCTTTTAAACGTATTCAACCCTGGTGAAGTATACCATAAAATCAGTAGTCTACTAATAGGTGACATTATTTAAAATAAAACATTCATACCTCGGTAAATCCCATATTCGGCTAACACCATCCGTCACATACTTTCTGCATGCAACAATCATTTGATTTGTTATTTTGATAAATAGAGACGTCATTCTTTCTGAATTATTATAATATTCAGAAATACTATAGATCATACGGATAGCATTAAGTAAGGCAGGTAGTTGCTGACGTATTTTTGACTGAAATTGAAAACCAAAGGAAAGGCAATTACTGGATTTTTCAAATTTAACTAAGAACATGGGTTTTAAGCTTTATTTGGGTCTAAAATCTTGGGGCTAAACTACCTTGATTACAACGAATAGGTGTGTCGTTATGTGAATAATCTAGCAGTCATATACTTGTAGTGGAGCGATTCATATCTGAGTCTGTGAGGAAGGATCATTGTATCAGCTGCGATTCCTCAGATCACAAATTTCATACGGATAACTGTAGTAATTATAGAGATAATACATAAAACTATCCCTTGACCCAATAACGTATGGGTACACTTACAAGAATAGAACCAACTGGGGTTCCATTTTCAGCGGGAATTTTTAAATTTAATTTGTTAAAATTTAACTCCTTTCTGTTCCCAGTGGAACATACGGCTTCAAGCTAAAGCTTTGAAGTTTCACTAGTAAAGGTGTTCATTTTTACGGGATGGGGTTGCTAGCCATATGACCACCCTTCCCTCTTTACCAGTCTTGCTGATGGCTTAGGTAGGTTTAGGGGTTCATCGACCGGGGATCAAACCTCGAACCAGATGCGTGGTTGGCAAGCATTCTACCGCTGTGCAACCAACACGGTGTTTTTGACAATCGTCTTTTATCAGTCGTTTTACTCATGTAAGCTCTAACCTTATAGTTTTTTCCCATATTTCTAATCATTTGAGAGATTATGCTAATGAACACTGATCCACTGATTTTGCCTTGTGTGACTGCCAAGATTCAAAATATTCTCCATGTCATTTCGATCCATTCTATAAGCATTCTAGGAAAGTAACGTCCACAGTTATTCATGTGTATTATTACAAGTAAATTTCCTATCTTAATGACTAACTACATCAATAATAGAATAATTTTACTTGAGAAAACAAGGTGATATAAGATTATTAATTTACTAATAATGAATAAATAATACTGCATCACTGTATGTTATGTTATTTTTATGGAGTTTCATTTTGCCTAAATGTTATTCTTATAGTCATCATTAATTAATTTGCATTGTTCAGGTAGACAGACGCAAAAAGATCACACGTTAATTTCAGTACAACACGTTTTAGCCACCTTAGTTTATGTCATAGCCCATGAAAGAATGAAGATGAGACTGTGAACTTTTTTCTTTGAAATGTTCTAAGGACTGCTATTCATTAAGACTAGAAGTTCAGCAACATTCTCTCTCATTCTTCAATAAGTTTGTCACGTGAACGAAGAGTGTTCTGAAGAACGTGAATGGATTTATCCCACCAGGTTTAATACTGGTTTAACACTGCCCTTTGTAAAAGTTGGTTGACTTTGTGATTGCATTTTGAAACCTTAAACATCCATGTTCTGGGTAGATTTATTTGTTCAAATGGATCAAATGTCGTAATCTATTTTATTGTAGACAGTATAAAGCTTATTTAACAAGAGTTACTACAAATCACAGATACCTTGTAGTTATTGAATTACAAGTATGATGAAATACTTCAATATTTTAATTATCATCTTCAAATCCTTCTTCATCTATTACAGAACAATCATTCTATTAGTTATTAAACATAACTTGATCGTTGGTGTAGAATTAGTTAAGAACCATTTTACAAAATTGCAGATGTCAGTTTCCAAATATGGTCATCTAGTATTCCCCATTCTCTGTGGATCATGAGGTTCACTTCTACATCTTTTAGCTGTCTGGGGAAATTCAACGTGTTTTTGAATAAGGTGACACCCAGTCCAAACTGCAAACATTATAATCCAACAAAAGGTGCTTACAGACTAAGCAAACTAGATTAGACTGTCACACACAATACTTCAATTCCCTCAATTACACCTGTTCTTATAGACAGTCTAATTTTGGATGGTTTGTGGTCTGAATAAAATGGACGAACAAATTATTTCCTCTGTAATGCTGATAAATCTTATAATCACAGACTGCTATTTGATCAAGGTTGCTTGTTGTTCAGTTATAAGTAGACTAATACGAATTTTATGATACTCACTGGACTTGTATTGGAAAATGAACTGAAAAAGTTGTCCAGTGTAAAAAGATATTTAAGATTGTCTTTCGCTTCATTGACACCATTGATAATACGGTCATCCTAAAGTGTGCAACAGAAAAGTACACAACTTATTGACAAAATAAATTAATTTGATGAAATAGTAATTTGTATGAAAAAAAGGTCATTACTAGTGAGAAACTATTTCGTTATCCTGTCTTAAGGATATCAGAAGTGTATGAGTGAAGGGATTAACGAGTCTATAACAAGTTGGAGTTAAATTCCATCTACAGGTGAGCTACACTGAACAGTGTCACTGTGATAGAATCACTGCAGAATATAGACTATTTGACTATTGCCCACCTATTGGAGTGAAGCTGTCTCAGCATACGGAATCCTAAGACGTTAATCTATAATTTCTAACATTTTAAAGGATAATGTTATTCACTGATAGAGATAATAACACATTACTGTCTCAAATTATCATAATAAAAAGCCACCTGGCTGGGAAATAATATTTACTAAGCAACTTTGCAAGTGTATCCCCACCTCGGAATAAGTTATGAGAACTAGATCCTTTACTATGGTTTGAGTGATAAGTTTCTCAACTATAAAATAACCCACAAACAAGATAGGTCAAAATTTGAGTAAATATTTGTAGTGTAAGTTATAATAAATATTTATTTTCAACTCCAGTTAGTTGTTTTCTTCAGTACTTATGTTTTATTAATTTTGATATGAGTACCAGTAGTTTTAAGCAATTCAGCAAGTTATATTCATCAAGTCAGACTTCAATCACTAGTTTATCTTCGAACCTATTGACAATCATGCTTACCCGTTAAGTGACCTAGAACGATGTGATAAGTAAGATAGGAAATTAAAGATCTTCATGAAATGCAATTATTTCTGTGAAATTCATAGCTGTCTAGACCATTTCTTCACACCTAATAATAATGTCACTAACTTCAAAAGGGTTCGACGGATTACTGAAAGATGTTGATTGGCATGCAGCTGAAAAGTAAATCTTTGTATGTTTTAGGTTAGTGACCAAATAACATCTAGCTTCACATCTGCATAATTGACTGGGTAGTTTTCATTTTAGATTTCATCAGTCATTCGAAACTTACTAATAAGAAAAACAACACTTCTGAAGGAGTTTACTTCTCATTTTCCTTGTGGTGGAGCTTCAGTAATCTAGGCATGCAACAATACTAAGTGATTTAGGCTGACTTCAAATAGAAATAAGCGGTTCCTTTTTCCTAGTGTTTACTACAGGTTTAATTATTCGGGAATTTCCAGCTTTCACTTTTATTTTTGTTCATCATGGTGTAAAACGATAAACCTTGAAGTCAAATCTTTTTCATACTGTTGTTAATTAGGGTACTTTGTAAGCGTAATGAACAAATTTGTGCGCAGGGCATTTACTATGTGTCTCCTCTTTCATCCAGCGTCTACGGATAGTCTTGTTTTAGTTCACTGTGAAAAACTTGTAGCATTCTTATGTCAGTTTAAGTGTTTATATTGGTTGATACCTTGTGAAGGAGCGTTTTGAAACATTTTATTCGTATGATAACCTTCAATCTTCGTATGTTAAGTCTTTTTATTAGAAGGTGTGTGATGAGGTTCGCTGACTTGATGAAGTTATAAAACAATTTGGGAATCCTGTTCTAATTTGTAAAATTTATCGAAATAAGGTGAATCAATGCTTTAATTCTTGTTTTTCAAAAAGAAAACATAATACTGTATCATAAGATTTTTAACGTACCAGATGGCGCCAGTGTTTGATTACACGTGCTTTCGCATAATGTAAGGTGGATATAATTGCCTGAATACTTGGGTTACGCATTTCTTCTATTAGACTAAATAAAAAGCAAATTGGTAATATTGGATATAATTGTATACAATAATTGGTAATGATTATGAACAATGAAATGTATCTAGAAGGTTGTCTGGTAAATAATACGATTCATCTGTGTACATTGGCGGTTCACCAGTAAAATGAATACTCACCAACCATATATGTGATCCGGTATTAAGTCCCTGGAGGGTGAACTCTTTGACCTTCCTTATACGGTAATCACCCTGTCAGAGAGGGTGCTAAGGCTGATATCAAATCTAACCAGACTGCAATTAAGTACCCTAAGATGACTTCTGACAGGTGAAATGAGCTAAAAAAACTGCTGCAAGCAAATAACGGGTATTGGAATTTAAAAGAGTGGAAGTTAGCACTTAAACAAATAGGATAAGCATACTGTTGCAGATATTCAGGTGTAGATACTACAGTCAAAGTTTTCATCGTTAAAAACCATGTTTCTCACTAAATGTGGAAATTCCATTTTATTCTTCGATAATACTGTATATATACAACAAAAATGAGCCGTAAATTATGAGTGGTCAGAGAAAGTGTATCCCTCAGTTTCAAATTCCCTAATTCTTTATATTAGCGGAAAGCATCCTTCGGTTAAATATAATGTGAAATAACAAACTGAACTCTTGTGTATGCAGATGCCTATGAGATAAGTTGTTTAAATCGTTACAAGATAACAGAATTACAGATACTAGACGGGCTTATAGTTCTCTACAGCGTTTAAAGGTTTCTAAATTTTTAATCACTATTTTCAGTTACAAACAGATTAGGAAAGTAGGACCTTTTGCTTTCGAATAATACTGCAAATGAGTAATGTGAGTATACTTTCTGTTGCTTTCTTTTATCTCTTAACGTTGGTTGAAAATCGATTATCTCATTTAAATTACTTCCTGTTTGCCTTCAGTGATGCCAGCTTCAACTTTAATGTGTGAGGTTTCTATTTCTATAGTTAGTGAACTGATGGATAGCATATAATGCGGTTAGAGTTTAACTTCGACCATTCACCTACTAGCATAACTTAGCATTAAAGTATTATTTATTTAAATACACACTTATTTTTCCCTATGAACCAGCATTACTACTTTCTAATCAATTCCATTTTGCCTCTAAGCTGGGATATTACCATTTTGAAGCCAAAACTAAATCTATTCAGTGTTATCTTCAGGCTTCTGCTAAAATATTAAACATCCTAATTAGTAACTTAAAGGTATTTATAGATTAGTTTAATACAAAGTGGGAAACGGTGGTACGTGACACCCCTTGTTTCATTTACTTTTTTACATCTTATCTGAGTATTACTTCAATGCTTTCAACTAACTTACTTTGTAAAACGAACCAAACGAGCTCTCCAGTAAGTTAGTTCAGCTGACGGTCCGACATCGTCTGATTCTCGACGTACTTGATCTGATTGATTCAATATTTGCTCAATTTGATTTACCCATTTCTCAACTAATCGAATTAAACGGTCCATGGTTTCAGAACTGTCAACTAGATAGCACAAAGATAACAACAGCATTTATGCCGACAAAAACAGTCAGATAGAAACAATCCACAGAATTCGATTAAATGATTTGTTTCTAGAAGTATTGAAGACTTTATTGGCTAAATGGGAACAATGTGAGCATGCTTAAATGAAAAATGACTTAGTAGTCTGAGTCTTTTTTAAATTAAAGGTCTTCTGACTGGAATGATAGGTGCTGTTAGTATAACTACAAGTTTTTAGTGTTTTAGTACACAAAATGCAGCTTATTTTAAACCAGAACAAACCCAATATCTGAATAATATAGTAGTATCATATGGAAGTATCTGCAGCATTGTATGCCGCATACTAGCGGTGCATTACGTTTTACAGCGTAGACACAAAACCATCTGTCATGCAGCAAGTTACTTAGTGGTTGGGAAACGTACTTTGTGGTCTCAGGATGGAAAGTATATTACAATACATTGTGTCCATAGTTTTACAAAACTAAACTTACTAATATTTTCAATTTCATTTGTGTTGATAATTTGAATAGCTGCCTGTGATTCTTGTCCAGCAGTTAAGTCGATCTTATCATTCATGTTTTCTCTGGCACTTGATAATGCATCTAGATAACGTCTGAGAACGATTACAAATTCCTCCATGTTTACTGTTTCTGGTAACAGTTTGTCACAAGTTTCTGAGTCCTGTTTTGAGAAATAATAATTATTCAGAGAAGAAATGAGAATAAGATCACAGTAATATGACTTAGCATCAAAGCCGTGTTACGATATAGACGAGTAAAAATTATTCACAGTAAGTAGTTTTTTACAAACAGTCGGAAGAAATAATATGTGCCTATTAAAGTGTAACGTTTATTATGTGCAGTAATAAAAGTAGTAGTAGTTTAATCATTAAACTGGAGTGATTTCAGCTGGGGACCTCTTTTGTATTCCTGGAATGATTTCGCACTATATTATGAACTGAACTGAAGGTTTCTATATCATAAGCTTAAAAATAATCTCACTTACTGGGGTTTATACTAGCAGGTGGTTTCTCAATTTTCGAACTGTTCTAAGTAGATTGCTTGCGTACATTAAGTACTTCAGCTAGAATGTATCTCTGGGTGTTTATAAAGAATATGTTTTGCCATTTATGACTCTGCAAATCTACTAAGTATTTCCAACATTCGAGAAATATTAGATGTGTTAGATTCTGTCATGTTTAAGTTTGCTTTATGTAGTTACATTCTGAAACCTATTGGATATATTTCCAATAATAAGCACGACTTACAGCACTGGAATGATAATCTGTTAACTGAACACTTACTGTGGATGAAATAATTGTTGAAAAGGTAGATTATTGCTAACTGTTTAATAAGCTCTCATAACACTCTTATATATTTGGTGAATTCCACTATCGAAAATCTACATCTTTATTTTGTCAGGGTTTGTTCAAGATTACTCTGTTGTTTTCAAACCCATCTATTTCTTGAATTGTATAATTTCCATCATGAAATTATCATTCGGTGCTTCATGTGGATACTTTTCTTATATATGGGCGTGAATAATTGGCCATTATACAAGGACTATTTAAGTCAGTTGACGTATTTAATTGGAAAATAATCAATGAATACACTATAAACTAAAAAACGAACTAGGTTCTTACACCTAAACCTTCAAACACCGGTAGTGCAAGTTTTTCTAAATAATTTTGCACGGATTCGAATAAACGTCCTTCTGTGGCATCCAGCTGTTGAAATGAAACTTCTGTACCAATATTTGCTGTTGTTATAGCCTTATCTGTGATCCGTAGGAAAATAAAGCATGTGCCACGCAATACCTGAATGAAAACAAAATAAATCGGACATATAACATTCTTAATACCAGAGGATATAGAAGAACTGGTAGACAGTGATCTAGTAATGATTGTCATAAGTTTCAGTAGGAGTGTTCTGAGTAGAGGGTTTCCCAGATATGACGTTTGACTCCAGAGCAAATATTTGCTAACTGAAACACGCTTAAACACTGACACCACAGCTACGGTAATCCATAATGATACTTTTGTGTTTGCAAACTAAATGACAATGATACCACGTCGATATTTATTGGGTGAATTTAAATAAGTTTTGGTTACCTTTCTAAGTTGTAAACTACCAAGAAGCTACGGGAGTCCATAAAAGAACTGTTCATGAAGTAATTTGGCGAATAGAGACTAACAGGGAAATCCAGAATGCTCATTTCGTCGTATTTGGGACTCTTCAGTTGAACATGTCTAAAACATCTTAGACATTTCGGTTTACTCAGTCAACTGGGAAGTCAAATTAATATTGTAATATTGTTTCCTTTAATTCCTAGAGGAATATAGGGCTTAAACCGTACGTCTCCATTGCGTTCAGTTCTCTGCCAACGTTTTCATCTGGCCCCATCTATGCTCATATGCTTTAATCTCCTCTTCACATGACCTCCTCAATGTTACCCTCGCACTGACAACCAACTCACCGCTTCCCATTCGGGTTCCACTCGAGAAATGGCTTGTCTACTGATGTTACTTGATGGTTTCCTCAGAGTATGGCCAGCCAATCCACCTCCATTTCTTCCTGCCTATTTGTTTCACAATCGGTTCCTGCTGGGTTGGTTCGCTCATTGCCAGAGATCCCACCCTATTGCTGATCTTCTCTGACCGGCCATCTGATCTTGAGTGGTATTGAGCAAAGACAACTGCTGTTGATGAAGGTCTGTAATTCGTTTGAGATGCTGTTTATGACGCGCTGGCCAAGTCTCTGATCCGCATAGAAAGTAGCACTGACTGATTCCACATTGGAGTTGAAAATCCGGATCTTATTTTTGATGGTGAATGCTGTTGACCTCCACACAGACTCGAGAGAGATGAAAGCTTATCTTGCTCCCCCAATCCTCGCTTTGATATCCTCTTCACTTCTGCCCATCCGCAGTTGAAACGATTCTTCCCAGGTGGGTAGGTAAAGGAGGTTGCTTCTTCCAGATTTCTCCCATCTATCCCGATTGTTGTCTATTGCTGTTGGCCAGGAATCTTCATCACCTCTGTTTTATCTATGTTCACCTGAAGTCCTATCATTGATGCTTCTTCTGCCAACTTGTTGCGCTTCATTTGCATATCTTCCAGTTTGTGGGAAGTCAGACATATATCATTGGCGAAGTCCAGATCCTCGAAGTTTTTTGTGTGGGTCCATTTTATGCCCATTCCCTCGTTGGTTGCCGTTGTCTGTCGCATTACCCAATCTACTGCAATCATATTTTATATACTATTTTGTTACTCCATAAACATAGTTATTGACTCACATTGGAATTAATCTTAGTGTATTAAAATTCAGTTTGTTCTGGCGTAATTACCTTCTTATTTTTAAATTGTATTTACTGTTCCACTATCCGCTAAACATCGTTTATTCAAATCTCTTTATTTATGACCCGCGGATTCAAGCACTTTTTACTACTAACTGTGAATCACTTTTGACACGGATTTAAGGTTTTTTTTATTAACGATCACTAAATTCGATGGTATACTGCCAAGATACTTTACAATGTCAGGTTTGTATTTCTAAAAAAAAATTATATTTATGTGTAATATAGCCACATATCTCAGAGTTTTGTATTTTATCCATAGCTCAAACGTTTGCTTTAATTGATCGAAAGTTCGATTACATGTCATAGTCTCAGGTTTCTTAGATGAAATCTATATGGTACATACACTCTGAAAGCTGCTGGTTTCGTCAAGTTTGGCCAGCTGACTGTCGAAATGTAAAGTGAACTGTTGACGACTTACACTCATTATAGCTCCTTCTAATTTAATGAATTGATATACAGATACCAAAGGGATTATTGTCACGTGATTCCGAGCATGAGGTCACTTAAATGATATGTGAATCTCGGCAGTGATTGTCTAATAGACATGAGATGTGAACGCTGATTTCAACTCTCAGTCTGATGTATATTAATAATAAATACAAATACTTCTATGTTTGAGCCACGCTTATAGCTAAATGGAACTAAAATAAGATCATTTGAGTATTTGGTTAAGGTCTAAAGTCCCAAACATAGCGGCATACAAAATGGCGTATTATCGGTTATAACTGTTGGACAAAAGTTAAATTGTGGATAAAAGTGATTCGCATATTAACGCTAGTTACAGAAACTTAATGTGATCAAGCATTCAAGTGAACTGAAATCCTTCCGATGTGCGATAGCTAGAAACCTGACCTCAAGCCCCTTGATTGGTTTTGATCATGCTCGCTTAGATATTTCATGCAGAGATAGTTATGACAAGATAATGAAATTTCCAGTATTTAAATAGTATTGAAGTATTAATAGACAGGAATATCACAGGAAATAAATTTTTATTATGTAAGCAGATAGAGTGTAGAACTTACTTCATGAGTTCCAGAAGCAATAAATATTCGTTTTCTGGTTTGTCCAGGAGCCTATACATACAACAAAAAGTTTAAAAATATTACACATTTCACAGTTATAAAGTTTTATGTTGAAAAGAACAAGAAGTTCAGCAAAGATACCTTTTCGGCGATTTCATTCTCAAAAGCTGTACAATCACAATTTTATAGATTAGTTTACATGGGTACAATTATTATTTGTTTAACTCCACATAGTAACGAAGGTGATGGTAATTTTCAACTTGATATGAAAGTTTGAAGGTACCAATATAGACTACAAGGGGCTTCGAGACAAGATTACATAGGATTAGAAAACAGTTACAACATATGCAAAATTAATATTTGATAACTGGAGAAATAATTTTAAAGGCGAATAAAGGCGAAAATTATTTTTAACTTGATATGAATTACAAGAGGCTTAGAGACGCAGGGATAGAACAAATTACGGATGTGAACAAAATGAGCATGGAAACAAATTGAAATCAAAATTTTCAACTTGAAATGTAAGCTGGGAGGTATGAATATAGATTACAAGAGGCATAGGAACAAAAAATTACACAGGATTAGAATATAATTGTAAAATTGTTACTCTAAACGGATTACAAGTGTGATCAGGAGGAGCATGGAAAACAAACTTAAAATAACTGATTTTATAACTGAAAAAATAGGATGAATTGAATGAAGACAAAGAGAGAAAATTACACACACAGATAACAAAAAAACAAACAAAAAAAGGTACTGAAAGATAAGGGAACATACCGAACTAGGTCCATGGACTAGTTTCTTTTGAACACATAGCTCCTGCTTTTCGATGCATATGGTGAGAGCTTCCGCAGTACAAACAAGTCGGAAGCACACTGACCTTGGTAGATTTTTGTTTACTTTGTAAATGACTCTAAATGATGAGTCAGTTGAGATTCTGTGACAGTTATTGACGAGATGTTCAGTTATTGTGCTTCTGATTGAACCAGTGCCTCCTCTTTGCAGCCATGCTGGATGATGTTTCCTAACACGTTTCGATAAGACCCACCTAGAACGACCTATGTACCTGGCTCGGCAAGAGCAGGTGAACTGATATATGCACACTGAAGTGATCATATGCGAAAGTCTGTCCTTTGCGTCGCTCCGAAGTAGTGGGAGGCTAGAGAATATCACTCTTAGAATTGCTGCCGGAAAAGTCTTCTTCAGAGAGTTGGGGATTCTCCTTTTAAGGATATCTGCTCTCGCCATATGCATCGAAAAGCAGGAGCTATGTGTTCAAAAGAAACTAGTCCATGGACCTAGTTCGGTATGTTCCCTTATCTTTCAGTACCTTTTTTTGTTTGTTTTTTTGTTATCTGTGTGTGTAATTTTCTCTCTTTGTCTTCATTCAATTCATCCTATTTTTTCAGTTATAAAATCAGTTATTTTAAGTTTGTTTTCCATGCTCCTCCTGATCACACTTGTAATCCGTTTAGAGTAACAATTTTACAATTATATTCTAATCCTGTGTAATTTTTTGTTCCTATGCCTCTTGTAATCTATATTCATACCTCCCAGCTTACATTTCAAGTTGAAAATTTTGATTTCAATTTGTTTCCATGCTCATTTTGTTCACATCCGTAATTTGTTCTATCCCTGCGTCTCTAAGCCTCTTGTAATTCATATCAAGTTAAAAATAATTTTCGCCTTTATTCGCCTTTAAAATTATTTCTCCAGTTATCAAATATTAATTTTGCATATGTTGTAACTGTTTTCTAATCCTATGTAATCTTGTCTCGAAGCCCCTTGTAGTCTATATTGGTACCTTCAAACTTTCATATCAAGTTGAAAATTACCATCACCTTCGTTACTATGTGGAGTTAAACAAATAATAATTGTACCCATGTAAACTAATCTATAAAATTGTGATTGTACAGCTTTTGAGAATGAAATCGCCGAAAAGGTATCTTTGCTGAACTTCTTGTTCTTTTCAATAAAATTTTATTCAAAACATTTCGTATTAACATCCACGGGCCCTCAAAACACAATGCACTTCCTTTACTTATCAAATCGGAGATAGTCAAATTTCCTATATGAATTTATCGACATCAAACAAATTTCCGGAAGTGTTCGCCATCTGAGAGACTAGACCACAGTTAAAAATAGTCATTCTAGTACATTATGATGACTTAGAAGAGTAAACATTATGGAATACCTTAGCATCAAAATAATCCAATTAACTAATCATTTCAAATTCATATATACCTTCATATGGACTGAACTGAGTAAATCATGTTAGAAACATGTATTACATAACCACATCAGATTGTCCCAGCTTAAGTGGAATAAGGTTAACAACACAGTGGTAGTGTCTTTGAGTAAAAAGAGAAAATGTTCATCCGCTGACAATTTTACAGAATCAAAGCACTCTAAGACTTACTTCTTGATAGTAGAACAATAATCTTCGACTTCCTTTAGCTTGAAAGAATTCATCGAATTCGGACCACTGTGTTTAGATTAGATAAGATGAATATGAAAATATTTTATGGCTGAATTGCACAGAAAAGCATAATAATAGTAAGGTAATAAAACTTATAGTATACTGAGACTTACTTTGGCACAAGTAAATATTAAATTATTATATTTTATCATTTTCCTCATACAGCTGTATGGTTATAACATTAAATAATCGAATTAAGAAGCTAGAATATTTGACTAGGCAGGGAAAAGTGGCAACAATAAATCCCTCCAGAAAACATAATACTGTGATCTAAAATGCTTCGGAGTAGCACTGTCACAGTGGCTACATATCTAGATACTATTAACTGGATGACATGTCGAAAGCAATTTACTGTTCATAATCCCACTTTTACAGTATTCTTTATTCCTTCTCATTTGTTGTAAAAGTAGTGGGATTTTTCATGTGTTAGGAACACACGGTGAATAATTTTTAAAGCAAGTATTCTAATTTGGAGTTTTAGGCATAACACATGCTAGGTAATATTGATTACTTATTACTTAGTGTTAATTCTAATCTATTGCCTACTTTTAATTAGTGACATTTTAAACTGCCGTGAGTGTTTATTTTGTTACTGCCAAATCAAAAAGAGTTTCACATACCTTATCATCCATTAACAAGGCGTCGGTAATTTGTTGTGTATCTAATTGTGTTGCCTGGGCTAACTAAAAACAAAACAAAATGAAACGGAAAATTAACCAATACACATTCTACATCGTTAGCTATTGTTTAGAATGAGTTATAAAAGGTAAAACAGAGAGCCGACGGAGTATTAAGTAAAATCAACTTTTTCTGTATTTACTGAGGTTCATCGTTTGCAGAACTCATGATGAATACCAACATTTTAGTGGATTCCTAACTTAAACAAATCAAGTGTTGTTTTGTAGGGATTTTATCGATTGGTTACAGGATTTCATCATGAGCTGACATTGGTTAGAGAACCATTGGAATATCCGGGAGCATTGGACAGCTGTTTCGTCCTAGTTTGGGACTCTCCCCAGTACGCACCCACCGGGATTCGAACCCAGCTCGTAGACCATTAAGCCACTGGAACTCGATCCAATGGCCCATGAATTCTAACTTCTGCCAATTCACGACTTAGCATGACCGTTGGTCAATGTCTTCGGAGAGTAATTGTCCTCAAATCAGTATTACTATTGATGCATTTGACATAAATGAAGTAATTCTAGAAACCCCTAGTAAAACAGTTATAGGAAATTATACTTTCCAAAATTGAATATAGCTTTCCAGAAAAGGGTTTATTTAGTCACTTAATTCAGAGATTGTTCTGTGGAAAGAGAAATCAACCTCTAATTGTCATCCATTCATATTAAAACTTTCATACCTTACTATGTTTTACTATATCGTGAGAAAAAAGCAAAAAGCTTATTGGTAATCGTTTCTAAAAACCTGATTCTACGTAAACTACTAGATAGTCTACAGCTATTTCAAAAAATGAAAATTTGTAGCTTAGGTTTGGTTGTGTCCCCTGAGCATGCTGGTTTACTTGTGGAGTTTTCATTGTCCTTCCAGAAACTATTTTCTGAAGTAACACTTCATTGTTAAGTCGATAAGTTTTCAGGTTCCTTCATGAATGATATTATCTATCTATCCTGGTAACTTTAAGCGTATTCAGAAGTTTTTTCCCATATCTTAATTGCTACAGATAATTTCACTTACGTGGTATTACTATGCGACTTGTTCATCTTATGATAAATCTGAATCCATTCAGCGGACCTATCTTTTCTGTAACAACACTGTGCATGTGTTTGAAATGAAACCCGAACTTCAGCAGGGTTGAAATAAGCAGGTTTTGAATAGTAATAGCTTCATTCTGCACAATACAAAAGTTCAGTGTGCTTTTATCTTCTCCTTATATGCAAGTAATAGCCCACAATATATCATCTAACAGGACACTGTTAGGCTTAATATGTGCTTCAACCCCGATAGCTTTTCAACCTTCAAATTGTACCTAGTGATACATTTTAAGCAGCTCAGAAATTCGTGTGAGTAAAGTTTTTCTTCAGGGAAGTAATTAAGTGCTCAAAACAAAGTAGGGCTGAGTAAATCTGACGCATTATGCTGTAGGTTAAATTAGGTAGCTTAGAGATTTGAAAAGGTTATCGGCTTATTTCTGATTACCTTACCTTATCTAAATTGTGAAATATTTATTCTGTAATTGTTAAATTTTGAATCAGCACAGCCACAATTCTTATAATTCTAATAAACTTATGGTTGCAATAAGTTATGTCAGCTGCAAATCATGATATTTTTCTAGTGTTTTCCAACAGGATTTCCTACACCCACATGTTCATTCAAAAAAAATTAATAAAGTACTTAAAATTAGAGATTATTCAAAGGAATCTATTTTAATCAAGGAATTCAGTTAGAACTAATTGTATAATATCAGAAATGAAGACACCTGGGAAATAACTGCTTACCGTTTGCATTATGTAGGTGTGTCGTGCATCCACCTGGGTAAAAAAGAAATATGAAAATGTATATATTAAGAGAGAAAGTACATTTTTTTCGGACCATACAGTTTATACTTGATGCATTTATGTAGTTCGAAGCAATTTCAAATACAGTTGAAGGGCCTTCCACAAAAAGAACTGTGAATGTACTCTAGGTATGGAGGTTATGATTTTCTGACAATGAAAATCACCCCTCTCATATGAGTTAATCAGTTTTTGGTTCCTATTTTCAGCAACTAAATTATTCGCCAAAATAAAACATTTAGTAAGGAGTATTACTAAGAAATGACTATATTTTTTCCCGAAATGCCTATCAGTGGAACTTCTTTGTTTTTCTAGGAAGCTACTGTCATTTTTAAACAGATTTTTTTGTCACGTTATCACTCTTAGGTAATGCGTTGTTACTTTATCATTGATATTACGAAAACTGTGTATTAAAACGTGATTCGTTCTCTTCTACAGCACTGAAAAACATACTATATGTCAGTTGTGTGAATTTAGTATTTTTATTCAGGAATCAAAGCACAGCTTTGTAGTCCTAACATCAAAATCGTTATCACTGAGTTTGCATATAACCCTTAAAGCTTTGTGTTGTAGATAACACTAATATCTGAATTTTGAATTATCTCTGTAAACGATAGGATATTATCCTTATTTAGTCAGTTTTATTTTGCAAAGAACCTCTTGAACATACTAGTTATCCCAGTGTAACCGGAAATTTCAACATTACTATTCTTTCTTCAGTGTGTAGCGACTTTAGATGTTACTATAAGCATGTGAGTGGCACGGGAGTTGGTCACTGTGCGTCGGTGGCACAGTGGTTAGGACTCTCGACGACCATGCACATGGTCCAGGGTTCGAGCCCACACCGGCGCACACCAGATATCTATGGTCGGCCTGCGAAATTTGGGCTACCGATATCCACGCTGAAAATTCTATACTTGTACCAAAAATACAGTATGGAATCAAGCAGTTACCAAAAATAAAATAAAATAAATAAATAAAAAAAATACTTCAAAACAGGAGGTAAGTAATTCTCTCAAATTTTCATCAGTTTTTCAGTATTTTCCCCTCGAAATCGTTTTCATTCTAACAGTATTCTTAAAATCACCAACAAATAACTTATGTCAGCTCATGATGAAATCCTCCAAACAACAATACTAAATCCCTACAAAAAACCAAAACTTGAAAATACATAACATTTGTAAGGTAATATGTAAAAATTTTCAAGGGAGTATATTCAGTTAATGGACTTACAGTCACTCGACGTTCTTCAATCAACTGCTTTAATCTTTTACTTTTCTGTCGGTTAGCTTCTACTTGACTTATTAGATTACTTCTGATCAATTTAACTTCCTGAATAAAATGAAAAAACAATCCATTCTATGAAAATGTATTTGTACAAGTCAGTGTAAACATCAGGAATTCATTTGGATTTTATTTCTAGACTAATATATCAGCGAGAATAGCTCAGTCGCAACCACTTAAGTTCGTTAGCGGCTCAGGGGTAAGATGCTCGCTGAACATGCATATGCTTCGGCCGGCGCATATCTTTACCTCTCTTAGCCAGTTGTAATCCTAACAAATAGAGAAGGTTGGGCGTGAAGCTAGAAACCTATCCCGTAGAAAACACCACTACTACTGAAACTTCAAAGCTCAAGCTTGAAGCCCAATGTCCCACTGGAAACTCAAAGGAATAAAATAAAAGTGTTTCATAATATAACGCAGACACCTTTGGAACTGTTCATCAGAACTCACAGGAAAGAAATCTAGGAAAGTATGGAAGTAGAACTAAAGAAGTCTTTATCTCATCAGTTTGAGTAGTAATTTAATACTGTTTTACTCCATAGATAACAAATCTTGACATAAATATAGAGAGTTACGGGTTGCACTGGTTGATACGGTACAAGCCAACTTTTTGCTTATTTAAGTGTTGTCTGATCTTTGAATAATTGTTTTCTTGCATAAGCGATGGAGATAAGGTCACACAAATCACACTTCACGCAAACATCACAAGCCACAGTTGGCTTGTAAACCCAATTATTTCAAGATTTTTCTTTAATAAAACCATTAAAAAATACAGAGAGTATTCAGCTCAGTGTTAACCGCTGAGAAAACTTTACGAAGGTAAAGCTTATGATTACTAACCATGTTTCCAACATTGTTCTTGAAACGAAAGTAGATAGGCAATGTGAAATCAGACTAACTGTATGTTTTTAGTAAACAGTGGTGTGTATACAGATCTTGAATTGGATAGCAATGACATTAAGTCAAAACTTTAAAACGGTCTGAACGTAGTACGCTTCTGAGTATATTATCTCTCGTCCTGTCAGTGTGTCACCTAGTTACAACTTTGTACAGAAATGGCAGTATTACGCCTCACTCGACCAACATAATATTAGATAACAAGACTGCTCGGCATGAGACACATAGAGCGATCAAAAATTTTATATATATATATATATATATATATATATATATATATGTTAGACAAGTTTTCATTGCAAAGCGCTTTAAAATAAATGAATAAACAAAATCAGTAAAATGTACTTTAACATTTTCTTGCGTTTATGTGTTAAGTAGCCGGTTACATTATCTCAGAAATATCCATTTTCATGTAGTCCGAGTAAGCTTGCATTAGAGCTAGGCTATGTCGCAAAATGCTTCAACTTATTTCGCTTAGAATGAAGACTGTTGAGTTAATGTATCTAGGTTAATAGTAACACTGACGAGTTTCAAGTTACTGAATTCTAATTATAAAAACCAACTTTTGTGTTATTTGCCAAAAACGCGATTACTTTTCAAGTGTTGGGTTGTAAGGATTTGATTGGTTTACAGGATTTCAAAATGAGCTGACATTGATTAGAGAACCAGTGGAAAACCTTGGATTACTGGACAGTTGTTTCGTCCTAGTTTGGGGCTCTTCATTAGTATGCACCCACCGGGATTCGAACCCAGGACCTTCCGGTTACAAGGCATCTTCAGCAGTACGCACCCACCAGGATTCGCCTTGTGACCAGAAGGTGCTGGATTCGAATCCCGGTGGATGCGTACTGCCGAAGAGTCCCAAACTAGGACATAGGAAACAGCTGTCCAGTACTCCCAGGTTTTCCAGTGGTTCTCTAACCAATGTCAGCTCATGATGAAATCCTGTACACGCTTACTTTAACGAACAAGTCACCTTGAAATGACTACTTAGATGTATGTTGTAAGATTCTTTCATGTAAGTGTAGTAATTTGAAAACTTCACAAATAATTTTCATAAATCTCTAGGTTAAAAATGACCTCTGTTTCCATAACTTTGAGCACACTGTGCACTCCACTTATGTTATAGGGTATGTTGACAGACTATTAAAATACATTAGAATAAATGCGTTCAAATTCTAGCTCACTAAAAATCTTACATACTTGTACAGCTTAGAAAAGTGCCTTTTACTGTCAGCCATAAGCTTGCTTTAATATCCTCCATAATAAGTTTTATTTATTTGAACTGATATATTTTCTACCTATGCATATATTTGAAGCCTACTGAATCTAAATGAAATATTAATGTTATTTAAATTTACTTTAATAAAATATTCTCGATACATCATCCTGATATTATTTCTATATTACTGTGTACATTAAATAAACTTATCTAACCTGGAATTATCTTCAATCCTACTTTTGCATTATTATGCTGAGTTTATAATCGCTGTTTTCATGCAAAATAGACCGCCATTCATCTTGGATTAGTACAACTACAGTTTAACTAGGTGAAAAGGACAATTTAACTGTTCAGCACTCAGATTATTTCGATTAGTAATAAGTGCAGTTTTGCACACTGATTATGAAGTATACAGACTTTAAATGAATTGCATTGTATTGCATGAGAGCAAGATTCTGATTTCATCAGTCATTTATAATGGGACAGAAATATGCTTTAGTGGCTGAACTTATAAATCAGACTGGCAGTTTTGACTCAGGGGATTTTAATAGAATCGCCTATTCAGTTTATCTGTAATCTTAGTATTTCTTTATAAGTGCAACTGCTAACCTTATCAAAAATGCTTAAGCCTCTTAGAATTAATATGGCAATATAATTTGCTCCAAAAATGATAAGTAGATTAGAAGGAGGAGTTTCTACATTTGCATTCATACATATAGAACTTACATTATCTTTTGCAATTCCGTCTGTCTGATCTGAAATTGAAATAAGCGAAACACTGTATTAGCATTAAATAGCGAAACGTCAGTAAAAACAATCTCGTTTTGTTTTCCATTCATTGGGAAATACAAAAACCTCTATTATAATGAAACACTGTATAGGCTGTTGTGACATTCAAATATAAATACATATATGTATTCAATAACCGATGTGAGTCATAGATTAGATAAAAGTAATTATAGGTGAAGACAAAAGTTACGCGAAGACTTCAATATGGGAAAGTAAAGTTAAAACAAAATGTTCATCTATGGAAACGCTTTTCCTTTCGTAGTCGTTAGATAAAACTTACTTTCTGTTGGTATGTAAGCCCTTCTACAAATGCTTCAGTATTACCTGTTGTAAAATCTCAGTTGTATAATTGGTAGTGGTAGACAGTTGAATTAAATGCAAAATGCAATTTTCATTCAACTCATCAGCCCCAAGTACAAGCAAAACACAAATTTCAGTTGACGCTTATTCTGATGTAAATGCATTAAACCGATCCCTTATAATGCAACAAGCTAGTATGATTGAACTTGATGTTTTTGGTCACGTAAATCAACATTTCCCTGATTTTAATGAAAACGATGTATTGTCATGTCTCAAATCCTTGAATCCATCACCCAGCCTGGGTCCTGATGGTGTACCAAGCATTTTGCTTCAAAAATGTGTTGATATTTTGTGTTATTCTCTTATACAAATCTTTAATGCATAATTTCACTGAGATACAGTACCCATTGCCTGGAAAGAAAGAAAGGTGGTGCCTTTATCAAAATCACCTTCTGGATCAGGTCTAAAGTTTGGGCCAATCTCCATCCTGTTTCTATTTTTGAAAACCATGGAAAAACTTCTCTTGCTTGTTCTTAAACTTTTTTGAAATCTTTTAATGACTCAAAGTAGTTTGTTCACAAGTACAGTATTAGCACTTTAGATTCTGTCGTTGTACTCTACCACAATACTGTTTCAAGTCTTGAGAAAGGTGCAAATTTTGTTCGAGGCCGTTTTTAAGACTACACTGCTTTTGACTCTAGAAATAGAGTTATTCTGGAATTTACTCCTTCATACTTGGCTTGTCCGAAACTTTGTTGATAGAAACAGATAGGGACTTGCTTATTGTTTAATTCTTTTCGGTTTATCAGTATATCCATGGGGGTTGAAAGTATCACCTATTAGGATTTAATCACGTGAACTAAACCGGGATTTCCCACATTATTTCTTTTGGTGGTAATGACTACCGACGTAGATGCATACAGCAAAACTCCGTTATTATCTAATTTCAACCACTTCTTCAAATTTGTAACATTCTTTTTTAGTCTATTATTTCTGTAAATCAAATAAAGATTAATCTATGAGTTTATCAGCTTGACACTAACCATGATTTTTGAGATAATACTTTTACGATTGCGTTGGTGGCAAAGCGGTTAGGACGCTCGCCGACCATGCATATGGTCCGGGGTTCAATTCCCGGCCGACGCACTCCTTTACCTCACTGAGCCAGAAATAATACTGGGAAAGAGGAAAGATTGGGCATGAGGCTAGCAACCCCATCCTGTAAAAGTAAACACTGCTAGAGAAACTTCAAGGCACTAGTTTGAAGCTCTATGTTCCACTGGGGAACGTGAAAGAAAAAAAACTTTTACGATTGAAGATGACCTGAGTTATAAAGCATGGAAAATACACACCAGTATATTAAGGTTGCAAGTCATTTTGTCCTTTGAATCTTACCTTTGTAACTATGTTTAATGGAACAATAATTGTAATTATGCTAATTTTTCTATATAAACTGCGAATTTATAACTAGTGAGAATAAATCCAGTGAAAAATCTCTTTGGTAATCTTCTTGTTTCCTGTCTAATATGTAAATCTACAGTCAATGACAAACATTGTGAGACTTAAAGGGGAATTCATTAGTGGTATGCAGAAAGTATTTAGCACGCGGTAAATGAAAATACCTTTCTCAATACCATTTAAATGATTCTACTTCGCATCATTCCGTGTTACAAATATCTCCTACCTTAAAAGGCGATCTCATGGATTTCATGACAAAAAATTGCAATGAAACATGTTATGAAGTTAAATTCGCAAGACTATTTACAAACCTGATGCAATTAAAGGAGGAGCAATTTCTGCTTGATTGCTGAAAGACATTTTCCAGGAAATTTGTCAGAGATGAATTACTGTGAAAGGAAAACAAAATTAACACAGAGATGTGCTAAATTTTGCAATCAATGCATAAGTAATAAAATTTACTCCGAAAAATCTTATTTGAACTGCTTAGTTGGGCAAACATGCTAATATGAATATGGTTTTTATATAAAAGCTTCAGTATTAAGTAATTGTAAATAGCTAGTTACAAAACGGTTTACTGGGGTTTAAGAATACCGTAGCAGCATGGTTCTGAGGAAGGGCAGAGAATATCTGCCCTGTCAAAGCCTTCAAAAGTCAATATAAGCTGTGATTGGCACAGAAAAAAAATTATAAACTGCCTGTATGTCTTTAGTAATTTTTGATCTGGCACAGATTTTGTAATCAAATGGGTCGTTTATTCTGTTGACTCACTATTCTGTTCTTCAGCATAACTGACGGAGAAGCAAGGGAGGGTTTGTTGAAATGATAAACAACAGGTCTAAAAGCGATTTATGCACAGTTTCAAATATTCAGTGGGGAGCTATTTAAGCAGCCGAAGTTAACCAATAACTCATATCAACTAAGCGAATTAACAAAATCTAAACAAATCTGTTGTGCTGACTTTATTTCCTTTGGTACATACTTGACAAATACTTTTAATGACATTGAGAGATGAACTTCAAAATTTCGCTAAATTCTTCAGTAAACGTGATTTCAGCAGAGCAACATATGCAACATTACGTGGTTATTTAATTTTTTAGGCGATTTATTTGATGAAAATCATTCATAAGTCGTAAATATTTAACCAAATAGAAGAAAGATGATAGAAGGATGAATGTTACTGTATCTGGCATGCTTAAAGGAATCGGCATTTTCCGTCGATACTATGTGACACATGTTGTTGCATAACTAGTAGGTCCTTAGTTGCTAACATCATCATAATCCTCTGTAAACTCTTAAAAACTTAGGGAAAGCAATAGATATATATACCATCGGAATCTAGTAATCGCCCCTGAATTCATCTAATGTCTGTTATCTAACAGCCATTATTATTCATTCATAACACACACTAAGAAATCGTGATGTAGAATTCTCTACAGCTGGCTAATGCATAATGAATCAAGTTGTGGATAACTTGTGGATCAGTTAAATAGCTTTTTGAAAGTGCGATTAGCATGTCTAAACATATGGGTTAGGAAAAGTGAACTAGGGATTACATTTTCTGGTCTTATAACTGAGTGATGAAAGTCCCAATCATGGAGTCAACATTGTAAACACGCTTTTCTAAGAAGTACTTAAAGGTGAGAAATTCGAATCCGGGGCTTTTTACCAGTGACTCTTGCCAATTTCTAGAACGCAATTAAATGAAACCACAGAGCACATCAGTGTCATTTCACTCATAAGTTACATTGTCCACTAAACCGGCAGATTTCATTCACATTTATTGTGGTCGCCTGGAAGATGAAAGGTTTCGTTTTTGTTCATTATTTTATGATTTTTTGACTTTGTTCCTGAATCTCTGAAGTGCATGACTAAATGATGTTACAATTGCTGTTCAAATTCATTATTTTTACACGAAGTGTAATTAGTTGTCATTTTACTGTTGGGAATAAAATTGTTTTCTGTACAGGTGTTTATAGTTGGCCTATGCAAAGCTGGGCAACAATTAGCATAGGAGTGGTAAGATTTTTAGTTATTCATCAAATACCGGAGAAGTGTGTCAGTTTGAGTAGTCCTCAGTATCTTTTCTAACTTCACGTCTTACCACAAAATATCATGTACACAGTTCTCAAGAGCAAGAAGTTTCGGTTTGCATCTCATAAAGTTAGCTTCATATAGCTAAAGCTTTTCATTGACCGTATAATCCATAATTACTGTCCTCCAAGAATTACTCAGAAATGACTACACGTCAAGTCAGTTTGATGTGCTGCAGCACACTTCTCAGAATGATGTCAGTCTTCGTAACATAAGTAATTTTCCCCACAAATCTTGGAATGAATATTAGGTGACACAATATTCAGTGGTTTTCTTCAGATTAACAATGTAAGCTTCGTCGTTAAGACAATCACATCACTAAAATAATCCTCTGGAGCTACAAACACTTTCCATGATTTCAGCACTGTTCATTGTTTGTCGTGCTTAGGTTTAGTGAACAGAAAGTCGGTATGTTATATGGTATCATAAGATTCCACATTTGATCCCTAATCTGTGTATATAGTCACAGATATGATGTCGAAACCGCTTTTAAAAGTATGTACAAAAACAGACAAGGGTGCATAGAAAAATATGTCAGGGGAGTAAAGTCGGACCTTTATTATTTGAGGAAAAATAATTTGTTGTTACACTTGACCCACATCGTTAATGTTTATCTAACTACATTACCAAGATTACTCTGAATTATTGTCCTTCTTACTCTTTACTCTACTATTGCATATTTTTATTGTACTTAACCAATCATCTTTTCATTTTCATACAAGTTGAAATGACAAATAGGTGTGCAATCATACTGTTCTAAATGAATTACTCAAATACATCACATTTTGCAGATCAAATAGTTTAAACTAGGGTCCATAATGCTTCGTTTGTATATCGTTTTTCTGGATCCAAGTGTGATATGAAATTTGTGGTTGAAGGAAAAATGAAGAGCTGAACTCCTGAAAAATGCTTCTTTCGACACAATGAATTTCTTTTCATGAAATGATGACCAAAAGTAAAGTAGTCCTAAATAAAACAGCACATTGGAGTGGTAAATAACGTTTGCCTTGTTTTATGGCGGTCTATTAGTTTTTAATCAGGAGTTTTAAAATAAGCGTAATCTGTTGTTATTTTATTGAAATGGATCCGTGTCTAAGATTAAAATTCATTTAGGATACATATTAATTGATAAAGATTTGAAAACATTAGATTCGGTTTATACCCAATTAATTTTACAACATTCATCTCTTACCTTCTTTAATAAATTGGGCTACACACTGCAACGATATAACCAAATTTAGTATTTCTTTCAGCTCTTTAAGATGTTGAAAAAAATCAGTCTTAAGTAATTATTTGCGTCAGGTTTCTGCTCTGAAATAACAAAGTATTTGGTAATTGATTTATACTGATCTACATATGAACTTCTGGTTTTTGTTTTAATAGACTGCTTCTTTATTATTCACTATGTATATAATTGAACTTAAGCCAATTGAAATTCAAAGATGAACTGACAAAAGTCAAATTTTGCATTGTTCTCCATATAACTCTTTTTTTCTGTCAAAAATTTTTATTATCTATATTGTCAGTTTTAGAGGATTCGTATTTGTCTATTGTATATTCTCCTTAATTCCATTGGTTACCAAGATTACATTAACGTAGAAAAATTATTAACACTAGCAACTGTTGCTAAGAGAAATTCTGTAAACAATTATGCACAATATTGATTTGTTGAAAAAAGTCAATCATAGTAACCAATGGAGAAGATCAAATATATTAATTATAGTAGCGGGAATAATCACATCTATCATTTTAGTTCTTGATTGAAAAACTAGAAGTAAACCAATATATATTCATTTATTTCTTTTCCATGAAACTAGGATATTAAGCTTTGAGAACTGCGCTAATTCCAGTAATTTACAATTTGTGAATTAGTCATAATTTAGGTGGTAATGTGAATTCGAGTTTGAAACCTTTTTTTAAATTATGGTTATCTATTAGACACAAAGTTGAAACATTAGCTAATAAGGTCTCTCCGTTTCTCATGGCGTATCATTTTGGCAGATGTATACAGTTCAAGATGAAACTTATCCACAGACAACTAGATTGCCATGATCAAATATCAACAGCTAAATACCCCTATATAACACTAGCTGTAGTTACCTTTTAATGAAATATATTTCAGGGCAACTGATAATATGTACATTTTATACAAGTAAATTATGTCCTGATGTATTCACTCTAATGCACAAGTATGATACGCCTGAGAAGCAAGGTAAAAAAAATAGTTCCTCAAAAAGTGAAAAGCGAAGAATTTGATAGAAACAAGAAATTAAAGTAGTAGAAGTTTCGGCAGAAATAGGCCGTTTTTCACCGTTGACATAAATATCATAGTGAAAATCGCATCAAACAGAACATGTGTAAAGACGTATAATTCGCATAGGTTTATGAAGTATTTTAAAAAGTCACTAGAAAAATAAGGACTCAATACATATCTATAGTTTCTATCAAATGTAGAATATAATTTGGGACTAGAATAAGAACAAATAAACTTTGGTAAGAAAGAAAATATTCTGTAAGTTAAAAAGTTCCTAGTTAGAGGGACGTGTAAATTATATATACACATTGTTGGTACAAATGACTGAAGGTAGTCGGCAGAAAGCCTAGAACCTAGGCTTCGCGCTAGTTAGTACTCGTCAGCAAGGAGTATCTGCGACCTTGAAGAAACTCATACCCGTCCTGAGGTTCGAACCACTATCACCCTCAGTAAAAGACGTTACCACTGAGCTGATCGGGCCCGAGACAGAATTTCTGTAGGACTGTAATGGATACTTTTGGTTGGACACTAGGACTGACTAGTGTCCGATTAAAAATATGTATGCACAGTACTTATGTATAACCATGAATAGGCATTTTTCATCCACTAAACGATTAGAACATTTTAATCATCTTTTTTCTTCGAGTAATACAAATCTCATGGATTTTACTACTCTTAAAGGATAAATTATCACTCTTAGCTTCTACGTTTGCCTATTCAATCTATTTTTGTGTTTTGTAAGCTATAAATGTGTAGGTGTATAAGCATTAAGAGAAAAGAAATATTACAATGTCTTCGTATTGGTATTAATACACCAAATGTAATGAGTGAGTATATCACTGGACATCAGCGAAATAATTACGACCCTAAAATTCTATCTGGAAAGTAACTTTTAGATTTAAAGTGAATTTATATAGACAAACAAATGGTGTTGACGTGGGTTCACCAATTTCCCCCGATAGTCTCTGATCCTGTCACGGATACATCTGAAGATAACATCTCAAACATACTTTTATGATTTTATACGCTTATCAAATCTAATAATCTACATACGAACGAAATATTCCCATACTTAGTCATAAGAAAAAGACGTAAAGAGAAGAAAATTTTCTTTTCGACGAATCTGTTTCATAAGCTATACAGTCGTAATTATATTTAACAAAGAAATCATACGACCAGTCAGTTTATCAGCATGCAAAATGATAAATACTTCTCGTGTAGAGCAAAGTATATCAGCCGTAAGCAAAGTCAAGTCAACAAACGTATTCTGGAGCATTGTCCAGCTTGGTGAGCCAGAGGACAAAAGAAGAATAGTAGCAGCTGCGTTCTCGAGCACCTTGTCAACTCTGGACAGCGTGCACCCCCTACATGAATGCTTCATAGTGCCACACAGAGGCCCTCAATATCGTACAAAAGGACTTCGCATACGCCATTTGTGCATAGCTGAATCAATGGCCATTCGTGATCTGAAACCGGACCCCTGAATTCAAAAGCACCATATACATTTACTCATCCTACAGTGGCCAGAGTAAAGTTCTTGCTAAAATTTTGCTTCTCTAATATTATTTAGGTTTAATATTATTATTGTTATTACCATTATTATTTCCACCATCCATATTTTATTATCACTCTGTTAGTGTTTATTCATAACATTGCGTTTTCATACAGATTTTATATAAAAACACTTTATCATCTTTGGACTAGTTCCTGTACATTCTACACAATCGTATTGATTGGTCATTTTCTCACATTTATTACGTCATGCCAACTTCTGTCTCTTTTCTAACTTCCAGTTAGTCACCGCTTCTACGTTACACTTTGCATTACATGGTACGTTTTTCGAGGACATATTTTGCCAGTGTCTCATGGATCTTATCGTTTCTTTGTTAAATATAATTACGGTTGTACGGCTTATGTAAATGAATCTACACATGGTTTTGTTATCTTTATAAACTGGCCAACTTGACAATGTGAAAATTACCCCAAGCTGATGAATGATATATTTATATATATATAAGCTAAGATTTTGTAAATTCTGGTTTAATAATATTTTGATAAAGCTATTAGCACTGAATAGCAAAACGTCAGTATAAGCAATATAGTCCTGTCTTTCATTCATTAGGAAATATAAAAACCTTTATGATGATGAATATCATATACCTAAAACTCAAATTTCTTCAAACTGTTAGAAGTGAACTTGATTTGAACATATAAGTTATACTACTGACTGATATGAGTAGTTCGATAACACTCACATCAAATACTTACACCAGCCAGTAGAATACACCTTCATGAGATTATGCTTCTTTTCTTCTGTTATTAATGGTTAAAAGCACATCGAATATTGTGATCTGATTATTGTTTTGAGCAGCGGTGGTAAATTTTCATTTTAAAATAAGTAATTTTGCCACTGTTTATTTTGATTTATTGATGATAACTGTTGACTCACAGATTGACTAAATCATTCATTACCTTGTTCTGTGCATAAGTGGAAGTATTACTCTTCCAGATATGCCGAATAAACTGTACGTCTAGAAGTTAAAATCTTCGCTATGAAATATTTTTAGTTAGGGCTACACATTTCACTACAGTAGTGTTTTTTTAATGGGATAAGGTCACCCTAAATTATTTTTGTTTCGTTCTTGCCATTTGCAACACACAAAGTTCTGAATTAGTCCCACATACTCACACTGTACTCATCTTGCTAACATTGTTTTAAACGTTTAGCTGATAACGTATGTATGTATATGCATAGTTATGCATGAGTACTGTTAATATGCATATTTATTACTACAAGTTCTTTAGCTAGAGATTTTGAGCAAACATAAATACTGAAAAGTAGTTTCGTAAGTGTCGCAAATTGGGATCAGCATCCCCATTTAAGATTTTATATTTATTTTTAATTTTTGGTTGTAGCCTGATTCCAAAGCGTATTTCTAGTACAAGTATAGAATTCTCAGCATGTGATATCGGCATAAGGTATTACCACTGCTTAGACTAGCAAACAGTCAAACAAAATCCTTACTACATTTACTGCATACTCAACAGTGAGCTCATGGACAGATGTGGCAGAGGTTTAAACAGTAAGCTGTTCCGGATGACATATATTAATGGTATGTCCTTGAAGTATACGATAGCAGTCGTTCAGTGCTCTACTGATGTCAATTATTCACCTACTGATATCAACATATAGTAACAATAATCTCGAAAGTATGACATTTTTTTTCTGACGTGTAGGACAAATGCTAGTTCACTTCATGGTTAATCAACCCTAGTTCACCAACCAGCAGCACTAAGCACCAAAAAGAAGAAAGTGTGGGCGTATGGCAAACAACCATTTAGCTTAAAAAACAGCTCATCTCTACCAAAAATTCGAAGCACAGAATAAAAAAATGTCCTCCGCCTGAATCGGGAAGACCGTCAAACTTATAGACGTACGCTGCCGGTGGGTGAAAAACTTCGGGAAGCTAGTCAATCGATGCATCTTCATTTGATGACAGAGAATAAGCTTAAAGGTATGTGATGTTCTCACTATGTTTGCAGCAATGTAGGCTACTCAGATTGCAGAAGAAATCGGAAGATATTATGTAGAAGTGGACAATATAGATTATCAACCAAAAAGTTACACGGCAACCACGAACATGTGAAGGGAGTGGTAATCACGATATCCCCAAAAGCATCGAGAGTTATCATACAATAAGAACCAATTATCTCAAGGGTTGCCTAAAGGAGATATAATTTAGAAGGTAAGCAAGTTACAATTCCAAAGTGAATGCTATGCACTTACATACGATCCAGATCCAATAGAGAGTACCGAGAAAGCCTACAGACAAATGACTCCACGAAGTAATGGAAAATACCTCAGCCACCTAGCGAAACTAAAATTTCAGTAGCGATAACAAGAAGAGAGAGAAAACAAAAGAGCAAGAGAATGTATAGGGAGTAGAGACGCTTTTATACAAAAGATTAGGAAAAAAGAAAAACCAAAATACTACGCCACCAATGCTGAGGTGATTGAAGACACAGGCCAGAAGAATAACGCGACATGGATCCAACCAGGTAAAAATAATACCGGAGGAAAGAAACTGGGTAAGCAGACGAAAACAAACAAAACAAAAAACGCAATCAAATGAGATGACAGAAAAACCTACAAAAACGTAAAAAAGAAAAACAAAACAGTGGAAAAAGAGATACAAAAAACGAAAACACACCTAGAAAATAACATTATAAATTACTGAATCAGATAGGGGAGTCATCCAAAAATAACAGACAACAATACAGCCGA